CAAAAAAGCTAACCACTTCTAGGGGGTGACCGTGCGGCGGGGACTCGACTTATAGATAACGTTACCTTAAGTCCAATCCATTAATTAACACTCATTTAAATGTTAGTTAACGGATTTTGATTGATTTACTCTTTTTTGTCTTTTCACGTTTTTTGATTTATTCTTTTTTATCTTCTTTCACCTTTTTGATTTATTCCTTCTTGTCTTCTTTCATTTTTTTGATTTATTCTTTTTCGTCTTTTTTCACTGTTGGGGAAAAGTAAGTTATCATCCGAGTAACCAACCATTAACGACCTTAGCTAAATCAACACCCGGTAATATTACTATGAATCGGTGCTCCCATAACTAGCCCATATATGATTTGGATATTACCCATGTACAACATCTAACCCGACAGATTGGTTGTGGTGACAATGGCCGCTTCATCGACTCCCATACCAGGCACCTAAGTCTTCATTACCTAATTAAGTAAGTACAGGACTATTACTTACATTATCCACGTCCCATCTAGCCGTTCCGCGATGTGCCCTTTTGATTCTAGAAGGGGTGACACTGTCGTGTGGGCGGCGATAATACAACCCGACCCTTGCCTATATTTCTGGACCCAACCCATATAAACCGAAACCCACATGGGTACGTTCCGAAATGGGTTATGGGTTGCATTTGGGTCCTGCCCACGCAGGTACCCATGAGTGATTTCCACGTCCAACTGATTCTAAAGCACTCACTCTTGTTCGTCTACGAGCGGTGCAGTAGTAGGCAGCCCAGTGGTGAGCAATTTGGTCAGGCGTGTTGAAACACCAATACCATTGATCGATAATTGTTCATCAATACACCTGGATTCATATCAGTTGTCTCGGCCTGAGATGTGATTTTGGCAGGGTTTTGGTATCTTGAATAGACAGTCGTGTAGAATGGACACTTGGACCCGTCCCATGGTGCACAACTTGGGTCACTGAATCACATTGAATTGATGTTAGTTATGTAGATTACAATGAGGTTGGGTAGAGAAGAGCTTGATCCTCAGCGATTGGGGCAATGATGATAGACACACTAGCAGAATCAAGTATTTGTGGCCGAGTAGAACAGACCTCACGCTTCACTACGAGAAGACGAGGAGCTAATTAGCCAGGTAGACATTTCCTCGTCGAGTAGCTCACAACCTGCCTAATTAAGGAGTATAGCGGGCCATGAACTTATCACACAAAAGGCGCTTTTACTAGGCCTGCCCATGACAAACGTTGTTGTCACGAATGTATTGAAGTAAGTCCAAATTTCCTCTCGCTTTACTTGCTAATTCCACCAAAAACGCCTTGCTTGATGTCCGCGATTCCGTATCATACCAATCAATATGAACCCCGCCCATCTTAGATGCAATATGCTCCGTTCCATATCTTCCAGGCTGTTTTGTGAATGAGTAAAACGGGAAAAAAAAAGGAAGAAAAAGAGAGCCCGCATCATGCCAATATGCGACTTCCTCGCAATGCCCCGTTTATCCCGCCTTCATGGAGAATGAACCCCCCTTACTTATCCCCTTCCCCATTTGTAATCCCCCGAAACCTCATCTCCAACACCCATCGCCCATCAAAATCTACCCCCTTTCTCATCTTCGTCCCCGCCTTCTTCCACACCGCTTGCCCAAGCCCCATATCCACCAGATACAGCTTCCACTCGAGTGCCGCATCATCTGGCACGGGCACCGCTCCATCATCCACTCCAGCGATATTCCCACTAAGACCCAGCCCGGTAGTGCTAGCTGTCCCAGCAAGAGCAGCAGCAGAGGCTGCGTGGCCGACGTCACCGGGAATACCGTTCCCGCCAGCCGCGGCCTCGTCATTATAGTTGTCTGCAGCTATCATCGCCTCAAGCAAGCCTCTCTTTGGCGCACCCACGGCAACGACATACCGTGGCTTGACGTACAGCCGATTCCCGTCCACGACGCTGATTTTCCCGGATGTCGGGTCCACGCCTGAGGGAACATCCACCGCCATGACAAATGCCTCGTTACGGTTTGCCCATTCAATTAGCTCATATACTGTCGCTTGATCCCTACCACGTAGCTCTTCAAACGGAATCGCCAAGCCCAACAGGGCGTCCACAATGAGCATGACGGGCGCTGGGTTGGTGAGTGAGCTTAGCGAAGCGCGTGGGGTGTCGATGGTCAGCATTGGGATGCTGATTTTCCGGATGTGCTCGAACAAGTCGTTTTTGGCAAACACACGGCCGCCAAGGTTACGGTAGAGGCGCACCTGCTGCTGTACGTCCTCGAATAGGTGCCGCTCGTCGTCCTCGAACCCGACGAGGCACAGCAGCACGTTGATACCCTTGTTACGGAGGTGTCGCGCGGCGGTTATGGCACGACTGCCTGACTTGTTGTTGCCCGCGAGGATGACGACTGTCAACGGTGGCGCGCGGCCCGTGTTAGGATCAACGGAGCCAGCGTGGCGGACCTTGATGGCCGGATCCGTGAGCGCGGCTAATGTCACCTCGGCAATGCCCCGACCGGCGTTCTCGGTCATCATCTCGTCGGTCAGGCCGATCTCATGTTGGGCAATGCTTTCCAGATTCACCATCTGCAGTGCCGACACGGTCTCGATGCGGCGGTTTGACGGCAACAGGTGAAGGCTCTGGGACACAGTGGCCGTTGGGAGCTGCTTCCTCTTGTCAGCAGCAGTCGCGGCGCGCGACGAAAGCCGGCTGCTTGGCCGACTCCCCTTGACAGACTGAGTACGGTAATGGCTTACCCCAGAGTTGACTCTGGTCTGGTTGGAACTCGTCCTAGCCATGTCCTGCGCCTTGCGCGACTGCGACCGCCGACCTCCTGCGCCCTTACCCTCACCACGGCGCGAGCCCTGTCGGCTACCAATGCCCTGATCCCGCCCACTCAGCCGCTGCTCGTTGTGCGGTAGTCCGTCGTCGGCTTCGCTATTCCAAAAGTCATTTGGGGTCTCCTTGGATGCTGGCCTCTCCTTTGGCGCCTTCGAAACGACCTGTGTTGCATCCAGCACGTTCTCGGAGTAATGCAAGTTCTTGCCCCCGGCGGTGCCCGGCTTTGCACGAGGAACTCTGTTATGCGACACCAGTCGATCGCCTTCGTCTACCAGGTCGTCCTTTCTCATCTGCTCAAACAAGTTGTGCTTGTCAAACTTGGCCAGGCTCCCTTCAAAGTCGAACTCGCCCATCTCCTGGACGTCAGTAACATCCTCAGAAGCCCATCCGTTGTCAGCCGTCGGCCGGCCCTTGCGAGTTCGCTTGAGTGAGTTGAACGGCTGGAACGAAGCCGTGCTCTGCAGTATCGGCGTTTGCCTCCATCCCTTCCCTCTCCCAGAAGCCCCTGTTGAGGGCCCGGGCGACGCCTCGTAGTCTTCCCGAGATACCGCTTTCGTGTTGCCTGTTTTCCGCTGCCGTCGAGATTTTTTCTTCCGGCCCGCCACCTCCTCGTGACCTAAGACAGCCTCTGCAGCCTCCTCCTCGACAGACTCAACTGTAGCAGCGAGCGGCACTTCAACCTTCAGCCCCTGAAGAGACTCCGTGACCACCTTCGTAGGCGTGGCTTCCCGTGATGTACTCGCGACCTGTACCGCGGGGATAGCTACACGGCCCGGATCGCGCTTCTCGCTCGTGTTAGGTAGCTGGTGTGGTTCCGGCGCGCGGCTTGTCGACGACGTAGTAGCAGTGGTGGTAGGGGGCTTGCTGATGGCCACAATAGCGGGGTCCACAAATTCCGGCTTCGGTGGTTGTGCGGTTTGAGGAGCGGGCGCCGGGGCATAGACGGGGGCGGTCGTTGGGGTCGGGCGTGACGGGGCGGCCACCGAGTTCGGGGTGACTTCGGACAAATCGAGAATATCTTCGGATGGTATCGTGAAGCGGGGCTTCCATTCTTGGGTATTGAGTGCCCAGACTATGACACGACCAAAGACGCCAAAGTCAGCCCCTCATCCCATCCAGCGCAAAACAAACTTCCGTCCCAGAGAATGGGGTTCACTCACCATTACTGAGCGTCAAGCCGGAGCCAGCCTCGACCGCACTCACGGTTCCCTTGAGATGTATGGGCGGCGTACCGCGCACTGTCACCATCATCTGCAGCCCAATAAATTCCGACGCCATGCCGATCCGATGTTCGGGTGTGATCGCTGCTGGGCGGGGTTGGGTACCGTTGCTGAGAATCGCACAAGGAAGGGAGAAATCGGTGGTCGGGCGTTAATGCTGGGTATGTTCGCTCGTGTCCTCGGTAGCGACCTTTCCTGGTGTTCTTTTTGTCCTTTCTCCCCCGCCCTTTGCCTTAATCGTTGTTTGTCCGTTGCAAGACAAAAACCACACCCGCGAAGCAGATCTCACACGATCCTTTTGCCGAAGGCCAGAAGCCCTCCAATCAGGCCCTCTGTGAGTCTAAATAACGCTAACAGATGCGAAGCCGAGAGGAATCACAGTGGCGTGTGTTGTTGCTTGTGGAAGGAAACGACCGGAGTGGGAGCGTAGATTAAAGGTTCAAAGCGCTTGGTTGTGAGTTCCTTCCATATGCGAGCCACTCCTCAACCTTTTGTTATCGATTAAGCTTAGCGCACAAATGGACCGCCGGATCTGCGGAGTGACCGCGCCAAGACGAGAAGCGCGGGCCGTGGCTCACAGGGCGACACAAGCGCGTTAAATACGAGACTGTCTCGTAATGTTTGTTACATTACACATAAACGTGACTGGTTCCGGGGTTCACACATACTTGACACATGACGGTGCTTCCTCCGTCTGATTGTGGTAGGTACCCTCATTTGTACGACTGACTCCCATTTTTTACAATATAAAGGTACATCGGAGTGGTGTAATTGGGTTTTATCCACGGAGTCGTCGCCTCCCATCACTCTCCATCCCTCAAGTCCCTCCGATCCAGATATCCCGCCGAAAAATGACCACGATGTCGAACACCACATGAAAATAGAGGCTTGTAAGAGACAAGTACGAAAATACAGGAAGTTCCATACCTCCCCAAACCCATTGCACCCCGCCCTCTTCCTCCTTCCACTCTCCTAATGGCAATTATAATAACCTGTACCCCGTCCCATGCACTCTTCATCCCTCGTTTCCCCCTTTCATATCATGCTATCGTACTACGCAACACACTTCCTAGCCCTCACCCATAGGCCGCTATGAGTTCTTCTTGCTCCTCATCATCTGGAATCCCCACGGGATTTGTCGCTGAGCCGGCGCGGGGAAGGGTTTTATCGGGCATAAAAGTTAGGGTCCTCTGTTTTGAGTTCATGGCCGATTCGACGCTGTACAGCTTATTGTAGAATTCCACGACACGCCCATGGGCCATGACCTTGGATTTGTTGAAATTGAGCACGCACAATCCCTGCTTCGATGTCGCACGACTGAGCGCAACATACGCCTGGCCCTTCTCAAACACTTTTCCGAGATCAACTTTGACCCGCTCTAGCGTCTGGCCCTGGGCCTTGTGAATCGAGAGGGCCCACGCTAAAATCAAGGGAAGCTGCTGGCGGGATGCCTGGACCTCGCCGGTGGGCAGCTCGACCTTCCAATCCTCGGGAACGAGGAGTATTTGCCGCTCCGAGCCGTCGAGGAGGTGGAAGGAGACCAGGGGATACTCAGTAGTATCGCCCTTGGCGGCTTCAGCAAGGGCATTGGTGAACTTGGCGCGCCGTCTCGCCTCTGCGTCACCGTCGTCGAAATCATCGACACCCACACCTTTGACCTCAAACGTACTCTGCGACATAAAGGCGATAACGGTCCCCAGCGAGCCGTTTACAAGCGTGTCGTCCATATTTTTGATCAACATCACCTGAGCGCCTTTCTTCAACTCAAGGGCCGGTGGGGCCATCATGTTCGCTAGGAGCCGGTCTCGGATTTTAACGTCGCCGGTGTCAACGGATTTGTAAAAGTATGACTTTCCAGTGAGAGCCTTCAGTCGTCGCTGGTTCGAGCTTTCGACTTCATACCGTGTTGGGAACCTAGGCAAGTAATGTTAGTCGCCTGACCTTCATACCATGAAGTAATATCGATGGATGAGCTTACAATTCCGTAACCTCAAGCCCGTCATTGAAGTTCAATGGTCGACGGAGCTCCTGGAAACTCCGAACCGTCTCATCGCTGATTGTACCGAGACGCATCTCATTGAGCATTGCCGCAAATTCTAGCTCGCATTAGCAGGTATGAAAGTTTTGGCGATTCACGTAGGGCTAAGACTTACCGGGATCCCTCTGGCGGAAGACCTGGGTCAAACCAATGGTGTGGTCGATTGAGATATTCCACGTGGCAGCGTCAAAGGCAAACTTGGACTCCCTCTGTTTGGAGCCTTCTGGGACAGGCGGGAGCTGAAAGAAATCGCCCGTGATGACCAGTTGGATCCCGCCCCATGGCTGCCCATTGTTCCGAATAACCCGACCAATCTGTGACAGTTTGTCGAAAAGTTCTCCATCCACCATGGAGATTTCGTCGATAATGAGCACCTTTGTCTTGAGCCACCTATTTTTGGCTTTTGGGTTCCGCCGAATTTTCCTCACCAGAACATCGGCGTCTTCTTTCCCAAGCCCAATACCGGCGAAACTGTGCAGAGTCATTCCGCCAATGTTGCAAGCGGCCAGACCGGTGGAGGCCGTGACGGCGATCCGCTCGGGATTCCTGGCGTACCGCTTCTTGAGATCCCGAATGATGGACCGCATCAACACCGATTTTCCCGTGCCGGCGGGGCCCGTGAAAAATACACTGCGGCCCTTTTCCACCACAAGCTCCTGGACGCGACTCTGCTCCGTACTGAGTGCGATAGGGGCATTGGGCAGGACGGATTTCGTGGCTTCCCTCATGTCTTCCAGAGACACATAGGCCTTTCCGTTTTCCTTTGATTGTGTCTTGAACTGTTTCTTCTGCGCCTTGATAGCACTGTTAGTTGTCGCCCAAAGCGGGTCTTCTTTTTTTGGTGCCGGTGTAGAGGTCCCAGCTTGTTGCCGTCCCCTCGCATCGTCAATTGTTTCTCCTGCTTCTTTCGGCCAAGGAAGCTCCCTTTTTGGCCTCTTTGCAACGGCGCGAGCTGGATCGTCGTCCACTGGTGAAGCCCGTTTGAAGTTCTGGGGGGGCGGTGCCATGTGTGAGGGAGACGAGTCAGACCAGGATAATGCGCTCCCCGGGAGCTGTCTATCTTGTCCGCCGCCGGTTTCCTTCCGTTGTGATTTCGCAGGGATCGTAGGCAACGTGTCGGCGGGGACGTAGTCAAGATCGAGATCGGCATCGTCGCTGAAATCGTCGGAATTCAACGGTATTACAGGTGCGGCATCGTAAATAGCTTGTGATACGGTACGCGAGGTCTGAGAAACGCTGCTCTGAAGACCAATGAGATCGGGCTCTTCCTTGAACGAGTCGGATTTATTATAGAGAGCAGTGAACGATTTGCCACCGCCAGTGCTGCGTGTACCCGAACCCAGCACATTCACCGAATGGGTTTGCAATGGCCTGGAGACTTTTGGCGGGCCGCTCGCGGGTGGTGCTTGGAAGGGTCTCTTCTTCGAGTACATGCTGTCAATCGTGTTCTGGGTTTGCTGCTTGGGGGCGGATGACGGGTTGCTGGAATGAGACAAAGGCTTCGCGAGCGACGGCTGTTTCGCCGAGGCGGCGGTGGCCTGCTTGGCCTCAACTGCCCTCCCGAGCATTGGATGAGAATGGACGACGGCACTGCTTGAATTGGCAGTGTGCGTGTTTGCTCGACCGACGCAGCGAGCGAAGATAGTCCGATCGATGGGTAGGGCTGGTCGTCGGAAAACCAGGCCAGAGATCCCGGGCATACAGAGCAGTGGCTGCTGGGGCGGGAGCGAGGAAGTAGTTTATGATAATAGGGGTTTGTTTTGGTGGTGGGGAGCGGGCTCAGACCGCGAGGGGTGTGCCGATTGCAGATTCCAGATTCAAACACGGTCGTCGCGTCCAAGCCCTGGAAAATCGCGTCTGCAGCAGGCACGTCGTTTAGACCCCTTGTTCCCCAAAACGCGTGGTCCGTGCACGTGCCGTTTACTCTCCTAAAACCCTAACCCTAGACTCCCCGAATTTGAGTTTTGAAAATGTTGGATTCTGCATAGTACGCTAACAACATCACCTCCGACTCCCCCATCCATTGTCTCACAATTAGAATCACACACACAGGCAACAGTCGAAATTGAGCTAACCCGTACGTAAACATTAAGGGATCCCAACTAACCGTTGCATTCTCCGTGAGTCAACTCTCCCCAGCGTTGTGCATCATTTTCCGATCGCGGGTTCTCGGCGCACAACACGGGCCTCATTTCCCCAATTGTCATTCCATGCCCCCCACGCAAACGGCCCGGAAAAGGCAACTATCCACGGTTACCCCCCCGGTGCCAGCCTGTGTGGCCGACACATGTGGTCCGACCGGTCGGCAGCGTGCTCTTCTTCGGTCAGCTCATCCACCAACTGATGCGGTCCCGGTCCGTGACATGCGGGGCATTGTCTGTGCTACGTCGGACGGAGTGAGACTTGCAGAAGAAACTTCTTTTCCTTTTCTTCTCTGCTTTCGGCTTTTTTGGGTAAGCTGCTGTTATTCTTGTCTGCAGCGAACATCACGGGGACACCACCGGTGCAGCGAGCCCTTGTTCCAGACTTCCGGCACTCGGTCGGCCACTGTTCAGCTCGAGTCCGTGCCGAATCCCGAGTTGTGGTTGGACTTCTGGGGCCGGGGTAGGCTTTGCTTCCCCGATAACGCCCAATCAGGTGGCTTCCCTGCCTTGTGGCGTTCTTGAGAAAGTCACGGCCCGGGGGCCCAAAAGAGGGACCTCACCGCTGTCACAACTTCTTCCGACCCCAAACTCTCACACGACATTCAAACAATCAGCCGCTCGAACGTGATGGTGTACACTACCACTTTCCAGCAACTTGACCTTGGCGCAGATTCGAGTCCCGACAGCGAGAGGTCGAGACCTACCTGACACCCGCAGATCATAAAACAAGAGGCAGGAAAAGAGGGAACAAAAATCTTGATTTCTCAGTCAAGAAAGCTTGAGCAACCAAGCCCGAAAAAAGTTGCTCTGAACCGCCTGGACATCGTTCTGGGCAATGCTGGGCACGGCTCGGCAGCGCTTGGCGAGATAGCGTGATGAGAAACAAAGAGAACCAGTCCATGTTTCGAGTTGACCACGGCCGTCCCAGTGGAAGAATTGATCGTCCAACGCCAACGGCGGCTTCTGCCTCCCGAGACATATCTTTGGAGTGTCAAGGCTGATTGATATATTTTCGGAGACCAGGCCAGAAAGAAGCCCTCTCGTGAGTGTTGCGCCAAGGGTGACCCGACTTCCTGGATTCCACTTTGTGCCTTGGGACTTTGCCGCCAATGTCATGTTGCACGGCAAAGTGTTTCATGGGACGGCGTTTGTACGGCGTCCGGGTTGATGCGTGGGACGTCCGGGACTCGATCGAATAAACATCGCCGCCTTTGACGGCAGGGCTGCAACAAGTCAGCAGCAACCCCAACCAAATCGATTGTGACTCCCAATCGCCAATTGGTTGGCGTTCAGTTTGCATTGAATTGTTTGGTCTTTCGCCCGTTTTATCGGCAGTCGCTTCCCCAACTCGGCTCGGGACGCGTTGTCATTTGGACGACTATTTTCTCGAGCGGGAAAGAATTGACAAGGAAAGTCGGTCTCGCCGCGGAACCGACCAGGTTCGCGTGGGTTGACGTGCCAGTGAGTGCCCAAGGCGGCCCCACCCTGACTGCCTAGCGCCGACGCCGCAACTCCCCGCCAAGCCCCCTGCAAGGATAGAAGGAAATCCTGCAGGTTGGGGCAAGTACCAGCCGTCGTCGACGCCGGAAGAGTGCGTTCCCATATAAACGACCATGGATGCGCTTCCTGCCCCAATCGCGGCGAGTTCCCGTGCTCTTTTTTCTTGTTTCACGTCCAATCCAGTATCTGGGACATCTGGATTTCGAGAGACGCTTCACCCTATCATTCATTGCTTCAGGTCCCCCGTTCTTCGCCACTCATACTTGGTGTTTTGCTCTGTTTTGTCCCGTTCCTGGTCAGCTGGAGATCCTCGTCCCTTCTTTTTTTATTCTTATCTCCGGGCACACATCGTCCAGGCGGATCCTACTGATCGCGGATCCTCCCACCCGCCGCCCGACCCCAACCCCCTTATAAAAGAACGTTAAACAAGCCGTCTTGGGGGCTGAGTCAGGCTGGTCTCAGGACGACGGATTGCCGAACCATCGGAACTGTCGGGGCCCGGCCGTCCGTCTTGGATGTATCAATTGCAGACTTTTCCCCTTCAGAATCCTTGAATTGAAGGGGGACAGCGGACAGCCTTATCCGGATCACCGCCGTTGATTCCCTTTCTCTTTGCTAGCCTGTTCTGCTTCGGTATCCTCGGGAGCTGCTGAGGGCTGTGACGTCGTTCTTCAGGTCTCATCCCTGGTCACCTTAGCCGAGCCCGGGATTGGTCTTGCTCCGTTAACCACCAATCACGCCCTACGGGAATCCCCAATTGCTCGCTCTAGCCTCGCGCCGGGATTCGGACGCCACTCAACAAACTATCACAGCATTGGACAGTATCCTCAGCTCAACGCTTGACGATAGCAACAACACCCATTCGCCCTGTGCCTTCGACGGCGGCCCTCGCCATCCTACACCATGGCCTGGGACCACCTCTCCATCACGAAGCCTCACTTGGTGTATATCATCTTGGGGGGCTTCACCTCCCTTTTCATGTTATGCTCGACCATCATCAAGGAGCGCATGTACATTGGCGAGGCCACTGTGGCCACCCTTTGCGGCGTCATCTTCGGACCCCATGCCGCCAACCTCATTGACCCCGACTCGTGGGGCAGCGTCGACATTATCACCATCGAGTTCTCCCGCCTCGTCCTAGTCGTGCAGTGTTTTGCCGTCGGCGTCGAATTGCCCCGGTACTACATGGAAAAGCACTGGAAGTCCGTCACCTTCCTGCTGGTGCCCGTCATGACCTTTGGCTGGCTGGTAACAGGCCTGTTCATTTGGTGGCTGATCGAGCCCCTGGGTTGGCTCGAAAGTCTCGTTGTGGCCGCCTGCGTCACGGCTACCGACCCCGTCCTTGCCTCGTCCGTGGTGGGCAAGGGCAAGTTTGCCAAGCGAGTCCCGAAGCACTTGCGTGACTTGCTTTCGGCCGAGTCGGGCTGCAACGACGGCATGGCTTTCCCCTTTATTTACCTGGCTCTGTACCTCATTCACGACAAACAGAGCCCGAAGGAGGTCTCATTCCATTGGATCGTTTACACCATCCTCTACGAGTGCGTGTTTGGCGCCGTGTACGGCTTCATCATTGGATACCTTGCCCGCCATGGCATCAAATTCGCCGAAAAGCGCGAACTCATCGACAGGGAGAGCTTCCTGGTGTTTTACTTCGTTCTTGCCCTGTTCTGCGCTGGTTCCGGTAGTATTCTTGGAGTTGATGATCTGCTCGTTGGGTTCGCTGCCGGCGTTGGTTTCTCCAACGATGGTTGGTTCACTCAGAAGACAGAGGAGTCCCATGTCTCCAACGTCATCGACTTGCTCATCAACTTGGCCTACTTTGTCTACTTTGGCACCATCATTCCCTGGGCCGACTTTAATAATGCGGTCCTCGGGCTCCAGGCGTGGCGGCTTGCCGTCCTGGCCATATTTGTCATCCTATTCCGCCGGATTCCCGTCATGATGGCCCTTAAACCCTTCATTCCGGACATCAAAACCTGGCGCGAGGCTCTTTTCGCCGGCCACTTTGGCCCCATCGGCGTCGGTGCCATCTTTGTCGCCATGCTTGCCCGCGCCGAGCTGGAACACGAATCACCGGTTCCAATGGAAGACGAACCTAAACCCGGTGTAGAGCACTACAAGCTCATCACCCTTGTGTGGCCCATTGTTGCCTTTATTGTCGTTGCTTCCATCATCGTACACGGCTCTTCGATCGCTGTCTTCACACTTGGAAAGCACATCAACACGCTCACCATCACCATGTCATACACGCAAGCCAACGAGGACGGCCCCAGCTGGATGAACCGCCTACCCCGTATCTCGTCGCAGTCACGATCGCAAGCGAGGACCATGTCTGACACGGACGGCGATGACCTTAAGCTCCCCGAATTCCCGCCAGGCACTTTACCTCCCGTCGGGCTTCCCGGTAACTTTTTGCGTCGCGTGAAGGAGGACGACACCAGCAGACATGGCAGCCGGTCAGCCAGCCGGTCATCCTCGTTGGCCACGCGCCGGCGTAAGAAGAAGTGGGATGACGGTATTGGCCCCGGTGGCCCCATCAGCCAGTCAGCTATTTTCCCGCAGCGCCGCAGCCAGGGCGGACCTCTGTCGCCCGGGTTGCACCGCGGTAGCACGGAGCAATCTCGGACAGACGAACCACCCATGTCGCCGACGGAAGGGACGCCCCCGGCTGCCACGCAGGAGGGATCCGCTGATCACTCGTCGAACGAATCTCCCGTAAGCCCAACAGAGGAGCGCAGGCAGCCCGTTGAGATCTACGACGAAGGCGACAACATTATCATCGAAAACCGGGAGGGCGACGTATTGGCGGTGAAACCCCAGGATGATGGGGAGAATATTGCGGAGAAGGCGAAGGACCTTGCCACGGAGCTCAAGTCAGAATCCGGACCTACGGGATGGACGTACGAGTCGTTGAAGAAGCGTGTCATGAATTGGCATGAGGGCGAGCTTGCCAAGAGGAAAGCGAAGGGGAAGGATTCCACTAAGGGCGAGCCCGCCCGGGCGTTCCAGTTCGGGAGCACGGTATGTTTTCAAAAGGCTCCATCCTCAGGCTCCGCTCGACACTAACTTTGCGAATAGATTATTGTTGAAAACGAAGACGGAGATGTTCTCAAGAAATACGACTTGCCAGTGCAGAAGCAGCAGCCGGACCGGGTGAGCCAGGGGCTCAAGTACATGGGCATGGGTGTCTTTGCCAAAGCTATGGAGAAGCCTGGGGTAGAGCAGCCAGCTAGCGGGGGCGAGCCTTCTGCGTCAGGGGAACCCTCGACCGCGCCGCGGCAGCGTAGGAAGAGCGTGGTGGCCGAACAGGAAGAGGAGGATGACCGACACATCCGCTTCACCATTGGTGGCATTGGTCGGCGCATGACCAAGGAAGACTTCATCCGCGAGATGCAGACCCTGGACAAGCCGACCCGACGCGAAGTGGTAGAAAGGTCGGACGCACCCAGGGGTGTGAAGGCCATTGCCAAACAAGACGCACAGCCGCAAATCGTCGTATCCCCGCCCCAGGCTGGGGCTGTCAGCCGCCAGGACCACGCCCCCAGTGCTACCGGAGGATCGCCAGCACGTGCAGCGCAGTCCGGAAACAGCCGCACGTCCTCGAGGAATACATCCCCAGGCAAGCCAGCCTCTCCCGAAATACCAGCTCTGAGCGAGGCTGCTGAAGCCGAGGACGAAACCGACGTTGAGCGGAGGAGACGTGTGGCCGCCCTCAAGGGCATCCAGCCTTTGCCAGGGTCCACCTCAGGGCCTGGGTCTGGGTCAACCTCTGGTTCCGGTTCCGGCTCCGGTTCTGGTTCCCAAACACGGGGTCGGTCTGCGGCTCAGGCCCGTCATCATGGTGATGAAGAGGACCAAGACGAGGATGACGAACACGGTGAGACGGCAGCGGAACGGCGCCGTAGAGAGGCTGCTCTAGGCCTTGCGCCGCATGCAGATGATGACGAGGACAGTGATGATGATGATACCCCGCGGGTGCCGCCGTCGAGGCGGTCGATCCGGTTTGCTGATGTGGTGGAGAGTGGGCGGGCGAGGGAGTAAAATAGATGTTCATGAGAGGGATGCATGCGGTGTTTGGGATGAAATGATGGTTCCTGGGAACGCTACAAGGGGTACTTGGTTATGAGATGAGACATGGGCGGTATAGTGTGTGGTGGGATGAAGTATTGGATACCTATGATGAAGGCTGATGATGATTAGAGTGATGGAGATGGATAGATGGGGGATGAGTTTCAATACGCATATGGCATAGCATTGGTTAGCGACACATCGTATCATTACACGGCACAGCACAGTATAGCGCTGCATGGCATGGTATGGCATGGTATGGTATGGGTCGAGGTCATGGCTAGCATATTTGGATTTTTTCCTTATTGGGTGCAGTGGATGAAGAAATGAGCAGTCGGGTCATGTTGAACGAACGTTGGGAATGATCGGTCGCGCTAGTGGATGAGATGATGTGTCGCGAGGGCGGGGGAGGACCATTGGACTTGGTTGGGTAGGCCGAGTTTACCAAAAGCGAATGAATGAATGAATGTCTCAGATACCTTCACAACATCATCTTCCACACGTTTAAACCACCAACCCGAAGCATGGTAGCCATAGTTACCGTACATTACAAAACACCCCCACATAGATCCAGTCCGTAACCAACAACTTCCCACTCAGATGAACCCACGGTACAGTACAAATACAACTAAATACCATGCGGATTACTTACAAAACAGTACTTGCCCCCCCATCACGCCATCAACGAAGCAGCCAACATCACCAGCCCACCTAGCCCGTCCCCATCCATATCCGCACACCAATCCTCCCAGCTCGGTGCCGTCTTCAATTTCGGGGTAGCCGCTGCTGCTCCCCAATCTCCAAACCCGCGGTGGGTCGATGGTTGAGTGTGGAAACGGGTGTTACCAACGGGGTGTTTTGGGTTGTGGGCAGTGGGTGTTGTGGTGGAGGTGGTGAAGGTGGTTGAGGTTGGAGTGAGGGAAGGAGGGAGAGAAGCGGTGTCGGCTAAACAGTGGAGGTTGAGGGTGTTAACGCGGGTGAGTGTGCCGGTGGCTGAGAGGGCGAAGACTGATGGGGCGTTGGGAGTGTGAGTGTGGGCGTGAGTCTGGTTGTGGGGCGTTGTAGCAGGGACAGAGAGAGAAGGGGCTCCTGAAACGCCGTCATCATCACCATAGTCGTCGCTGTCATCGGTTATGACGCCAGTACCAACGCTAGGTGGGACAACTTGTTGATGGAACCCAGTTTCTTCGTCCCAGTCCTGTTCCTCTTTCCTCTCCTTCTCCCGCTTCTCTCTGTTCCTTTCGGCTTTCCAAGCTGGCCCGTCGCTGGCCTCCCAGAGCCGTCGGCCAGATGGCAGTGGTGCAATGAGGAGGTTGGAATCTTGTCGCGAGTGGCACATGCCGGCGGGGGTGAAGTAGACTAGGAGGTCGAGGACTTGGTAGATTACGCAGAGTCTGCGGGTGGTTATTAGCATGTGCTTGGATTTGGGCGTCTTGGGTTGTGTTCGCGTAGGAATGGAATCTGACTAACCTCCGTAACGACTCCTCGTGAATCCAATTTTGCCAGTGGGTGTCAAGACTTGTGGTTGGGCTGGGTCTGGGCTCGGCGGACTTGACACGGCCGAGGGTTGCAGCGAGTGCCTGTGAGGTGTGATTAGCCGTCAAGCCTAAGAGATATTTAGTAGGATAGAACAAGAAGAACTTACAATGACGGTAGCAACTAATAGCGAGTCAATGTCACTGTGTTCGCCCTGGCCCTCGTCGACTCTCAAAATGAGGTAGATGGCTGCAGCCTGCAGGCTAGCGAGTAACTGCCACTTGTTCCATCCAGGACACTGGAATACCCAAACGTCAGTTATTAACCACCCTCAAACTCTCCATGATAGACACAGGCAAAAAGCAAGGGGGGAAAAGGTGCATGTATGTACATACCTCTCCCAAAAACCTCTCACACTCCCCCTTCACATTCCTCCAAAACAACCCCCTGCTCCCCTTCACCCGACTAGTCATGACATGCAACAAACTCAAACAGTTATTCAACGGCTCCATATCATCATCCTCACTCCCCAACGACGGAGACGCCATGATACGGTGGTGAATAAACGGCGGCAAGGTGTCATGCCGTAGGACCATGAGTGGGTAAGACTTAAGCGTATGCAAGACCAAGTGGGCTGTCCGCAGGGTTTGAGGGGCTGCAGCGCTGGTGTGGCGCTGGGTGAGGGTGCCGAAGAGATAAGGGGGTTGGTTGACGGGCGCGAATAGAGACGGGATGGTGCTGGTGAAGGACTCGGGGGGTTGTAGTATGGCGGGTGTTGTGAAGGGGTTCGACAAGGGGAGGATGTCCTGGTTGGGGGTTGTTGACCAGGTGTCGGTGATGCGGTCGTCCAAATCCACGACTGGGAAGCTCCATTCGAATTCATGGTCGGCTTCTTCAGTTAGGGAATCGGATGATGTTGATCCTAAACCAACATCGGAAGGGGCCAAAGAGGGTCGTCGGACCACACGCGAGACTCCATGTTGTTTGTCGTGTGCCGGACCTTCATGTGGACGCCTACCCCGGCTAACACCCTTCCCAACTGGATACCGGCAATCCACGCCCCGGGTAATGCATCCAGAGCATGCCGGCCTCTTGTTGTCACAGCGGGACTTGCGTTTCACGCAGGTGATGCAAGCTTTGGACCGAGGTAAGGGCCCCTCTTTCCGAGTCCGACAATAGTACTCATGTCTTTTGAGAGTAGACTCTAAGCAATGACGTCTGGATTTAGTACATATCTGTAGAATAAGGGGTTGAGGGCGGAACAGTTTGTCCGGTCAAGTTTACTCACGCTTGTCGAACGGCTTATTACACCGTGGGCACCGCAAAACCGAAGCGGAATGTGTGTAGTGCTCGGCCATTTCGATTTGTTCAGTCCAAACAAGAATATCAATGGCCAGAGAAGGATACAAAATCTAGAATCCGAATGTTAGAGGAATACAAATCGTGTCCGCAGCGGTGCAAGTTGAGAAATAGACCATTCAGACAGAGTCGGCTAACAGCATTTGTCAGCTGAATGTGACACCACTTAGACAGCCTCCGTCGGGCGGAACAAATTGTACATGACACATGCGGAGCATTTTGAAAACACCAAAAATGAGGTTAACAATCGCGCGAACAAAAGATTCCCGGAACATGTTCGGAATACATTGTTCTATGACAAATGAGATCATTGTCGGTGCTTCTAGTGACGCGCTGACAATACGTGCAAACATGGCCTTGGAGGCGCCACCAACGATAGTGGTCCCTAAACGTCATGTCAAGTCGGCGTATAAGATGAACCAACATCACAATTTAGAACCTTTCCAGTAGCCCAAAGCATTCAAACTCATCACTGCAACATCAATCATCTTGTAGGCTCTCATCAAGTTACCAGTTACCGACACCCACCACTTACACTTACCAACACCCACCACTTACACTTACCAACACCCACCATGACTGTCAACGCCCCCTTCCCTTCGCCCACTCCCACCTGGCACAACAACACTTACGCCGCCCTTTCTCCTAAACGCCCGGAGCTCTCCGCCAAGGGCAAGAATGTCCTCATCACCGGTGGTGGTACAGGTATCGGCGCGGCCACAGCCCGAGCCTTTGCCGAAGCCGGCGCGGCACGCATCGCCCTTCTCGGCCGCCGTGCCCAGCCTTTGCTCGACACCAAGGCTGCCCTCGAGCGGGAGTTTGGCTCCTCTGGCAGCGGACTGCAGGTCTATACCTTCCCGACAGACGTGACCAAGCAGAGCGAGGTCAACGCTGCGTTCTCGGGCTTCCTTGGAGACGCCGACAACGCCAACCACCAGAAAATCGACGTCGTAGTCAGCAACGCAGCTTTCACCGGACCCTTCGAGCCCGTGAGCAACGTCGACGGCGACGCCTTTCTCCACGCCATCAACGTCAACCTCTCGGGTGCGCTGTACGTGGCGCAGGCGTTCCTGCGGTACGCAGCGCCCGACGCAGTGGTCGTCAATGTGTCCTCGTCGGCGGCGCACCTCGAGTTTGGTGGAGCGGGGCTCGTGGCATACAGCACCGCCAAAATGGCCGGTGTGAGGATTTGGGACGCCCTGGCGGCGGCGAACCCGAAATTGGGCGTCTTCCACATCCAGCCCGGTGTGGTGGATACAGATATGAACCGCGAAGTTGGCGGGGTCAAGGCCGTGGGCCATGAGGATCATGGTGAGTATCCATAGAGGGGGGCGGTCTTTGAGAAAGGAACTTTGATGCTAATTCTGTTCTTTTAGTGTCTTTGCCGGGTACATTTTCCCTTTGGCTGGCTAGCCCCGAGGCTCGGTTCTTGAACGGAAAATTCCTGTGGGCCAATTGGGATGTGGAGGAGCTCAAGGCTCGTCGCGAAGAGCTGGAGACCACCTCATTCCTCAACCTTTCGCTCGGTGGATGGCCTTTTGGAGAACCGGGCTGGAAGCCGGTTTGGAATGCCAACTGAGACTGTACGACACGAACCTGGTGCCTTGCCCACTAGAAATTTCCTAGATAGTTAGTTAGATAAATGAAAAATTGTACACGGATGTTCCTCGATTGGCTAGCTCATGATGGGTTTTGCATTCAGTGTAGATGTCTCGGAAACTCGAAAAAATTCAGCCAACAAAAAAAGTGTCAAAAATCCACGTTGTGGTTCGCCCTAGCTGTAGAAAGTGCGACCGTCTCACGTTGAATTTGTTTTTTAGGAAGTCGCAAGTTGGCCCACAGCGAGCCGCAGTTCCCCTTGCCGTTAAGGGGGGAAGTCTTGGCAACCCCACCAAGCCGTGGCTGAACCCGCAAAGGGTGACGTGAGCTACAGGGGGGAGCATGTGCCCTTCTTCGCTGTCTCTTCTCCCCTCCCCCCACTAGCATGGCGGGGTCGAAGATGATTGACCAAAGACGGCGGCAATGCGCCCAGTGCTTGCGTCTCATGCCCGGGTTGAACTCAGCCTCGTGCGCAACTCCTAAGAGCAATGAAAGCTGCCGCCTGACCCACCGCGGCCTCGTCAGCACACTATCTCTGCCACTTTGCTTGCGCTGCTCCCTTTCTCTGGCAACCTTAATAAGTCTTTGCTGTTTGTTACCTCGAGCCCCACTCGAAGCAGCCTGCTTTCAAGTACTTGAATTAACCTCAACCAACAAACAAACTCACTCGTAATATTTGTTGTCCCTTTAATCTGTCCCGTTTTGTCGAATCCCCGCCCAAAGAGCCCGGCGAGAAGCTCCACTGTAACAGTAACAGCACAGTCTCGGGAGACGAGGTGCTCACAACGCCCTCAAAACAAGATGCTGGACGAGAACCTACCCACCTTCCGGCTCAAGCTGTCGTCGGACAACCCCCAGTCCAGCATCCTTTACTTCACACAAAACGGATCCGAGCCTGCGGCCGAGTACTTGATCCGACGGGCGGACCCGGCTCTCCCCGCCTCGCGGAGCAAGTATGCCACGGCCATATGCGACCCTCACAACACCGATGTAGTGTATGCAGAAGTGCTCGTCGAACCGGAGTGGTCTCAACCAACTCTCTCGGCTGCCGAGGTCCGCGCCCAAGCCCAGTCCGGTGCGCCCCTTGCACCGGCCGTCGCCCAGATCCCGGATAGCTTCACCGTCCAGCTCTACAACCCAGACCAGTCAGTGACCATCAAGATGGTGGCCGGGTCGTGGGGCAAGAATAACACCTGGGAATTCGAACTTCCGGTGCAAACTTTCCGCACGCCCACGACTAGCGCCCTGGATCGCGAGCACCAGGACAACTCGCCCGCAGCGGCTGACCTAATTCCGCGTGTCATGTTTCGCTGGAAAAAGGACGGGCTCCTGAGCAAAGACATGACCTGTTACATGACAGGCACGCGGCTCGGCTCGCGCAAGAACAAGGAGCCCGATATCACCGTTGGCTTGTTTCGGGCGGCGAAGGAGAGCATCCTAACCGTCTACCAGCCGAACCTACACCGGGTCGAGGTGGAGGACCGAAAGGGACTCGAGTTGGTGCTGCTCTTGACCTCGGAAGTCATCAAAGACCTCTGGCTGCTCCCCAAGATTGACGTTTTCAACGTCCAAGGTGGGGCAGGTCCAGCGCTCAATGGAGGCAAGAGAAAGAACTCACGCCCCCTACCGGCTACCGCTGCTGTTGTTACAGCCCCGATGTCCGGCGCATTGTCGAATACCCCTCCCGCTGCAACGACGGCTTCTTCCTCACACCCGCCACCCGCAAACCCGCCTAGCAACCCCGCTGTGCCTGTTGTTGCTGCTGCTGCTGCCGTCCCGCCCGCAGCTAACAACGCCCAAGTAGACGCCGAAACCCGACGCCTGCAAGCTGTGGTCGAGCGCGAGCAGCGTGAGCGTGAAAAGGCCGAGCGCGCCGAACAAAAGCGCATTAAGAAGATGATCGAGGAAGAAGAGAAGGAACAGCGCCGTCGCGAGGCCGAAGTGGCCAAGGAAACCGAACGCCTGCGCAAAATGTACGGTGTCGAAGGCCAGGATCTCCCATCAGACCGTCCCGCTCTCCCTCCTCGTGCACAACAAACAGCAGCACCGCCAGCGCCAGGAGCATCACAGCCCGTCCCTACATCGCCTCAGCAACAGCTCAACCCATGGGGCTACACCGGCGGCCCGGCACCTAGCCTACCCCCGCGCCCCGTCAGCGCTGGCCCACAACCACATTACGCTCCGCCACCAGGCCAAAGTAACACCAAACCTTCCCCCACTCAACAACAAGGCCCCTTCCACTCGGCCACGCTGAATACGCTGTGGAAGGGCGCTGCGGGGGGGCTACAGCAACTACAAAGTCAGGTGCAGCAGCATCAAGCAGGGGGGTCAGGGGGAGGTGGGAGAGGTGCTGGCGGGAGGAGGGGCACAGAGGAGGAGGACAAGGCGAAGATTAGGAAGAAGAGGAGTTCGCACTGGTAGGACGACCGGGGCAGAGAAGGTGAAAGGTGGAAGTGGAGGTCAAAAGGGCAGGCTCAGACTTTTGAGGGTTGTTGTTGTCTGTTGGTCATGAGGGTTGACGGCATAGGGCAGCGGGAAGTGAGATTTATAGCAATGCCCATGATTTATACGCATCTAAAACGTACATAGAACTTTTGGATACGTGACCTCTTTTTTATTTTCTTTTTTTCCACGTGTGCTATCGACTGCTTACTCTATATTTTTGGTAGGATCAAGGGGATGTTCGTTTGACACCTCAAACATCAAGGAAGACAAGGTTAGATGACTAGTGACACATCTCCCAGGTCTAGCATTCTTATACGGTGCAACACTTTGAAGTCTGTCTACCAACTAAGTAACATTTCATCCCAACTCACAACTCACCAAGCACGTGATGAATACCTATCCGCCCGTCCAATTCCTACATCCCAGTCAACCACCAGCATACCCCGGGAAAAGGGAAAGAAACAAAATGGCGAAAGTTCCAGAAGGTTTATTTGTCAATGGTCTTTTACCAGGCTCCCAAGGCATGACCGGCGGGGAGAAGGAAAGAAGTGCGGGGGAGAAAAGGGAAAAGAAAAAGGTGAAACGCGGAGTTAGCCCTTGGTGGTGAAGGGGAACGGGGGTCAACCCTTTTGAGAGTGTGGCCGTTTGGGGGAGGGGTTGAGGGTTAGCGGTTTCAAAAACTTTTTGGAGGGCTTGGATGGCCGGTTTAGTGTAGGTACTTCGTACCGGGGATGAATTCTGGAATTTGAGAGGGGATTGAGGATTGGGCTTGATGAAGATTAGAACTGTTTTGGTTGTTTATTCCTTCTTTCTTTAGTTTTTTAAACAAAAAGATGCTGTGGGCTGCGTAGCTATCTAACTTACATACAGCCTTGCGCTCCCCAAAATAGACCGTGGAGACCGCGCGCTGAAGAGAGAAAAAGCATCCACACTGCATGGCAACCAACCTCAGGTGTAACCCTTTGAGCGAATGGCGAACGCCCAAAGCGATCTTGCAACTTGCAACCGCGATTGGACCGCGGTGGCGCTCGGGGGGTAACGCGGACTGAGGCTGTGTAAGAGGAGACCGCGTATGCGGACAAGGCAGGTTGGCAGGGCGGATAGTAACACGGACCAGACTAGTTTCTAGGCCCCCTGCTGCACTTCCTAAAGATGGAACGATCGATGGTGAAGGTTGAGGGGGCGTTGTCCAGGCTTAGGATTAAGGCGAACGAGCTGGTTATTGGGGTTTGTACATACGCCCGAGAGATAGGAGGTCGATAAATGCGGATTTGGGGCCTGTATTTTGTACCGTCAAGCAGGTCGTCTAGCTGCTGGCCGACATCCGCTAGGGCAGAATGGCCGTGCTGGATCACTGGTAAAATATTGACGGGGCTTTGTTCAGTAAAGTAGCACCAGATATCAATTATCTGCTCAGCTGCCTCTGATAAGTCTAAATGCGGACAATCCTTTGGGTTAAAGCGCACAAGCTGAGTTAGCTGACCGCGGTTGGGGCAAGGGAAAAAGACATTTTGGTGATGATCAAAGAGACCCGATACATCGGCTAAGCCAATGAAAAAAAATGGTATGACTGTAAACACTGAACCTGGGGACGGACTTCGCTCGGTGAGGCGATGACTGTCCGTATTCCGTAATGTTTGGTTGAACCAGCAAGGGGGCTTGGTGGACTCTCAAGATCCCATAACAGGCCCGGCCAGCCCAGCACCAGACGACCGGACGGCCAGGCCGGGGCGGCCGGGGGCGTTTCGGATCGTCTGATGAAGCAACCGGACGCTTGGGTTGAGTTGACGTACCCATCCTCCCATCTCCCGCCCTGGCGATTGAAGTTTGGCTGTAAGAGGAAGTAGGATATCGTCCACATGACGGAGAGTACAAACGAAACCATCGGTGGAAAGATGGTAACGAACCCCAAAAGGCGGTTTGCAACAGGCAATAGCCTTGCCACAAACCGAGTCACTTGACTCGTTGCCCCAATATGAGAAGAAGACGAAAAAGAAAGAACAAAAAAAAGAACAAACGGCCCGGACTCGCCCATTCTGCAGGCCGGGACTCGAAAAAGGGCCAAGCTGAATCAAGTTCCGTCACGGACAGGCGGTTGGAAAAATAAGGCGGGCCTGCTTGGCCCTGTCTGACCAACAGGGGTGGTGCGCAAAGGCGCAAAGGAGTCGCAAAAAGGGAAGAAGTGGAGGGAGGGGCGAAGAGGGTAAATTTAGCGCTAGTCCAAATAGGGAAAAGAACCACTTCCCAGCGGCCAAGCGAGCGGCTACCCGAGCCCCCAGGCCCGCAATCAACAACCGACCTCTCCGCCCGCATCGACGACGCTTGCAAAGTTGCAAACTCGGCTTTCTCGACCTGAGGCTGCGAGGAAGCAAGTACCACTGCGACCACTCTGTACCTTTCCCCCTCCCTACGGGCCGTCGATTCAGGCTCGCCGTTGCGACAGAAACCCCTCTCAAAAAGCTCGACTCCGAAAAACGAACCGCGGCTCGATCCGATCGAGGGGCTGAACGACCTCCACTAAACGCTCAACCCCAACGCTCAAACCCACGACGCTCAACCCACAACGCTTAATCCCCAACGCCCGTTTGTTGCAAGCTGGGATCTACTTGCCGTTGTCCTCCTATCTTCCACCCCGCGATCGACCATCGGCCATCTGCAGTGACCCTCCCCCCCCTGGAAGTCGATCCTCCGTTCGAAGTCAATCACTACGACCCCTCGTCGCTTGTTCGTTGTTTGGATCGAAACGACGTTACACCGCCGACTAAACCTTTCCCAATCTTCCGACGACTACACGAGCAGAAGATACCTCTATATCATCGCTCTGCTTTATTCTGATCGGCTTCGACCAACCTCGCCCGAACCATTTCGGGCCCCAGTCGGCCATTGTAGAATTCCTGAGCACACCCCGCTAACTCGGCCCTCGCCGCAGCCTAGGCCGTGAGGGCCCCTAGCGTACTCAGCCATGAACTTCGACTCAGGCACGGCCTACGCCGAGTCGGATGCCGACGACGAGTACGAGCGAGACATCCACGGCAGCTCGCCCATTGCCACCGACGTCGAGAACTCCCCCATCGACTCCGACCCGCCCTCCGCCGAGCACACCCCGACCACCTATGGCGCCTACCGCTCCAGCGCCGACCGCTTACCGGAGACGATTATTTCGGAGTGGAATGCTGATGAGTGTGCGGATTTTATTGCCAGCATTGGACTACAGCAATATGCCGATATTTTCATAGGTAAACACGAGACAATTACAACACCACGGGCTAGGATGTGGTGATGAGGATGGATAATGGACGACAAATGCTGACAAGTTGTGTGCTTCTTTGTAGAAAACGAAATTGTTGGAGAGGCCCTTGTTGCTCTGCAACATGAAGACCTCAAGGCGATGGGAATCCTCTCTGTTGGGCACCGACTCACCATCCTCAAGTCGGTGTTTGACGTCAAAAAGGCACAGGACGTGCCTATCGAATCCGATCATTACATGCCACTAAGTGAGTCGTGCGCGGCCTTTTATGTATTATGGGGCCAATTAGTCCCAAAACCTATCCGTGCTAACAACATACTGTGTCACAGCCGCCGAGACACAAGCCCAGTCGTCGTACGCCACGCTAAAAGACATCAAGCAGCTGGTGGAACAGTTGCGCCTACGAGACGAGCGGATATCATTAGTCGAGCAGGACATCCGCAGATTAATGGAAGACTACCGGAAACTACGCGAAGACGTCCTCCCAGCAGTGCGCATGGTCAAGGACGCCCAACAGCCGCTGCCCAACCTCACGAACGGGCCATCGTATGAGAACACGTTATCACCACCCGCACCGACGCCATCAACGGGCGGTCCGGGCAGTGCCGGCCTCAACCGGCAATACTCCACCAAGAGAATCATGCTAGGCACCACGCCAAAGGCGACATCCCCGACACATCTCCAAACAAACCACGACCGTTCCATCGTCGAACAGACCCTCGACCCTGCCAGCGCCGCTGAGCGCGCCGTCATGTCGTCCTCCCACCTAGCCGCCATGAACGGCTCTGGTGGTAGTGGGAACAACATCTCGCCCTCTTACCCTTCCCCCAATATGCCCTCGCCGACCTCTCCACCCACTGGTATGCTCCCCAACGCCACACTTGGGGCCCGCTCCTACCGCTCTGCCGACCAACCGACTCCTTCCTCCCGCTCCACCTTCGCACCCGACGACCACTACTCCAGCAACCCCCTTCCTTCATCCGCCTCCTCCACCTCCACCAAAACCACAACCGTCCCGGCCCCCGTCAGCGCGCCACGTCGCATGCAAACCCCAGCCCCCGAAACTCCAGGTTCCGCCAGCAACGCCTCAGTCGAGATCTTCAAGTCCTTCCGCGTCAGCATGGATGACCCATGCTACAAGGTCCTGCCTGCCGCGCTCAAGAAATACCAAATCAACGCCCCCTGGGACCAGTACGCGCTGTACATTGTGTACGGCGACCAAGAACGGTGTCTCGCACTCGACGAAAAACCACTCATCCTCTTCAAGCAGCTAGACAAAGAAGGCAAAAAGCCCATGTTCATGCTGCGAAAAACGAATAACGGCGGACTCGGAGGGGATATCGGTGGGTCAGGCAGTAACACCGCAGGGTTCGGTAGCGGCGGGATAGGTTCTGGCGGGTTAGGCTCAGCAGGCGGAGGTGGTGGAGGAGGAGGAGGAGGAATGGGCGGGGGTAGTGGCATAGACTCGGCGCCGGGAAGCGCGGGTCTACCACCCCCTGGGAGAGGGGCCGCTTTGCCTGGGTATGATCCGCCTGGTGGCATCATTTAGGCGCATGATCGCAGGAAGGGGATCAGACGGGCCAGCGGGGGGCGTAGAAGGAGTAGGAGGCCGAGGGCTGTGGGATGATTGGTAAAAAGATATAGGGTCTTTCTAACTCGGGGTGTGTGTATGAGCTTCGGTTGGATAAGAAAGAGTAAGGAATTACGTTGGAACGAGGTGGAGACTTTACGAAATCTACCTTGAGGACAGAACAGAGAGAAAGTGATCAAAAAAGCAGGCATGAGCAAAATGGGCTGACATATAGGCCTCAGTGTACCAATCGCTAAACTACTGCGCTATGTACGTGAAAGGGAAGATTTTAACACAAGGTTTTGGTGGATTTGGGCAGGGAAAATGTGTACTTTTGGGGGCATCAGGACGGTTCTTCTGATCAACGTAGCAAAGGACGGGATGGGGCTGGGTAGAATACTTTTAGGTGGGATAGGATGGGATGGAGTAAGGAAACAGGAAGAAAGCATCATATCCTTCGTTTCCTTATTGTTGACATCTGTGTTGCTATTGCGTTGTTGTGATCATGTCTTGGTCTAGCTTCTGTTTATGTGTGGCTCTTGCATGAGAATCACGAGGCAGGTCCATCCGTTTGACTTGTCTACGGAAATGCGAATCGCCGTCGAGGAGTTACATAACATGTCACAGTTCACTTAGACACCCGCCTGCAAAAAGGGTTGCAAGTACACTAATTGAGCTATTTAGCTACATGGGGTATATCCCTTCCTTACACGCCGTCCCCTAATCTTAACAAATCTGTGGGTTCATCAGGCTACGTACATATTGTACTAGCCGAACCCGAAACCTCAACCCTAAACCTAGACAATGGTGAAAATAATGCCGGCGATGATGGCCATGGCAATGACAATGGCCATAGCCGTATTGAGAACAAGTGGCGATAGACACTCCCAAATAAGCAAACAGACAGGCTTCTTGTTGTTGAAGCCTCGCGCCAGAAGGTGGGGGGAGTACAATGAGGCAAGTCAACCTCGGATAGGTAAGGTTTCTCACCGACCGAAAGAACTCCTTATGTTGCAAGCAACGGAGTTGTCGTGAAACACAACGCAATGCAGCCAGCCATCCAGTCCTCCTTGTGACCGTCATCAGACAGGCATGACTGGGCTAACAAAACCAGGCGCTGGGACAAATGCGAACGAAAACCTCGACCGAGCGACCGTTTCGCCATTTCGCCGTTCCTTAGCAAACGCCGTGTTCGTTCTGTTTTGTTCCCTGAGCCCGAAAAATAGGGACCGAAAATTGAGAACCGAAAACCGAAAACTGAGAACCGAAAGAGAAAAAAACAACAGAAAAACAGAACTGGATGTAGTCAAACACAGGCCAATATCTTAGCCACACGCCTCTCCCAGTCGCCATCAAACATAAGCCGGAAAAGGCAAGCACAAGCCGCCACGAATCAGCGACGACGCCTGCCATCGACTTTCATATTCCTGGCCTTCTCCAGGGTGCCTTTATGGTTGCGGTACAGGTCATAGACGTCGCCGCTCTTCACCCAATCGGCCATGATCTTGTCGACCAGCCGGCCGCGCTGCATCGGGGTCATGACGTTGCGCTCGACCAGCTTCTCCGCTTTCATGTAGCCGTCCCGGATCAGGCGGGCATCCACCCAGTCGAGCAGCGCCATCTTCCAGTGGGTGAGCTGGTGGGCCATCTCCGCGTTCGCGTTGCAGGTGACCCCAACGTTCCACGAGGTGGTCTGGGGAGCGATCTTGAGTCCACGTTCGTCCTCGTCGTCGGAGTCGGAGTTATTGGTAGAGCCCGAGCCGGGCTCGACAGGATTCAGGAATCGCGCGAGGTTACTAGTATCCTTATAGTAGGCGCTGCCGCTGAAAGTAATGTTGTGTCTAGAAGGCCGGATGCATTAGCAGAGGCTACCTCAGTTTCTTTCAATCAATCCGCAGGGGCGACTGCTACTTACTTGGCCGGATGCCCGGAACGGCCGCAGGCACCACAGTCTTCCCCGTCGATCGAAGCTCCCGCTGGCAGATCCACGCTAGTAAAGTAGGGCCGCGCCAGGAGGGCCTTGTAAAAGGGTTGGCGCCAAGAAGAGGACGAGTACTTGGAATCTGCGAGGCCCCCAACTTCGTTATCCAGCTTCTTCCATGCTATCCGATACATTTTGTCTTCTCTGTTCGGAAAGCCGGGGTTGACCTTGAACTGCACGAGCCACTCTATGACATCGCGGAACAGGTCCTTAAAAGGCTTGTGGGCGTTGGCCGTGAATTCAAGCGGCATTAGGTGGAAGTGGTCGGGCTCCCCCAGAAGGCCTTCTTCGTCATCGTCGATGAAGTTAGCGTCGCTATCCGAATCCTCCTCATCGCTATCGTCATTGCCGGCTTGCTTATCGTCGTCAGCCCGGGCCTTGCCTTTGCCCTTGGTCTTGGCCGTGCTCTTCCGGACAGGCGGCGCTTCGTCCGGCTCTTCATCCTCGAACTCCTTAAGGGCGAGGAAGTCATCATTGCTATCGTAAAGCGCTCCATCGCCCTCCGAGGACCCTTCCTCCTCGTCACTGTCCTCATCATCCTCATTAACGGCCTCTCCAGCGCGCTTGCGACGACGAAGCTCGCGGGCCTTCTGCTTCGGCGTCCTGCCCTTCTTCTTGGTTGGCTTGATGCGCCTAACCTTCGGGCCTGGGGTCGTCTGCTCTTTGTCCTCGGCAGTATCCGAGAGGGCGCTCCTCTTGACGAGCCGGCGACGCCTCACAGGCGGAGCGTCATCGTCGTCCTCGTCGGGCGACTCGGAATTGTCGCCGCGCTTGCTCGCAAGGAGGCCGCCCTTACGTTTTGGCCTAGGCGTGGGACGCGGCGAATCGTCCTCTGAGTCGGCGAGATTGTCGGTGGCGGCGGTCTTTCTGCTGGCCTTGGGCGTGAAAAGAGGAGATTTCTCCTCATCGCTATCAAGAACCGCGATAGACTTACGCGTTTTCTTCGGTGTGATGCGGGGCGAATCATCCTCCTCCTCGTCGCTCTCTTGAGCCATGCGGCTGTCCTCATGGCGATCGATCTTTTTTCTAGCAGAGCTAGAATTCTTCGCCTGTTTTGCGTTACGGAGGTTGGTCGACGAGTCGTCTGAATCAGAACTGGGGAGCCGACGCTTTTTGGCTGCAGGCTTTTTGGTTGACGATTTTTTAGTTGAAAACATCTTAGTGGCAGGCACGCTCGCGTCGCTTCCAGATTTTTCGTCAGAGGAATCAGTGAGCAGCACTCTCTTTTGGGAGGTCCGATTATTTCCCTGTGACGCAGGCAAAAAGGAAGGAGGCGGGCTCGTTCTGCGAGCCGGACTAGATACAGAACCCCGTAAAGGAGAGCGGGCCTTGCGGATTCTCGGCGCCCTGACGAGGGACCGGGTCCGCGGACGGCCTAGAATTAGGGTGTTAGCGGGCCACATTTTGTATCATGAATTCACCACAGGGTGGCTAGGGGATCCTCGGGAGCTTACCCAACGTATCTTCGATGGTCTTCTGTTTCTTCTTCGCCATTCTGCTCTGTGAAGGCTAACACCCAGTAAATCACAGGCTTCACCCAAACAAGAAGACTTTACAGTCACGACTTCTAATAAGTCTAGAAAATAGGTTAACAAAAAGCCATTTGTTCAGAGTTAAGCACCCATCTAATGAGTATGTTGTGTGGACTCCAGTTCTTCCAGTCCCAACCGACTGGAACGGGCTGAAACAAAACAAAGTTGGAGTTCACACCCATTGGCCGCCGGTATACCAACTTCCCCAGTCCCAAAAAAGAAATGAAAACATGCTAACCATCCAAAAGAATGGTGACCCACGTTTCTACCCTCGAGGGTGGAGGGCGGGGGAACTGGCGGGGGGAGCAAATCCAACTTCAAAAGAACTAGAAAAGAGCTTACCAAGATCAACAAGTCCCAAAGAAAAAAAAGGAGCAAAAAAGCCCTCAAAGACAAATTCCAATCGTTCAAACACCTTGACCCAATAAACCCAAAAGTGCTGTTGGGAACGGTTGGATCACAGACAATGATGCCGAGAACACGGTGACGTTAACGCGATCTCGGGCGATGCAGCGGTCCGACGCGATCCTGCAAAGGCGGGTAATAGCGGGGATCTTGGCGGGGCGAGTCGCCCAAAAATAAGTTCAAGTCGGGCGGATTGGCGAGGATCTTTGAAACTTGAAAAGAGGAATTGACTATGCCCGTTTTGGAGCTATCAAGTATCGCGATCGATGAATAGCAGCGCCAAAAAAATGGGGGTCCAACTTGTGGCAGTATATATAAGGGTTGTGGTTTGTTGACGATGAGTGCAAAAGTGAGAATGGGAGCATCAACGGCACGCCAATTTATACTTTTCCAGTCTCCCACTTGTGCGCCGAAATCAGCCAGCTAGCCAGCCCTAAAATTGTCATCGTGCCGAAAGAGCACTGTGTTGGCAAGTTCCCAAAATACAGGCCCAAAAACTTCTGTCCTGTTGGAAACAGGAAGAAGTTGGAGGAAGGAGGGCGGCTTTTGAAGTTTTTGGACGTTAAATCACGGGTGGCCTTAGCGCGGATTCGGATTTGACACGAAGCCACGTGACTTTTGACCTCGAGAATGCTCGGCTTCAAGTTGATCACGTGGTGCTCCTCAGAGAGCCAGGATCGGTGAGGATGGCAATGGAAATCATAAGATGTTCTCGACTCGATATGGCAGGGAGAGACTCCTGAAAGGCTATTTGTTCCACTGGGAAGACCGGCAAGATTGCTCGGAAGGAAGGAGATCACACTTAGAGACTTGACGAAAGGGGAATGCGAGACCAAGCAACCATGTGATCAATCGGCGGGACGCCGGGGGCAGCAATGTTCTATTTAGCTGTTGTATTCACAGATATTCCTCATTAATGATCCATTCATCGCACACCAAAGTGTAGAAGCCAACCAGCCACGAGTTCATTCCTTCAACACTCCTGTACGCTTTACTCCAATCCACCATCACCCGGACGACATCACCCTATCATCTTCAACATCAACATCGAACGATAGCTATTAGCCACCAACACCCGACTCCTTCCCAATTCTTCAACTCCTGTACATCAGGGGGTATGTTCCGTACCTGAGCAACAACACAAAAAATAACAATACATTACCAGTCATCCATTTGACTGCCCCGTTGCCAGACGAACAGAACCTCACGTTACCTCGTGACGTGTCTTCTTCCTCCTTCCCGGAACCCCGCCCATTCCCCCATTTCCCTATCCAATCCAAGACATGAAGAGAGAACACCGATATGCCAGATTCTAAACATTATAAAGACTAACAGCCAGGGAAGCAACGAGCGAAGAAGTTTCTTCTACCGCAGCTGCTCCTTCGCATCCTGTACACCACGTTCAATAACATCATCCAGCTTCCACCGGGGTGGCTTGATGACACCCTCGAGGCCATTCGCGCGACGCCACTCCTTCTCCATCTCCGGGGTGACGCCATCCGGTAGCGGTTCCTGACCGCCCGCGATGCCGGTAGAGTACTTGAGCTGCAGGATGTCACCGACCTCATCACAGGCGGCCAAGACGCGGTCCATGTCCTCCTTGTTGTGGGCAGATGACAAACAGAAACGGGCACGCGAGCTGATGAGCGGAGTGGCCGGGTATCCGACCACCACGACCGAGATCTTGCGCTTGAGCATTTCGTGGCTGAAAGCCGACATCTTGCCCGGATGGTATAGCACGATCGGGATGATAGGCGAGTCATCGTGACCATACGTGATGAAACCAAGACGCTTGAGTCCGAGGCGGAGGTACCGGGAGTTGAAGGCAAGACGCTGCAGACGCTCCTCGCCTTGGCCGGGGGCGATCTCGCCGGTGATTAGCCTGAGAGAGGTGAGAATCTGCATCAGGACGGAGGGGGTCGCGGATTCGCCCAAAAGACTAGCCGCGTTGCTCATCCGGAGACCGTCAATGATGTGCTTGTCGGCCGCAATGTAACCGCCGTTGGCGCCGAATGACTTGGTCAAAGTGCCCATCAGGATATCAACCTCAGCCGGGTCAATGCCAAAGTAATCGCAAACACCACGGCCCCTCGGGCCCAGGGCACCGATACTGTGGGCCTCGTCCACGTACAAAAAGAACTTATACTTCTTCTTGAGCGCTAGGACACCAGGAAGATCAACCATGGTGCCTTCCATAGAATACAGACCCTCCACGGCAACGAGGATCTTCTTCCAGGGGCGGTGAGTGCGGGGTTGGCCTTGGGAAATAGCTTCACGCAGCTTCTTCTCCAAATCTCCCATGTCGTTGTGCTTGAACGAGCGGATGACAGCTCCGGACAGACGAGCGCCGATACGGATAGAGGCATGGTTGAGTTCGTCCGAGATGATTAGGCAGCCCTTGGAGACGAGCGCAGGGAAGGAGCCGGCGTTGGTCACGAAACCCATCGAGAACACCATGGCAGCGGGCTTGCCGACAAACTGCGCAACCTCGCGCTCCACCTCGAGGGCTAGTTCGGAGGTACCGGAATCAGCGCGTGGGGAGCAAAAGCTGAGGCCAGTCTTGCGCACACACTCCTCAACGGCGTCGGCGCAAGGGCCCTCAGATTGAGCAAAACCAAGGTAGTTGTACGAGCTGACATTCAAGGTCTGAGTGTATGTGCCGGTGTACTTGTAGGTACGGTTGAAATCATCTGACTTGCGGTCGATGAGAGTGATGTACCGGCCGGGGACGCCGGTAGTCGGCCGGGCAAAGCAGTCATCGAGGCGGAGCTTCAGCCGCCTGACGTAAAAGTTGTCAAAGTCATCGTTAAGGGGGGCGTAGCCGTTGAACACTTTAAGACTCTGGTAGTGCTTCTTGTCACCGAATCGCTTTCCGAAGAAATCCCGCGCGTGGCCAAAAGCAATTAGAAGCAGGTAGCTGATATAAGTTGTAAGGACGAAGTAGTAAGCCGGCTCGTCTTCGATAGGGGTCTCGAGGGGGCCGCCCTGGTGGGCACTAATATAGAGGTGGTTCACGTCGAGTAAAGGACCAAACTGAGCCTCGCGGCGCTCCTGGCTCTTGGCCTCGTCGGCCGAAGGGGGTTCAAAGAGTGTGGTCGGCGGTTCATCGGTGTTGAGTTCCTCCCCTCCAACTGCCGACAGAGAAATGGTCGGAAGGGGGCTAGGGGAGCCAGCCATCTGGGGCGAGGCTCCTTGGTGGTGCGACACTGCTTGCTGCTCCTTGGATTTCGAAAAGAAGCCCGCGAGGCGGTTGCCCTTTGAGTGGGATGGCCGTCGCTCGCTGGACATGGTGGATGACGAGAAGGGGTTCGAGAGCTTTCGAGGCATCGCAGAGGACGCTCAAAGGCAATGGTCGGTTAACAGGCAAGACAGAGGATGCTCGCGCCGATCGCAGGTGTTCTCCCAGGCCAATGGCACCAATTGAGGCTGGCAAGAGCAGGCTGTTAGCGGGGGTTCCCTCACGAGCTTCGCCGGTTGAGGCAGCAATTGGTGGTTGCGGTCGAGGGTTCGGTGTCGACGCTGGCAAAGCGGTGTGAATCTTGGTGCTGTGGGGACGGGGGCTGGGAGAAACAGCGAAGCCCCAATAGCGCGCGGCCCCCAGAGCCCTTATCACGACCAAGGGGTTTTGCTCCGCAGGAGATCCCCCAACGTAGTGGCGAGGCAACCGACTTACACGTTGAACCCAACGGGCCGTCCACAGGTTCGCCAGAATCGAACAACAAGAGGTAGGTGTCGAATCGGGGTGCAGCGGAGAATGACGTGCCAGGTGCAAGCAGAAGCTCCCGCGCGAGACGAATGGGGGGTTGGGGTCAACAACCAGCTGCAACTGATGAATGCTGGCGAATCAGGCGGGTGGGCGCTTTCCCAAAGGAGCTATTGACAGGAGAAAGGAGTTGGGGAAAGGGGGAAGGACCTTGCGGCCCGCGTCGTTGCCGGTATCGCCTTCCTTGGTGGTCGAACTCGCGAAAACAGAGAGAGAGAGAAAGAGAGGCTCCTTGTCTTGCTCGAAGGAAGGGCTTGTCAAGAGGCGGCAAGAGCAAGACGGGAGAGTTCAAGAAGGGACGACAAGTCAAGGGCCGAGGGACGAAAAGCGGACAGGAGAGCAAAGGATTTCAGGAAACGGGATTATGGGGCCTTGGGCCCAGCACCTCGCGGTTGGCGAATCGGGGTCTCGGGGAGCGACAGAGTGGGGTCAGATGTGCCGTGAACCCGCTGGCGCAATTTGACAACCAGCCCTGTTGCCTCCCCGCTGCAAACTTGTCGCGCCGGGGGTTCGCTTTCCCTGCAAAAGAAAACCTCACCCCTGAACCGATTTTTTGTGGTTAGTGGCTCCATGCCCAGTGCCGGCGAGGTCTGAAAGACCGGGGCCATGATGGGAAAGCTTCAAGGCGATCATCTCCCTTCGGTGTTGTCTGGCAAACCACAGCTTGTGCAATTTATCACCTCACAGTTCCGCAATCGACCGTAAGTAAGTGGGATGACACTGCTTCCCGTCGCCTGCCGATGCATCGGCCGAGGAGTCGACTGCAATTGTGACGAACCCAGACAAGGCGGATTCTCAACCATGGGTTCCAGAGCGGAAACTACGGAAATGAGCTGACCGCGAGGGGCCAGGCCCCGCAAGTCCGTCAGTTTCAACGCAAGACAGGCCAGAAAGAATCGATTGCGCACTGCCAATTTCAAAAACGGATCGAATTGCCTTCGATTCGCGGCTTGCCGCTCTTGAGTTGGTCAGCTTACCAAAGAGGTCATCGGCTGTCGTGGACGTGGACTTCTTATCACACCCCTTGCGTACACCCACAGCAGCACCTCACTCTATCGAGTGCCAACTTCGGCAGACTCGGCAATAAATTCGAAGAGACGTGACAGTGTTGCATCGCATTCGCAAATAGACTCACAGATGTACAATGTACCGTAGTAAGCGAAGGGTGTGGTTCCTGACCACGCGACGATTTAACTACGTTAGTGTACAACATAAACAGGCCAGATCCAGGAAGACCATGACACTTCGGAGACGTTGAAATTGCGGATCTCGCGGCAACGATTTCGAGAAATGCTCCGGCGCGATTTTTTAACGTTATGATGTCCCGGCCGATCCGCGTATCGATGCGCGGCACGCATGACGACTTACTTACATTTAACTACTGGTATCTATCTCTTCTCCCCACGCCGACTGAGATCCCTCTTTCCCAAGCCCAATCCCCAAAAACCTTCATCGTCCCATGATTCGTCCCATCATTGAGACTCCAAGCGGGCCCCCGAAAATCCAGCGGGCCAGCCCGGCCACCCAACGGCGGGTGCGGCGGTACCTGCATTGGATTGTGGATGTTTCCAGTCCCACTGCGCTGTGCGACAGGGAAAAGCGCAGGAGCTGAGAGCGGTGATGCTGTGTGGTGGCAATCGTCGGCTTTGCGCGGCCTTTCGTCGTGCTCACGGGCTCGCTGGTGCTCGGCCCAAGACTCGAGATTGTGGTTCATCCCTCAGCATGTAAAAAGATGGGTTGTCCCGTTCATCTCATCAGAAGTGCGTGAGAACTGAGTGTAGAGGATAAAGGATATCGGCCTGGTGCTTGCCTGTCCCCTCTCTTCCCTCTGCCTAAGTTTCCAGAACATCTATTGTTCTGTTAGTCCTTCGGCTATTAAACCCGTTATTCGGAGGTGTGAACCTCGGGAATCAGTGAAAACCCGCCGTATCTCGGAGTTCCGGCAGGGTACTGTACCTACTTGAAGCCGTCACTCCAAACAACCACACCGACAGCAACAACGATAGCAAAACATCAACACTCTTCCACAACACACCCCCATCACCTTAAGGGTCAGTCCCCCAAAATGGTCGCCGCCGAGCTCTGGAGACACGAGCAGCCTGAGGGCACGCAGATGTGGAAGTTTTTGCAGCATGTGAACGACAAATATGGTCTCAACCTAAACGACTACCCGGGGCTGTACAAGTGGTCCGTCGAGAACGTGGCCGACTTCTGGGGTGATGTCTGGCACTTTGCCGGTATCAAGGCTTCAAAGCCGTTTGACCAGGTGTGTAACAATCTTATCCCGTCACCCCTGGCTACCTAGCAAAGCTCCCCCTTTTCCAGCTCGAGAACCAAACCACCACCCGCTAACTCCTTCCCAGGTCCTCCCCCAAAATGCCTCCATGTTCCCCCGGCCCGACTTCTTCGCCGGTGCCCGTCTAAACTTCGCCGCGAATTTGCTCTTCCCCGCCAACGCTGCCGTAGACGAGTCCAGCACGGCCGTTATCACGGCCACCGAGGACGAGTCCCACATCGTATCGACCTCCTGGGCCGAGCTGCGCGACCAGGTCCGCCGCTGCTCCCACGCCCTGCGCACTGCCGGCGTTAGAGAACACAGCGTCGTGGCTGGGTTTGTCGCCAACCACGTTCAGGCTCTGGTCGCACTATTAAGTGCCGCTGCTGTGGGTGCGATTTGGACCGGTATTAGCCCGGATAATGGTGTCAGTGCCGTGTTGGATAGGTTAACGCAGATCCGGCCGCAGGTGTTGTTTGCGGACAATGCAACGCTGTATAACGGCAAGGCGTGGTCGGGTAAGGCGAAGATGTTGGATGTGGTTGAGGAGTTGAAAAAGCATGGGCTGGAGCAGGTTGTTGTGATTCGGGGTCTTGAGGCTATCGAGACAGGGCTAGAGGAGATTAGGGGGAAGGGAGTCAAGGCGGAGGAGTATGAAGAGTTCTTGAAATCGTAAGTTAAGCCCATCTCCTATCATTGGATAAAGCTTTGTCGTTTTAACATGGTCACAGGTCACCAGATATGGCACTAGAATTTGCGCACCTTCCGCCCTCCCACCCCCTTTACGTCCTGTACTCGAGCGGTACTACCGGGCTCCCCAAAGCCATCGTCCACACCGCAGCAGGCACTCTGCTACAGCACAAGAAAGAGCACTTTTTGCACTGCTCGCTCTCACCGGCTTCCCGAATGCTCTACTACACCACCACTTCCTGGATGATGCACCACTGGAGCGTGTCCGCCCTGGCCTGTGGCGCCTCTCTCGTCCTCTACTCCGGCTCACCCTTCAAGCCGCATGGCTACCTTTCCATCCCGCGCCTCCTTTCCTCCCTCCGTGTCACTCATTTTGGCACCTCGGCCGCCTACTTGACCACCCTCGAAGCGAACAACATCCGCCCTGTTGCCGACCCCACGCTTGACCTGTCCGCCCTCGAAGCCATCTACTCGACCGCCTCGCCCTTACCGCCGTCCACCTTCAGCTTTGTCTACTCCGCCTTTCCAGCATCCATTAACCTCGCCTCCATCACCGGCGGCACCGATATCATCTCACTTTTTGGTGCCCCCTGTCCGCTCCTGCCTGTTCGCGTAGGGGAGATCCAGTGCGCCGGCCTCGGGATGGCCATCGATGTCGTCGACCCGTCTTCTCCGCCCGACGATCCACGGCCCGTCATCCCTTCTGCCTCAGACGATGATGACGGCACTACTTCCCCACCAGGCGACCTGGTCTGCACCAAACCCTTCCCATGCCAACCTCTCACCTTCTTCGGCCCCAACGGCGAAGCCAAATACCGCGCCGCGTATTTCGAGCGGTTCCCCGGTCTCTGGCACCACGGCGACTTTGTGCGCATCGACCCGCGCACGGGAGGGCTCGTCATGCTTGGCCGCAGCGACGGTGTTCTCAAGCCAGCAGGCGTCCGGTTCGGCTCGGCCGAGATCTACAACATCCTCACGCGCTTCTTCGCAGCCGAGGTCGAAGACGCAGTGTGTGTCGGCCGCCGGCGGGAATCCGATCGTGACGAGACAGTGTGTCTATTCGTCGTCACCACCACCCCCTCTACATTCGACGACGTCCTCCGCAAACGCATCGCCGAGACGATCCGGCGGGAGCTGAGCCCGCGGCATGTGCCCGGTGTGATTGAGGAAGCTAAGGGTGGAGTGCCGAAGACGGGCAACGGGAAAAAGATTGAAGTGGCGGTTAAGCAAATCTTGTCGGGTATGAAGGTAAGGACGAACGCGAGTGTCGCGAACCCGGAAGCGTTGGATTGGTTTCGGGCATGGGCGAAGGAGAGAGAGGAGGGGAGTAAACTCCCAAACTAAGGGGAGGGGGGTAGACGGAAGAATGATCTATGATAGATGATAATAGATAATACACAGCTGGGCCGTGAACATAGGCTCCGTTATATGCCAGGTCTCTCTGCCCGGTAGTATCTCATGTGTATTATCGAAATTTGGTGGCTTATACCTCATGGCGTCACAGTGGCATGTATATACAAGGTGAATGAATATCAGCAACAACATGAGATTCTCTCATTGGCTTTTGGAAACGAATAAAAAAGGAACCAACAAGCAGACTAACTGACTAACATATAGAAAACAAAAAGCTCACCGCTAAGCCCTATTCCCCCCATCTGGAGGAATAGAGGTTGGTGGTTACGAAAAACCGGTGTTTTTCTTCGCTGACCCGGGGATCGACCCCGGAGCCATTTCGATTTACGACGGAAGTGGCGGGACCAGCGCCCCTCCCAATACCGCTACGCCAAACAAGCTGTTTGGCGAATTGGGAGGAGTTGGTGACAGGAGCAGTGGAAAGGGGACTTATATCCTTGAGGTGGAGGGAAGGTGCGCGGTTCTTGGTGAGCGCCCTGGAAACGGCGACCTGAGATAAGATTTCGAGCTTCAGAATCCTGCAAGTTGACCTGACACATTCCACAGTGTGGGTTGACACCCAGTTCAATATTGAAAGCGCAGGCTGTCTCGTTGCACTTGCTAATATACCCCTTCGCCCTGTCCTTATTCCTTCTTTCCTACCGAAACAGGCGGAAGGAGGACATGAATCTCCCACCCCCGTGCGCCAGCCCAAAAAGGGACAAACCATGGCTAGAGAACCTACGAAGAAGCCAAGGAAGTCTGTTCCCTATTTAGGTGGTTGGCCTGTCAAGCCTGTCAATATATATAATATACGTTAGGTTGTGCATACACATGACAACGTAGCCCGGTCAAATCGACGTGCCATTCACTTATTTATCATGATCTCGCTGCCAGATCACGCTCAGCAAGTAGACCAACCAACCCCGGTAAACACCATGTAAAACCTCAATATATCATGTGGCTACAATAACACGGGCAATGACCAAGTTCCATTGACCAAAATCCACAAGTAAAGGCTACGTATTTACTCCCTCCGTATCTCGGCAACTACTGTCAACAGACAGTCCAGCAAGCCCAAATCAACTACCCACCCCCATAAACCGAATAATGAGGCGAAAGCCAAATCGACCAAACTTTTCCCGCCCAGCCTGTTTTTGTCTGCGATTGAATACCATCGCTAACCGATAAAACCGATTCCGTCGAGCTATCAAGCCCGCGATCCAAGTAAAAAAGTTTTCCCCAGTACCCTTGAGCATTTTTGGTTTGTTCTTCATGTGTTTTTTGACTCCATTCGCGTTGATGATGACCATACGCCTCCAACTCTGAGACGACAGCAAACACCGTGTAATGAGTCGCACTTGAAATACCCGGTTCCGCTCGGGATTTCCAGGCAGGAACTGACAACCATAACGCACCTCATCCATCTCAAACCATCACAGATTCAACTAAAACGGACCCCCATCCATTCCAAACCCCCTCCCGCCATCCATTGATGTTGGATCCATCGAATCCATCGGGTCCATCGCCATGTACTCTAGCAGATCCAGCCCGCCTACATTGACCCCTTCCGCTGTCATCGCCACAGCGTTGTTGTCCATATTCTGGAAAAACGCCGGGCCTGTGGGGAGGTACCACATCTCGTTGTTGGGATTGGTCCAGTCAGTGCTGTTGTCGAAGAGGCCGCCGTTAGTATCAGCCACGTTACCATTGGCTCCATTCGTGGTTCCGTTGTTGGTATTGCCGTTGGGATTGGTGTTCGAGTTAGTGGTGTTGTCGAGCCCGGTGGTGGCCGCCGGGGTAGCGGGACCAAACACGGAGGTTGGGCCCGCTGGGTAGGGGAAATTGCCGGCGGTGAGGTCCCAAGGGGTGGCGGAGATGTTAGCCGGGGTCGTGGAGCGGTCTACAGGGTGTTTGTTAGAACAATGTACGTAAGGAGGGTGCAGCAACGGAGATAAAAACAAAGGAAGACTTACCCATTGCAGGCCCCTCTCTCAACTTCATCCACAACTCATTGGACGACCCACCACTATGGCCCAGCCCACTGATCCCATTCCCAACGTCCCCACTAGGCATCGCCCCTGGAGACCTTCCATCCGTCGTCGACGCTGCAGCCGGCGGGGGCGCATAAATAAACCGATTCCGCAATCGGCTCGTCAACGTCTCCAGCATATCCGCAAATCGAATCCCCAAATGCACATCGTCCACGACACAGTTACGTAGCGCGTCTACGGTCCGGTCCATCAGTTGGATGCTCATCTCGACATCCGACTTGGGCGCGCCCAGCGCAAACGTTTTAAGCAAAAACATGGCGCCGCTGATGATGCGGAAGTAGGTGCGCACTGGGGCGTGCTTGAGGTAATCCCCTGGCAACAAGCCTTCGACGACGGTACGTAGAAGGTTGCGGCTGCCCCCGACAACTTCGCGAACGTATTCTTGGTCGTCAGCGCCAAAGCCGCCGAGCTGACCTAGGGGTAGTTTACCGTAGTAGTTTTGTGTTTGTGGTGACAGCTGGGGCGCTGACGCGTTATTGTTGTTGTTATTGCTGTTGCTATTTCCACTGCCAGTGTGGTTGTTGTTGGTGTTCCCCGAGACGCTCCCACCACTCCCGCCCCCGGCATTACTAGTGCATCGCTCAACGACCGCTTGAAGGGAGAGTGAGTTGATGTAGATCCGGACGTATTCGTACTCAATCGTCAGAATGTGTCGGATGTAAGGGGGCAGCCGGAAGCGCTCAAACTGGTTCCACCAATCCTTGAGCATCGGCTGAAACTCCATGAGAAGCTCGATGTACTTGCCGCTCTGGATGATTTCGGTAGTGTGTTTGCGCGAACGGAATAGTCGTTCGTTGCCGACCTGCATGGCGTTGCTGATTCCTGCCCAGCAGTGGATGATTTGGTCATCCAGCTCCAGGTCGGGGATATAGTTGAAAGTGTTGGATAACGACGAAGGGTTGGTCCCAGGAGTATTGCCCTCAGCGGAATGGCGCTTCCTCCGAGCAAAAGCCGGGTCCGACTTGCGTAGCCTCTCGGGTACCATGTTGGTCCAACCGAGGCGGCCGGCAAGCTGGCTCAGGTAGATTAAGAGGAGCCTCTTGATACGGCTGGCTCTCATACGGTAGGCCTCGTCCTCATATTCCGGACGCGCAATGGCACCGGCAGCTAGCAACTCATCGATGTCGTCAAACACTCCGAGTTCGTATGCCAGCCCCATACCTGTGCTCAACAACATCCAGCACATGCGATCGCTCCGCCACGCAGGTTCTAGCCAACTCTCGATCCGCCTTCCTCCAATTCCGACTGTCCCAACTGCTGGCTTCTGACCTGTCCCCAGTTCGCCCGGGGTGGGTGGGTCGTAGGACGGTAATATCAGCTCGTCAGTAGCCTCGTTCGGTGGGAAATGGAGCGCACGCGGGTGCCACTCCGTCAAAATCATGAGCGACTCGATGGTCCCGAGGGTCCGCAGGCTGCCCCTCCGCAGCCCTCGCCACGGCGCCGTGCTGGAGCTCTGTATGTCCTCGGCCCCAGAACCGCAGAAGCCACCACCGAAGGCTTCCTGACCCCAGACTACCCGCTCGATCATGCCCCGAAGATATGTCCAGAGCTGCTCGTGAATGGCGTGCGAGCGGCAGTGGCCGCCCGTCCCGGGCATGCGGCGATATCGGGATGCGATAGTCAAAAGCGTGACGGTGAGTATTGGCTCCTCGGTCAGCAGCGTCATATGGGATGCCGGGTTGTTAAACGTCGGGGGTGAAATGGGGGTGAGGGGTGACAGATATGTATAGTAGCTGTAAGAGTGTCAGTGAGTCTGGCCAATTCGTTCTAGACTGTGATTGCGGCTTACTAGTCGATGTAGTCGATCGCTTCCTGCGCTGTGAACCATCCCGCGCGCACGAAACGGAACCTGCCCCATGCCTTCATCGCTTCGTTGTACCCTGGCTCGCTCGTCCGATCACGCTTTGTCAACTCTGGATCGATGGCTTGTTCCGGCGGCGGACCCTCCTGGCGCGAGACATGCCGGGCATGGTAGCTCCCGGGCGTGATTGTATTGGGAGGCTGGCGGGGCCCAGTATCGCGGCGGGCATGGTGTTGGTTAGGCTGGTGGTAACTGTGGTGATTGTGGTGGTTGACATTGTTGTGTGTGGGTGGAGGGTTATCATCCGGCTTGTGCGACGCGCTAACGGAACGGCGAGGTTGTCAGTACCCTAGTGAAAGTCACTCGATGCGCCACCACTGCCATACTCATACTCACTTATCAGTTGCCGCCTTATAAAGCAAATCCAACGCGTCGTGTGGCCCATAGACCTCCCTGCGCATGACGCTTTGGGCCTCCAGGTTCTCAAGCGGTGTATTGGGCTCTCCGTTTCCAAACTCGCCAGCGGTGCTATTGCTCCTTGCGCTCTTGGGCGCGTCACCGGGTCGTCTTAGGGGCTGCGACCGGCCGTGGCTGCCCCCCGGCGTGAGTGGCACATCGCTGTATAATCGGCGGTCGATGGTGGGAGGGGGCGAGGCTGCGGCGGTGCGCAACTGCTTCCGCCCGTTACGCAGGATGTAGTCGTCCTGCTCCGAATCCTCGAGCGGGCCATCGTCGACCTTGCGCTTCCGGCGCGTGGCGCTAAAGTAACACTCTTTGCTCTCGCGACGGCAGCGAACACATGGCGGGTCGTGGGGGTCATCAACGGACCCAAGATCGCAGCGCACCTTGCGTCGCCGGCAGGGGATGCAGGCTTGATAGACGCGCTTGTGTTGGGAATGCTGACCCTGCGCCTGCGATGATGGCGTGTCGTCCGAAGGCCCGGCGCCGTGATGCCCGGAGCCGGCCCCACCGCCGATACTCCCACCTCCGCCACTACCACCACCGCTCCTCGCGGAGAGCGGAGCGGCGTGGGCCGGCCCCCCTGCAGGCGATGTTGACGAGGCGGCAACGGGTGAAATGGGCGAGACCGAGGATAGCTGCAATGCGGTAGGCGGACCGCCAAACTGCGACATGGCAGGCATTCGGAAACGGCCGAATGGGAACGAATAACAAGGCAGGAAAATATAAAATAACACAATAAAAAAACCAAGCCCGCGTCGCTCAACGGTCGCTTGGTTGCTCTGCTCGCCCGTCCGTCCAAGACCACTTCCCCAGATCTGCTAGGCGCGAACCTTTTTGCTTTGTCGGCTGGAATCGGTTTGCGGTGGGTGAAGACTGGAAAGAATCTGGGGGAGCGGGCCTGTTTTTGGGGCTAGTTGAGGGGTCTTGGCCCCCCGGATCGAGTCCCAGGATGACGCTTCTTGGGGGAAGACCCCGGTCCCATCTCTGCCATCGCACCTGCGCTTCACTGGGGTTCGAGGCACGGGGCTCCAAGTCTGTCTCTCTTTCCAGATCGCTCCTGCTCCATCTTCAGTGGAGCTGCGTTCTTGCCAGTGACACCGCAGGGTGTTGTGGGGCCCTTCAACGCCCCCTTCCAGGCAGCCTATCAGCATGCCACGTTGAAGCAAGGTCGGCGCTCCGGTTCCCCAATCTCGAAGGTCGCGAACAGCGGCAGCAACGGCAATGCATTTCTTTTAGCTCATTTTCAATTGCTCGCAGCTCGATGGGGAAGGTGTCTGGATGCACCTTGAGGATCGAGCCCCGAGCTTGATGCAGCGTGAAAAAAGAAGGAAAAAACTAATCAATTAGCTCGCTTGGACAAGATCGAAACGCTAGCTTTTGCAATTGAGCCATTCACCGGGGGAGAAAATGGAATTGCAAAGCCGCCCAATTAGGAATCCTGACGTTCAAAGAGATAAGCTGATGCCAGGGATTCAGATGCCCCGCCTCCCTTGGAAACCCGGAATCGACCCTACACGTCAACACCAACACTCCCCGTTCCCCGATAAGACACGAAATGTGAAGCGGCGACAGGTCCGGCACCTACTGTAGCATTGCAGCACAGGTCCCTGGCAGATGGGGACAGGCGAGATGCAACCCGGCAGAGACGGAACCCCTCGAAGGAAGACCAGAGAAAAATCTCAAAATCAAACCTCCGAGACGGGACGAGACGAGATCTCTTCACCCCGCCTGACAGGGAAAAACCGACTATCCCAACGCCCCCCGCCATTGCAACCTCGTTCGGACGTTCAAGTGGCCCACACACGTGTTGAGTGACGGCTGCTCCCGCAGGCAATATCACTTTCCCCCGGACAGGCACGAAGTCGTATAATCGAGAATTCCGGGGGGTCTCCAGTTGCAAGCCAACGAGCGAATGAGGAAACATGGCGGGAACAAAAAAAGACTCGCCCCTAGTCCATGCCACATACACGTCATACAAGTACAAATATTAACTCGAGGAAAGGCAAAAAACAATGAAAAAGAAAGGCATCCGGGATGTCTGGTGTGGGCGGAACCGGGGGTCACGTTGGGCAGGTCACGCGGGGAGCTCCAGGATCCATTCTTGTACACATCCCTTCCTTTCCAACCTCTCGCGTTCCCGACGACAGCAAACGTCAGACCAAAGAAAACTGGGGAAGCGGTGAGAATCTTTTTACTCGATATTGCACATTTTGTACGTAAACCAAGAGTGGCCGCTTGCCGTCCGGTATCTCGTGACATTCTTTGTGGCGTGTACCTTACTCGGAGAGCGAAGTCTCATTGTATGGCTGACTAACTGTGAGGTTCGCCCCGTGTAAGTCAGGGGGTTGACCGAAGTTGATTCACAGCCACGGCATACGATGGAGACAAGTGCCAAGATCGACAACTTCTCCTTTAATCGTCTTGCAGCAACCCATCAAGTATCAAATCCACTTTGAATATGTATATTAAACCACAATATTACCGTCCAGCTCCATCTCGGTCTCGGTGTAGGACGTCGTAACAATCTCTCCGATCCATTTTCTAGCCTACCCCTTCCCACGTGCAGTCGTTACTGCAATCGGAATTGTATCAAATCCATGTTACACGGCAGCAAACCACGGGGCTGAGCACAAATGTGGTGCAACGCACCGAGGCGAGTGAGGTCACAAACCATCCGCAGGCCAGGCCCAGGCCCGGGCAAGCTCAGGAGAGGCGTCTCGCGAGTACCACGGTATGTAGTGTACTGCGTATGTGACCCGGCTAGCGAGCCACAACGGTTGCTGCGCGCCTACGTGAGAGAAGGAAAGCCGAAGCTGTTCCGAACTCTTGGCTGCTTTCACGCGGTTGGTCTCCTGCATACACAGAATAAGCGACTTCTCCTACATGTAACCCGAGACTACCGTCGACATTGTTGGATGTCAAGAAATTGGTGGCCTAATTATTGCTTCTCCTATTCTCCGCAGCAAAACAGGCCAGCAGCAAATCAATACCGTCTCCCGAATTAACTTGTTGCTGAGCACCTGGCCCTGCCATACGCAAGGCGAGGTTGAGAGAAGAAAACAGCATCGTTCCGATCGGTCTGACTCCATCATGTCACTCGGAAGTTATGTTATGCTGTATCATCTCAACTCTTGGCAACCAAATGCTTGGGTTCATTTTTTTTTGGCAAAACAGGTTCCTAAACCCCTTCCACAAACCACCATCCTTGTAGACGCCAGACGCCGTTCGATGTAGATGTAGTAGTCGAGAGTGTCCTTAGGCAACAACGACGCCCTGCTTGATCTAGAACCGGGAGCCATCCAGTTAGGCCAAAACAAAGTATTAAGAATGGGATGAAAAAGAAACGTACCAGCAGGTCCCAGAGCATTTTCAGCAGGGAATCAGGGAGGGTATACAAATCGACTGAGAACTCGCCCGCATCCACATTATTCTGGACATATGTGCTGTCATCCTTGTGATCGTGGATGAGCTGGATCACCTGCAGCAGGTCGTCTTCACCGAGCTTGATCAGCCCGTCCGCCATCTTCTCGACGTCGAATGCCTTCTTCTTTTTACTGCTGCCGTCCGCCTTCTTGATCTTGCGCTCCTCGTCCGAAGGTAGCGGGCCGGTCTCGCGGAGGACCTGCTGGAGCGCTTGCGATGGGTTCTTGAATGTAAATGTGTGGATGTTCTCGTACTGCGCCGCGGCAAAGTTGAGGTCGTGCATGATGCTCTGCTTTCCGCCTTTCTCGGTTGTGAACAGATCGATGCTCATCTCGAACTCACCCCATCCCTCGTTGGTACATTTGAATGGGGGCTCCAGGAAGGCTGTGAGGGAGAAAGCCGCGGTCAGCACACACTCATGTTCTGTATTTCTTGGATCGTTTTCCCTCCACATGTAGCCCAGTCCGCCGGTAACGTACTTTGGATGGGATTCGCGAACGATGGGTGCAGGTGGTACACCGCCTTGTGGAAGCACCGCGCAGGCTTTTCCTTGCCATCTTGGTCGAGGACGTAGATCTCGACGGTCCACTCCTTCATGGGAAACCCCTCATTGACAGCAGGCTTGTCACTATCATCACCCAGCTCAGTCAGCCACTACTACTGCTGTTACTACTGCCGTTTGCCTTCTCCAGCTCCGGGCCGCCATGTCATCGTTCCCATTCCTCCTCAAAAAAAACAGTCACACAGGTCGCAGAGAGTGGGCGTTCGGTGGCACCCAAAAGCGAATCTCGAAATAGAATAGGGATCGGTGGGAGCTCGGTTCAGGTTGTCGGCTTACATGTTGTGTTGTTCGGTGACAACCTTGATCTTGCGCTACACGTCGCGTTTCGTTAGCTCAACTCTTCACTTTCCCGCCCCTCAATTCATCTCCCCGCCTACGATTGCTCGAGGCCGGCTGATCGTTGAAACATACCTCTACAATCATTTTCGGCAATATGTCCGTTTATGTTTTTACAGGAAAAATAAGGAGAGCGGATATGGCAGTGAAATCGAGAGTTGGGCAGGAGGAACGAGGGCTGCCGCCGATTTGCTAGGAGGGTTTTGTTTAGGAGGGGAGAAAGGAAAAAGGGAGGGGACCCAAGGAACACGAAGGAATAATTTGCAGTCCGCCTCAAATCCGTCAGTCGAGCGAGAGGGTGTTGGGACCGCTGGAAACCTGATCGATGCGATGCGCCTGCGGGTAACTCTCAGCTGTATGACGGTGCCTGATTGGTTCAGCTGGACGCGGGAGAGGTTCACTGAATGAACGCGGGGCCAGCGCGTGGCTGTGAGCCTGTGAGCAACTTTCAGGTGGTCCGTGCGAGCTGCTGGACAGTGGCGCGGGGAAAGTTTTATTCACATTGAGGAGAATGCCGGCCTTCTCCACCACAAACCCAGTGTTTTTCTTTTTTATCTAACGCTCACGGCAACCATCCAAAAGACTTCCGTCACGTCTTCAGAGGCTACCTTCCGTGTATAGCAAATCATACGTTATTCAAACTAAGATTGAGGGGATTGAATGGTATTTGGTCTATTTACAGCTACAAGGCTGATGATACCTCTCTCCAAAGAGAGAACTCCCTTTCCTGCTCCCGCTGGCTAGGTGGTGTGACATGGGGGTGTTGGGGGGTTGTGTTCTTTGTGCCGTGGCCATCGTCCCCTACTCCATTTGAGAAAATGGGTGTGGTGTGGCGTGGCATGGCGTGATGTGGGTTGGGAGGGTTGGGAGGGGTTGGGGAGGTGGGTTGGTGTTCATATCTTCTGAACTCATCGCTTTGACATGAGCGATGGAGATGGGGAACCATCTTATGCGGTCTCTTCCTTCTTCTCCTCCTCTTTCTCCGCCTCCTTGCCCTTCTCCTCAGCCTCCTCTTTAGCCTCCTCCTTGGCCTCGCCAGCCACCACCGGCTTTGTAAACAGCGTCTCGTTCTCCTTCTGCGCCTTGATGAAGGCGTCCTTGAACTGGTTGGCGTTATCCGAGTTGGCGAAACGGATGGCCAGGGTGAGCGCCTCGGGCTCACCCTCGCTCACATCGGCCACGACGTTCCAGACCCAGCTTCTGTCAGAGCCGACGTTGGGCGACAGCTTCATCTCGGGGACGACTACAGCAGGTCAGTCTCCAAAATGCTCCCTTTCGGAACCTCTCCCCTTCATCAAATACGTACCGTAGTGGTTGGCGCAGACCTTGAGGGTCTTGTCGCGGCGCATGACGAGACGGGTCTTGCCGTTGTCGCGGTGCTTGAGCAGGCGCACGTCACCGGTGCCACGCTCCTTCCACTCGCGGGTGTCGGCCACGTACTTGAAGAGCTTGGCGCGCATCTTGAAGACCTGCTCCTCCAGCTCCTCGTTGGTCTTGACGTCGACCTTCTCCGTTAGGTGGATGACAGGCTCAAAGTGAACGTCCTCGGACTCGGGGGCCTGGTCCTCCTATTATCACACATTTTTAGCAACTGCCTCAGTTCTAGCGCCCGGATCCCGGTCCACCAGAGTCTTGGGGGGGGAACCCACCTCCTCACCACCCTCCTTCGCAGCAGCGGCGGCAGCAGCCGCAGCCTCGCGCTGGGCCTTAGCGCTACCGGAATTGTCACCACGATCCTCATCGTCGTCCTTCTTCTCCTTCTTGGCGCCGCCACCAAACATGGAAAAGACAGAGGAGGTAGTAGTGAGCGGCTTGGTCTCCTCGCTCTTGACCTCAGGAGCCTTGACCTCCTCAACTGGCTTGTTATCGTTCTCGGCAGACATATTGGGTGGATGTATTTGCTGTATGTTCTTTCAGAGATTCGGTTTGATGAAAACTACTCCGCCATCCAAAATGTTAGCAAAGCTTCAAAAATGAACTCTTGTCTCTTTTCCCTCCCATTATTTCGGTCGGCTCCCTCATTTGTCGCCTGCTCTCACCGCGCCCTCCTTCGCCGCCACTGTCTTCTTGAGTCCGCCTACTCTCTCTCTCTCCTCGACGCTCCTCAGAGTTACCACTCCCGGTGTGGCCGAATAAACCCCCCGGGGCCTAACAACTGGATAATCCTCGAGGGCGGGGTTTACCGCGGGGCATGAACGCACGTTATGTGCAAGTTCGCCCTTCGTGCGCCAGCGACAACAATGAAACCCAAAAACCAAAGCCCGAATTCAAGGGAGAAATCACCGAGTCGAAAAAATAGGAGAGAACAGTGTAAAAAAAGAAAACGTACCAGTACTTTGTATCCGTAAATCAAGAACTCTAAAATCTGAAGCTGTCGCGCGCAACGCTTTGCAGTTTTGGAGGTGGATAAATAAAAGCAGACAGGCAGCAAGTGGAATGAATGGTCGTGGTGCGGTGGGTTGGTTGCGGAGCGCTCCTCTTGTTTGTTGCGGCCGCGCGAAAGAATTGCCCCTCATTTTTTGGCGCTGCCGTCTCCCCCCACCACACACCCCTGTGGGAGTTGGCACAATACCGTATCGTATCGTACAGCGCCGTGGAGGCTGTTTCACATGAAGCGGCACAACAAGGGTTCCTGGATCAATAAAGACTTTGACTCAATGTTTAAAAAGAGATAGAAAAGATCTAAGAAACAAGGTATGTAGTTGAGAAAACCCTTGACTTGAGCCAACTCAACATATTGACCCGTACAGTTCTTCCAAACCCGAGAATTCCCCAGTGGTCACAAACACACCCAGACCATGTTTCATGCCGTACCATAACGTTACGCGATTCAGCTGACAAGAAATTCACATCAGCAGTGGAGGCGGGCCAAGAGCGGGGTCCAAAATTCGGCTAATTGATTGGGCAGAGCCTCAGAACTCGGTTAAAGGCATATAAGCTTCTTCCTGTTTTCCCATGTGCAGGCATTTCAACAACACTTCAATTTCCCGAAAGCTAGTGGGAATTACCTACCAAAATTTATAAACATTCGCCTTTACACTACTTCCCAGGAAGTCCAGCAGCCCAAACTAAGCAGGAACGGGCAACTGGTCAAGCCCATTCCCGGTGTTGGAACATTCCTATGACAACCACATTAAGCTCCTGGACAATGAGATTCTGTAGTTTTGACGGTCTACAGAGCCCACAGATCGAAAAATTATCTCTTCCATTTTCACTGACACCTGTACTCTACGCCCAAGCCAACTCAAGGAGAGAAAACACCGTGTGTGATGCCTCAGACGGGTAAATATACAGGCAAAAAGGAGTAAAATCCGAAGGGGAATGGTCGGGGCATTTGAGTAAGATTTGATAGCGAAACTTTACGTACGTACACATATCAACTCATCATCTATCCGCCCTGCACTTCATCCCTATTCCCGTCCAACACCCAATCAACCAACCGTACCCCCGGGCGCCTCCCAATGAAAAACGAGGCAAAAGAGAGCAGCAGGTATTCCTCATATCCCGGATGCCATCCATAAACACCTCCTAAAGCCAACCGAGCCAGCCAAGCCAAATCCATGCATATTCCGCCCGTGGAATCATCAATCCGCCGGCCCGTCAAATGCGCCTACCCGAGAGACCTAAAAGAAAGAGACCCGTGGTTGCCATCACGGCAGTCGGTAGGCAAGATAAAAAATGAAACAGAAAAAGAGGAAAACAGTCTGGGCCTAAGGAGAAACCCGCCCACTCACCCCACAATCTTCCTCCACGCACCCTCCCACCGCTCTTGCTGTGACGGCACTCCTTCCTTTCGGTCTTGTCCACTCCCTCCACAGTTCCTCTTCAACAGAGGGTACATCATACTCTTAAACCCGCAGGGCGATTTCGTTTCCTTCGACGACGCGCCTTTCCTGCTAGTCCGGCGGCTCGTGCGGCTGTTGACCAGCTCAGCATGCTTCGCCTTGAGAAACTGTGACGCATTCCGCTGATATGCTGCATACTCCTCCATCTTCCCCTGCACCCGCAACCACCAAAGCTTCGAGGCGACTTGGGCCTGAAGAACAGAAAGGTCAATCTCCTTACGGATGGCTTCGACCGATCTGGCCTGGTTGGCCAACTGTTCACGAGCGTTGTGTGCGGTCTGCTTGACAGTGTCGCTGGTACGGGTGCGGACGGCTTCCGACGCCTGTTCTAGCGATGAGACAACTTCGCGAGGAAGTTTCCGGATTTCTTGACGTAATTTCCGGGCATTCTCGAGTAAGGAAGTGGCGTCGTCCGCGAATGGGACCATCTTGAGAGCACCCTGGACCAGGTTCAACCCAGCCTCAAAGACTTCACCAGCTGCCGACCGTCCAAAATCAATCTCGAAAGTCTCGTTGACCTTTGGTCGCCGGGTAGTGATAACCGTGATATTCAAAACACCATAGGCATCCTTCCGGTCAAGCTCAACAAGAATACCTTCGTCAACCGAAGATATCTTTGTCTTGATGGTGGCATCTCTGCGCCGAACCGCAATATCGATCGCTCCCTGGGCGAGCCATACGGCCTTGTTCCGGCTTGGGATGGCGACCAGAATCTCTGTCGGGCTATAAATATGCACCGCACACGCCATCTTGTTCGCATTAGCGGGTTGCTTGTTCTTGGTCTCAATATCGGCGGGCACGGCCGACGGTTTGTCAGAGAGGAAGCCGGCAAAAGAGAGCACAGAGGCCAAAGCACTAGTTGATGGCTGAGTCTGGCTAACCTGGACAGTCTGGGTCGAAGTCACGTTGATCACGACCGTTGTAGTAGAGGTCGCTGCCGTGACTATCCCGCTGGTCGTGAGTTCGGGGTAGCTTGGCGACGAGACACAAACATCGGCAGAAGGGGCTGATGCCGGCCCAAGTGTGCTTAGACTTCCCGACCACATCCAATTGACCAAAGGGAGGGCAATAAACGGAGCCACCAGCAGCAAGAGCATAGGTAGTAGTGATAGAACCCGTAGTCCCACCTCCTCCAACTTGTGGAGCCTTTCTTTGAAGGCCTTGAACGGCTGGACCAACTCCATCGTCAGGCTCGGATCCGCCCAGTCCCTGATCCGCCTTGTGACTCCCCCTAGCGTCTCCTCGATTTCTCCCAGGCCGGTCAGGTAAGCGAGGTTGCGGTTCATCTGCCCGGCGTCGATGTCCGCAAACGACGCAAAGTCTATCGGGAAGCGTTGAGGGACGACAAGATCGTTTGGATCCGCGGACTCCAAACTGAGATGGATAGAATCCTCGTCGATATACTGGCCCCAGTTAAGGTTGCAGAAGTCCTGGTGATCCGCAATGAACATGCATGGCACGCCATGGCGCTGCATAAACGACCACGCAGCAGTCTTGGCTCCGTCGGCCTCCTCGTCGTCCTCCGACGAGCAGTAGAAGATGGCGATGTGGGGCACATTCCACTTTGGCTCAACCACGGAACCTGTTGGGTATGACAGAGACCGGTATGTCTTATCCTGGTCAATAGTGAGAGAGGCGGTAGCATCGCCCGGGAGTACGCCATCTTCGTATACGATCTCCTCGGCTGAGGTGCAATGCTCGACCTTTATTTGGTACTGAGAAGCCTCCATCAAGTCCAGTTCGGGAGCGGGGCCGAACGAGGAGATGGGGACAATGTTGTACACGCCGTCCCGGTGGCGGCTGAGGTGGTCTCGGTCCTTGGAATATGGTGAAGCCCAGATGGCATTGCATATCTTGAGAACGATGCTTCTCTGCGCTTCGGCGCGGCCTACATAGAGCACCCTCAACGGCTCATCGGTCGTGAGGTAGCCCTGGGCCATAGTTTGGCGGATCGACGCATTCCAATACTTCGGGGCATCGAACAGGCCCAGCTGTCGCGTGATGTAGGTTGATTCCTCCTCGTCGAACTCCCATGTGGGGTGTTGGGCGTATATAACCTCTGGCAATACTGGATCTTCTTCGTCCTGCACTTCCCGAAACTGGATAGACTGAATGACGACGCCGGAACCCTCGGTGGACGACGAGCCATGTTCCAGGCTGCCTGTAGAGCGCTGGGTGGACGGGTTTTGTAAGGATTGATCGGCGTAACGTATCGAGGAGGCATGAGAAACCTGGTCGGAATCTTCATCAGAGTCGCTGTTATACTGGTCGACCGACCCATCTAGGCTCTGGACGTCATCGGGACGGGAAACCGAAAGCGAGCAGGTCGACTCGGTCAAGCGGTCATCTTGGCTTTCGGTGTCGGTGATAATTTCGTAGGCCGAATCGGCCAGGCTGCCGGCGTCCGACATGCCGAGCGGTTGCCGAATGTCTGGGGCACTGTTAGAAACCCAGTTGGCGAGGATCTGGCTTCCCTGAGGTCGGGGAAATCGGAGGGCCGGGACAGAAACCGAGATCGGCTCCGTCGGAGTTGGAGTAGTGGTAAGTTCGGTATCGGTAGCCGGGGTTTGAGGATTGTTGGTCTCACTCTCGGCGTGTCGAACCCTGTGGGTGCAAGTCTCGGTTGGTGGCGGAGACTCCCGGGTCTGTGGTTCCATCACGTTGTGGGAAACGGTTAGCTGTTCGTCATCTCGGGCGATGTTCCGGAATGGAAGGAAATAACAATGGAAGAAATTGGGGTTCCGGATGTTGTGCGGAAGGTGCACCCTAAAAAAAGAGGCAACAGTGAAGTCACGGAGGGAGGGGCAACCAGTGCAAAAGGCGAGGGCCCGGGTCCAAGATAACAAGAGATGGAAGGGACCACAGCGTAGTCTCGAGAAATAAAGAACCAAGACAGGGACTGTGTGCACTTGGTCGTGCGGGTTTTGAAAATGGAAATCACTAACACTGAGAGCTCCAAGGCTCACCGTTCGAGTTGGGTATCCGTCTGGATCCAGCTGGGAGGGAATGGTCGTGATTCCCAGTTTGGGGTTCTGCCTGTCGTAATAGTGGGCAAAGCTGCCGTTGACCCAAGAACCCAGGCCGGTAATGCTAGGCGGGGCGGGGAAAGCCACAAGCCGTATCAGATTGCGAGCAGGCCCCAGGGTTTGCTTCCAGGTTAGGCCGTCAGCTTGCCTTGTTTAACCAAAAGGTCGCGGGAGTCACCACCTCAATAATCACTGTGTCAATTTTCGTCGTCGGGCTTTGATGGGTTGTAAGAGGGGGAGGATAGACGTCCTCGAATAGCAGCCAAAGTGCTAGCGCAGGTCAAACCCCGATTAGGATGGAGGGGTAAGTTCCTAGGATGGCGGAATTTCACACAGTGCTGAACGAGGCGTCGGCCGGTTCCCGGAGGTTTGGGCCCGAGTATGAGGTCACCTGCTGTCGCGTCTCTGCAAACCGGTCCGAGTGAGAGCCATTCGCCATGCCGTTGTGCAGCAATCTGCCTCTGCATTGGTTCTCACTGAGGGCCTCACGTGTCGGTCATCGTGTTAGTGATAAGGAAAAGCGGGGCAAAGCCGGCAAGTGACGACGTGCAGGGGGCTATGTGGGGACGATTTGGGGCACGGTGAAATTCAACTGGCCGTGCCTCGGATTCTCACAGCCCTGTTGGTCTCCCAACAGTCATGCCTGAAACATGAGGAGGATGCGGCGACACTCTTAGTCTTCAACAGCGCAGTGACGGCATTATAAAGCAGCCATGGCGTCCCGCTGGAAGGACTAGAGTTCCCGAATTCATGTACACGGATATCAAGGTATCTTATTCAACAAATTGTTTTTTCATGTGCTCGGACTCATCTACGTCAACTCGCTGATTTCCCGCCTACCTTACGATCGGCTCCCGCCTACCTTACGATCGGCTCCCGCCTAGCGAGAGACCACAACCGCAGCCTTCAACAGTGAGACAGCAACAAAGTGTGAAATGAGGAAGCACCTCTAATATACCTGAAATCCCAAATACAAAACCAAGGCTTCAAATGAGGCCGAAAGCAAATATGTAATAGTTACAGGAGAACTCAAGAAATTGCTATGCAGTCCAATCGTTTTCCTGACCCAAGATAAACTCCCCAACTTGCGTGATGTGGTATCTCAATAGCCATGCAGCACCCGCGTGCTCCCTCTGAACCTCTTAACCCTCATTCATCATACGCATTACGGCCTCGTAACTGGCATGAACCAAGCGCTCCTGAATATGGTATTGGAACCAATCCAACTCCTCCTTCGTCACGCCTCAGATGTAGTTTATCTTCGTAAACCAAAGTCAAGTAAAGGATTAAAGGCAAACGAGCAACGAAGGCGTCCTTTGGGGATGGGGCGATCCGCATTCAAAGAATTCCCTTGTTGAGGAACAATTTTCTAACGGAATCTGTGTCCACCTCTTCCTCGTCCGAGATCAGCTCTAGGATGCCGGTAAGGTTGGCGAATAGGTCGCCTTGATTCCGGTAGGCGAGGATCGCGGGCACGCCTGCATTGTCGAACTCGATGTCCTCGTAATGGACCCTGACGAAGCGCACAGCTGGGTACACAGTCACAAGCGGGGCGAGAGCAGACTCGATCACAGCTGAAACGTCGCACTATCAACCAAGTTAGTCATAGTACAAAAGCGTTGCGGAGCGGAATAGGGGTACAAACCTCGGAGTCGTAGACAAAGACAACTACTGTCGTGTCCCGGCCGACCTTCTCTATCGCGTCTAGGTACCCGAGGGCATCAACTTTGTCGAAGTCCCCGTACAGGCGGATACTGGGACTCGTCCTCCGGTTGCGAACAGGTTTCCTGCTCTCCTCCTCAAGCTCGCGCCTTCGGTTTTCCCGCCATTGTTCAAGGAAAGCAGCCTCCTCCGGGTCTTCAGGCCCGCTGTTGTCGCTCTCGGGCTCACTACTTTGCTGCTGGCGGCCACTGTCTAGGCCAAAGACGCTGCGCCTGGCCGCTCGTACCCGGTCCTTCCACTTCGTTTGACGAGCCGTCTCATACGATCTCGCGTCGGCAATGACGCCCTTCACGCCGGTCGAGCGGCCCTTATCAAACTCCGCTGGCGGCAGCCTGATTTCGGCGCGGGTGTCTCTGGTTGGTAGCCGCATGGCGGCGTCAATCTTGGACGCACGGTAGCGGTCTTCCTCGTCCTCGCTGCGCTCGCCGTCTTGGTCTCGTGTGGCGGTTTCACGGTCCTCGGGATGGACTCCGTCAAGATCAGAGCGGTTGTTCTTGTCGACAAAAGTGGAGAACTCCTCCTGGGCAGGTGTAGGGTCTGACATGGTGACAAGGGAACGCGGAAGGAACCGCGAACAAGGTGGGTGGACGGGACTTATAGTCTTCTCGAAGGGCAGCCTGCCCTGTTTTGGGACAGGGATCGCTCGAGGGGTGGCGGGGTCGGCTCCTGGTTGGGCAGTTCACGCCGTCACGGCGAGCCCGGGAAGTGGCAGGGAAGGGCAAAGTTGAGTGAAGAATTGGGGAGTGTGTTTCTTCGCCAGTTCGAGACTAGAAGGCCAGGTACCGAAGATACGCAGAGGGATGAACAACTGGCGGCAAGAGCGGGTTGACCTCGATGAGAACGCCGGGATGACGTTGGTAAATCTCGATCGGTAGCCGTGTCCGAGGGGTGAGTGGTTGGTGTTTCGGGTTCCTGGGCCTGGTTGGGAGAAGGGGGCAAACGGGAAAGGGTTCGGGCGGCGGTTGAAGGGCAGCAGAGAGGGGAAGATACGGAAAGCCTTGGTCCCCTGGGAAAATGCTCCAGATTGTTTCAAAAAAGGCGATGCCGAATGCGACGCTGGCCGTTCACGTGGAGCAGTGGCCACCGAAAACCGGGGAGCCAGGGATGGGACAAGAAAGGTCGATTGGCCTGGGGCCAGTCGAGGGGGAGCGAGGGGAGAGATCGACAGTAACAAGCGTGGCCAAAGAGGGCACTGTGCAGAATGAAGTGACTCGAGGGTGGCCGGCGACGACAGCGGCAGTGAGCGGGTTCCTGGCGGTTGGGTAGTTTGTGGCAGGAACGCAGGAAACGTTGAAGTGGGATCGGCAAGCACGAAGTGAGAGAGAGGGGCGGAGTTGTGTGGGCTGCATGCCGTCATCGCGTGGCCGACAGGGATTAATTCAGACACTTGACAATGTCAGGTCCGGCAGGTGCTTCACCACTCCGGTCAGCATGGACCTTCACGCACAGATGCTCGTCCGGTGCTGTTTACAGGAGCGGTTGTTTTCAGAGAGCTGTAAGTGAGTGGTGTACACGTGTAATTCTATTCCATTTTACGTCGTACAATGGAACTCTTTCCATTCGGAGGGAAAATGGACAAAAACAAAATTCCCTGAGGAATTACCATCAACACGGGAAACTACAGCGGGGCGTCCGGGGACGCCCAGTGGAGGGGCGCTAAAGTGCAGTCTAAAAACAGGACGACCTGCGATAGGGTCGAATACCGCGGCTGGCTGCTACACTACCTCAGTTAACGTTATATGGGCAGCAGACCCTGTCAAGAAACGTTATCGATCGAACGATTCAACCGACGATGCGGATAAAAGACGACACGATCCCGAGCCGTCTTTCCTCATTAATGTGCTGCGCTTGATATGTTCATCATTGTTTAGCAATCGAAGCCGGCGTCAACGTTCAAACCCCTTAGCGTAGCATTGCAACCTAGGAAAATACCAGCCTCCCGTATGTCCACTCTCCATTATCAACCAGATCAGGGACCGGTTCTTCGGCTCCTTGAGGGAAGCCACTGGAGTGTACCATCTTCTACCCTGTCAATTGGGAGCAATCAAATGAGCGGCGTGGGATTCGAGCCGAAGGCAGCGACATATGAATGGCAATCAATCGCATTGATGCAACAACGCCTCGACGGCGACGCCACAGCCCTTGACGTGCCGCAACGGTGACGCCGAGAGAAGCTCTCGCGCCCTCTAGCGTAAGCATGGTGCGGGATTGGGAGACGAGAAACCCGATTTGATGGTCCCAAAGAAATGAATTATTCGGCTCCCCTTGCATATCAAGCACAACCCCAGATCTTTTAGCTTCATTGGACCAAACAGATCACTGGATCGAGGTGGCCATCACCTTTCCCTCACGTCCCACGGAAACTTGCAGGAAGTTTGAATATCAAGCTTTGCCAAGCCAAATTAACTGAGATCTCCTCTGCCACAAAAATCAAATCGCATCACAAGGCTGACATTAACATTAAACTTCGTCATGCGTGATGCCGCCAGGTTTGTTCCTGGCCAGGGACGCGCATATTCCTCGACGGGATCGCCGTTGCGGGTTTCAAGGGTCGTTTCATGCGCCCCCTTCTTGCCAAGCCTCTTTGTTTATGCGATCCACGGCCGTTGACACGTTGACGCAATACGGATACCCGTGAGGTTATCCGAACCCCTTTCCGCCTTCTAAAAGGCTTCTCCCGCTTAGGAGAGGGGGTGTTCGGGCATGGCCTGGGGTGTAAAGAACTGAGATTGAACATATAAGGGAGGAATAAGGTCGCCTTACAGGGACAAGCAGAAACCGGGGACTTTGACGGAACTTGAGGAGTCTTGCAACGTTGATATGCTTAATAGAAATGCTATCATGCTGTAACGCATGTGCCTGTAAGGGTGCACGTGTGTCTACACTCCCTTAACTCCTCTTTCGAATAGGTTGTACCATACTGCACTTTTCGCTGCCCAGTTTGGGATATCCAGAATGCTGTGTTGAGGATCAATAAAACTATACGTCCGCCAACCGTCTGTGTAATAGCCACTAGCGGGCGTAACTTGATGGAAGAGATGTCCCCGGTATGAATGCCAGGGGGCACACCAATGGTTCACGGGGGGCTTTACTTTCTTCAATCCTTTCTTGCTCCTCGTGCTCGAAAGCGAGGACGTCAGGGTTGAGAACGCTATAGTAAGTAGTACAATATTGACCTCCACATCAACATATCTGCCGACCTGTTATAAATACTGTCATATTTATAGGTAAAATAGGAACAGATGAAACCAGTACAACTCACGTCACGGTCTACGATATTTTCTCTTTCTACCTTGGCTAAATAAGTAAACGTAGTCTTGACCTCTGATCGGCGTCTCCTCACTCCGATACCCAAGTGACATCGAGGTCCAGGACTGAGAATCCACGCAATGCTGTCCTTCAGCACCAAATCTACCAGGATTCTTTATTTTCATCGGGAAGGAGAAGGGAAGTTGGTGGATTCAGTACCAGATATATAGACACTTGTGTTGTTAAACCGAAGCTTATATACGTTGATCCTTGGCGTACGATCTATCAAGACACAGTGTTTGTTTTCCTAATCTAATAACGTCTCCAATACCATGCCTTACCTTCCAGGTGATAACATCACTCCTCACGTCATCGTCTTCTAAGACTAGTGAAATAGTATTGTGGGGTGTATGAGCCCGCCGGTAGACTTGAAATCGGGTAAGCGAGACCCCCGACGTTACGCGCCATCTATTTACATTTTCTCGAATATCAAAACAACAATAATAAGAGGTTGTATGATCAACCGAGGCGATCGTGGATGGTTTCGGAGAGACATTACAAATCAACAACAAGAGCATGGGAAAACCTAACCGATTAGTGATCTGAGCCAACCGAGACGGGCATGGGGTAAGGAGTAACTATGGATAGTACGAATACGTAGCTCCTTTGCCCCTGAGCCCACGTAGCGAGGTAAACACAGAGAAAGAGATTTGCCCAACCACGGGCGTTTATCACCATCATCGATAAGAAACGAGCAAGCTAATAGAGATGAGTTCGACTCCCCCTGGGGAAGAGCTGCCGTCCCAGCCAGCGCATCCCAGTTCCCCTTGCTTCGTCTGAGGACCAAGTATTACCTTCGCGGCTTGTGCCTGTGTGGCTGGCGTGAGTAAAGTCGGCGATGGTAGGAATCCATAAGCAGGATGATATGAGTTTGATGAGCATCATCAAGGGAGCGACTTGAGTTAGCCGGTCACCAAGCGTCTGTCGATCATCGCCACAATGCAAAGTATGACACGACACGGAACACAGGATCAACAGGCATGATAGTGAAAGGGTATGCGCAATATTGTAAAAAAAGAAAGACCTTGATATTTGCCAGCCCAGTTACTCCAGACAGTCTCTGAAAAACTAACTCCACACCACCTCACTTCACTCCCTCCCCAACTACTCTCTCCCTCTCCTATCCATTGCCTCCCCGCACATCTCTTGAAACAACAGACAAATAACTCCAACATCCTCGGCTTAAATAACAACAATGACGGCAATCACGAGGAAGGGGTGAGCATTGACCGTAGCAGGGAAAAGAAACGAAAAAAAAAATAAAGTAAAAAAAGAAAAAGAAGGAAAAGAAACATCCAGACGAGGGAATCCCAAAAAGACTTCGTTGTGTGAAATGCGACCATGTTTCATCATCTCCCCACCTCCCCCTCGCTTCAAGTCTGCTCTTCCCAACCCACCCACCCTTTCCTGCCCAACACCTCTAGTCCAGTCCAGCCGGGTTCGGTGGGCGTGCTCACCCGACGCCAGCGAACAGTGACCACTCACCCACCCACCAACCCCAGCCGAAAAGCAGAGAACGAGAAAGCAAGGGGGAACAAGCAAAAGCAAGCTACGCGGCAGCCGAAGCACCAAAGCTTCAAAATACCGGTCTCGTGCTGTATCGTCGCGCGCTATACTTCGTTTTTAGGTCTTTTGGGGCGTATATTTATACCTGGCTAGACACACGGAGGGTAATAGTGAGAGAGATCGAGAAGTGGGACCTAATACCACTCGCGCTCGCCTTCTCGGAAAACAGGACGGCAATGGTCGAATGAAAACAAATACATGGACTGAGAAAAAAGGTATAAGTAACTTCCCGGTGTTTTGTAGTACAGCCGCCACCCATAAGAAACCGCCGAGGGAAGAGACAAGGAAGAGAGAGAGAGAAGCCACGGTGCGGGGAACGAGAGAAAAAGGGGGCGAATAGAAGTCGAAGAATAAAAAGAAGAGACAGGACTGGATCCGCTGTTGATTGTTTGATTGTGTCGTACTCCACTTCGCTGGTTGGCTAGCTCCGTTCCAAATCGAGGAGGATATAGACGGCCGAGAGTGTGTGGGAGGTTGCTGTCGTGGCTTCGTCAGAGGCAACCAGGCGGTAAAATATTAAGGAGCCGTTCGGCGGCATTTGGCGCGTCGGATTAAGAGCTGGAAGAAAAACGGGGGTATCCGATAGTCCTTTCCCTCGCTCCCCACCCCCCTTTCCCCCACCTTCTCTTCCTCGTTTTCCTTCTCTTTCTTTCTCGCTCTCTCGCTCGCAACATAATGGGATCTCGGGGGTATCCAGTGGTGCAAATCGATTCATGGCATCAAAATACGGCGGGCGATTAGTAGGCCCAGATCTTGAGCTATGCGGTTGTTAGTCATAAAGGACAAGCAGGATGCCAAAATGGCCAAGGAAGTTGGGGATCTTACGAAGGCATCCCAAGAACCTGTGCACAAACTTGTACCGTCGTTTGACACACCAAGACAGCTAACACGGTTTTCGTGGCCCACAAGAGAGCCAACCTTCTCGCCCCGGGTGATATCCCAAACCTAGAAGGGAAACGGTTAACACTGTTGTGCGCAGAGGCAATCGACAAGATCGTGATGGAGTAGCTTACCTTGCACTCGAAATCGTCATAACCGGCGAAGAGGAGTCGCCCAGAAACGGAGGTGGCAACCGAGGTAATGCCGCAGAGAATGGATTCAGACTGTGATCAACGTCAGCAACCAAGATGTATGGGGTACATATTTAGACCGGGGAACAGAAAGTTGCTTACGCCATAGAAGTTGAGTTCCCGATCTGCGCGAATATCAAAGAGACGGCAAGTGGCGTCGTCCGACCCTGTTACGAAGGAGTGGCCATCGGGGAAGAACTGGATGGCGTTGATATCAGACTCGTGGCCGGCAAACGTCTGCACGGCTTTGCCAGCGCGAATATCCCACAACTTAGCGAACGCGTCGCAGGCACCCGAGATGAAGGTGTTCTGGTTAGTGGGGTTGAGGCTGATACTCATGACGTCGCCGAGATGGTCGGCGAACTCGACAACCTTGGTCCCCGTCTCGATATCCCACTTCATACAAGTCATATCGCCGGACGATGTCAGGATGCTCCGGTCGTTAATGAAGCGGCAGCACGACAGGTAGCCGGCGTGGCCCGACAGTTCGCGGGCTACCCTCGTCGGGCCATCGCGGTTCTGGTTGAGGTTGTAGATAGAACAAATGTTGTCCAGACCACCACACGCGACGAAGTTGCCGCTTGGGGCATAGGCGCACGTCATGACCCATGACGACCGGAGGGGGATGGCATGGACCTTGTTTGTTGTGTAAGCATCCCAGATGATGAGCTTGCCGTCCTGTGACGCCGAAACGAGATGCCGTCGATCGGTCGACCAGTGCATAGCGTAAATCTTGGCAAGATGCCCCTTCAGTGTCCTCTTTGGCTTCATCATCTGGCTCTTAGGGACCGGCTCGTGGGCTTGAGCGGCAAAGGCACGGACTGTGGTGTCGACAAGAATCGCGGCAACGGTCAGTTTTCAATTCCTAGCATACGACGAATTCCCAGGGAGCAAAACCAGAAGCATTGCTCGCTCAATCAGGTGTGGGCGTGGGCAACTCACGCGTAGTGTCTGCAAGCTCCTCCTTTTTCCTCTTGATCCTGTCCTTGAGCGTCTCAGCCTCGCGACGTGCCTGCTGGATGCGAGCCTGCATCGCTTCGGGCGACACGTCGCTCGACCGGCCGGGATCCATCTCTGTGCTGTGTGCGATGCAGATGCGCGCGCCGCGTCAATTGGGTGAGGGACGAATTGGCGATGGGAATCGTGGTCAGGAACGGCGTCGGCGATGGAAACCGTCGGGTCGTGTCGGTTCGGGCCGGGGAAACGGTCGAGGTGAGGTGAATGGAAGGTGTTGCCGGGTGGTGGTGGAAGTTGTTGTTGAAGTGTGGAAGAATGCGAGCTTCCAGGGGTGTGCCACCGACCAGTCAGACAGCTGGGAAAGCCGGGACAGGTGGTGCAGCGAAATAATTATCGGGGGGAATGGGAAGTGGGGAGGAGAGGCGACGGACCGCTGGTGGATAACCTGCGCACCGGACGGCTGGGGATCATGCGTTCCGCGAAGTTCAGATACGGTCCCTCGGTAACTGGGGGTCGCGAAAAGGGCCAAAAAAAAAAAGGGCAGAAAACCCAAAAAGGACAGCCGATTCCTGTCCCAAATCGTGAGGTGTCCTGGGTTGCGGATTCTGGGGGGGGCTGAAAGAAAGGAGAAAGGCAGAGAGGGCAGGCCACCTGCAGGATGGAATTGGAAGATGTGCTGGTGCAGACACAGCAAGCCGGGCGCGCTGGAAGTGGCCGGCGGCAGACCGGGAAGATTTGCGAATATTACCCTGCACTACCTTCTTCGGGAATGGACTGGGGGCAGCGGTCCAGGGGCGTTTGATTCAAGGTTGCAAAGCGGGCGGAGAATCGAGGAGCAAGTCCAGGGGGGAGGTCGCAACGGTCGTAGCCGAGAGGTTCTGGGAATGCCAGAAGCAAATCTTCGGTGCGCAGGCAAGTCTTGTTTTTCGAATTGACAGTTTCGCTCTTTTCTTCTTTTCTGTCACTTTCCTGCCGCTTCCCTTCCGTCACATTTGCCAATTGTCAACGGATTTCGAGGGGTCCCTTCACAAAAGTGGGTTCCCGCCCGCAGGCAAAGCGGATCGAATGACCGACAAGGAGCCGGGCCAGGGGCCGGATCAAGAGCCCCCTGCAGCTGGGCTCCACGCACGGACAGATCATTCTCAGTTCCCTCCCCCAAGCTCCTGTCGCTCCATGATTGCCAAGCGCTGCTTCCTCTTTCAAGAATCGTTCCCCAACGCCAAAAATGGACTGTCAAGAAATGGTTCAAGTTCAATTCTCTTCTCACATTCTGCGGCAGGGCACGTGAATTCGTGATCGGGACATTTACAAGAAAATTCTCTGTGCAACCGAAAACGGTGCAAAGGATACCTAAGCGCCTAGATCACTCGCTCGGGCGCCCGACAGTCAACGGGCTACAACCGTCCTCGGTCAAGAATCGGCGAAGGAGCTTCCCCAAACGGGATCTGGGAGGGGGGGATCAGGGCCGAGGAAAAAGAAAGGAAAAAAAGTCCCCCCATCTCATCGATAGTTAACGGCCATGTATCGTCGCCGAGTTATATCCCCAGCTGCAACGCTGCGGCGCGCACAGATAAACCGGCCGGGGCCGGCTCAGTCGGCGAATTTGCCCGCCGATGCCCGGGTCCAGTCTCACGGCATCCGTTGATGGAACCGGCCGCACAACGCCTCATCAGGATGTCATCTCAATCCGAGCCGGGCGCTGCACCGCCTGCCAATGCCGTGCGTCATGGCGCAGGCCGTCACCCACTCGGTACAAAAGTAACCAGCTTTAAGTGCTTCTGAAATCAAAACCGAGCCCACTGCGGGCGCTTCGCAAAGAGACACTGGCCCGCATTCACCGAAACGGTCAATAGGTCCTGCAAGCGCTCGCGTCCGAGACAATAGAAGAGGCCGGCATTAACCTTTTTAGCTGCGATGACAGCCGTTAGCGTTAGCATCACAAGCGGGGTCACACAACAGGATCGCCGTGCTTTACCAAGAGTCTAGAGACCCCATCGGGAGGCGCACCCACTGGCCTCCACAAGCATTTGCTGACATCCACTGTGGGACAACAACGCCAGCAAGCCAGCACACATAACCCCGCGTTTTACAGGCAGGAGGAGGACAGGGCGGTAGCGGGGAAGTCCCTGACTAAATAAGGTAGGGGGCAAGGAAGGTGCCAGGTTGGGAATTTGTTGTTGATAAACGAAGAAAAAAACGAGCTTGTTTACCGAGCGTTGGTTAGCTAGCATTTGTTAGCGTTCTTGAAAAATGCCGGCCCCCTCAGCTCGAGACCCAGTGCTCGATTACAAGGCACTCCCTAAGATCGAGGTAAACATCAACGGATCCACTTCCACCCATATGACGAAAATAGCTTGTTTCGAGTCATGATATGTTTGACTAACGTCTCCTCGGATAACAGCTCCATGCCCACCTCAGCGGGAGCATCAGCCGGCAATGCCTTCATGAGCTATGGGTATCCAAGAAAGCCACCGGCGAGACAGACTTACGAGACCCCCTCGTTGAGATGCCCCCGGACAAGCACGACTATGACTTGAAGACGTAGGCCCACAAGCTCACCCACCCATTGACATCCGCCGCACCGTTCTGAATTTACCGGGTTCCCTCCCTGGCATATCCTGTGACTTTGACGAGCCTGATATGTGTCGGCTGAGAAACTAACCAACAATATAACCTCCCCCCAGTTTCTTTCCTCTCTTTTCCTCGTACATCTACAACCTTGTCAACGACGTCGCTGCCGTGCGGTACACCACCTTAGCCGTACTCCGCGACTTTGCTGCCGATGGCGTGGTCTATCTTGAACTGCGCACAACCCCTCGCGCCATGCCCGCCGCGGGCTTGACCGAGGAGGGCTACGTACAGACAGTGCTAGATACCATTGCGGAGTTTGAGAACGAGCAGGGAGAGGATCTAGGGAAGCCAGAGGGGCAAAGGCGAGTTGGGTTGAAGACAAAGTTGATTCTTTCGGTAAGTAGTGCTCAGCTACCATCCTCGCTTCTTCCACCTAGACGTAAAGGACGTATAGCTCCGTAGGGTTGACTTGACCTACATTAACATACCTCTCTCAGATCGACCGCAGACACACCCCCACCCAAGCCTCCCGCATCATCGCCCTCGCCAGACATTTCCACCTCCTCCCCGAAGCTGGCGTCGTCGGTCTCGACCTCTGCGGCGACCCTTCCGTCCCGGTCAACCTCGCCGCGCTCACCCCGCTTTTCACCGAAGTCCACAGCAGTCTCCCCAGCCTGGCCCTCACGGTGCACTTCGCCGAGGCACAAGTATCGTCCTCCGATGCCGAGTTGGATGCCTTGTTGCTGGACTGGAAGCCGGATCGGCTGGGGCATGTAATTTGTGTGAGTGAGCGGGTGAAGGGGGAGATCGTGCAGGCCTCGAGGGGGAAGAAGGGGGATGAGAGAGGAGTAGTTGACACTGTTGGGCTGGAATTGTGCTTGAGTTGTAATGTGCATGCAGGAATGGTTTGTGGTGGGTTTGAGGGACAGTAAGTGTTTTTTTTCTCCCGTATGCAATTATCACAGTGTTCTACCATCCTCGCTAACCAGTTTTTGAACAGCCACTTTGGCGAGTGGTGGAAGGTTCAAGACACCGTCGTCGTACTAAGTGTAAGTGCCAACTTGCTTTCCAACCATCTAACCCCGAGACTACAGCACTAATACAGAATGTCACACCACGCCGTTATTAAAGACCGACGATGTGGGCGTATTCGAAAGCCCGCTATCCAACGAGTACGCACTGGTGGCCAAGCACTTTGGCCTCAACCGTGCCGAGATTTGCACACTGGTGAGACGTGGCATCGACGTCATCTTCGGAGGAGACAAGGAAAAGGAGAGGCTGAGAGAGATCCTGTGGACAGCGTAGGTAGGAATCACTTCCACACGATAGCGGCATCTATTGTGTGCTTGTTAGATGTTTGTTTCGGGATATAAGGAGTATCCATCCTTCTCTAACTAGGACAGACAAACAAAACTTGTGGGGCACTTAAAGCACGACTGCATAGAACAGTATGGGGAAGTGCCAAAGATGTAGTAGCAATTCACCGGGCTTACTGTGATTTACTCCTTGTGCAATCTGGAATCCATTTGTTCCTGTCCGCTCGACTATAGATAATGTCAACTACTCACTTGAATGAATATATACCGAGGCTAAGAGGAGAAGAGAAACGGTGATATAAAATAAAATAGAACAAAACAAGGGCAAGAACAAGAGGGGAACGAGTGGAGTTTCTCGGAGGCCATCTAAGCAGGTAGGGAGGGAGTGTTCAACCTAGGTTTCCCTCTCCGTGTCCGAGTTAAGGGAACCAACAACAAAAACATAGCACATGAACCAACCACCACGTCCATCCCGTCATCTCAGCATCCTCCTACCCGATAGACCGCAACCCTGCCTTCCCGGAGAACGCCAAGTCATATCTTGGCCGATTGATCTGCCTCATATTTTTATACCTTTAAAGTCCGCTTAACCCCCGCCTCGAAAACGCCACAAACAAAGCCACCAACCAACCATATGCCACGAAAGAACTTAACCTATCTATTGAAAACCGTTCTGGGCTCCAGGCGGATGGGCATCGAGATCGACCGTCTCGACCTGTCGGCGCTGGTGCGCACTCCGTTGGACAAGGTTTCCAAAGTAGCGCATGGCGTCGCTGCTCTCCTTGCGAGTCTTTACTGTTTCCTCGCGGCGAGTGTTGAGCTGCTCGAACGAGCGTTGCAGACCGACCCGTAGCGAGTTGGCTGGGATGAGCAGCACCTTGCGGGCGGTGCCTGAGATACGATTGCTGTTGGTGTGCGCGTAGTCCATGGCCGTGAGTTGGGCTGAGATCTTGGCGTTCAGTCGATGCGGGAGGGAGTGGGGGATCTGGCTGAGGATGTAGAAGCCAAGGGCCGCGGCTGTGGGAGGAGATGAACGGTTAGCAAGGTACTGCTACTGGGACGATGACCGTCGATCTATACGACGTTGTGAACTTACCGGCTGCGATAACGCCTGGAACAAACATTCGGCGCAGGTTGTCATTGCCCAGCAGCTGAGCGGCACGAAGGGCAATGTTCATCTGGCCGTACCCGCTGAGAACGCCGGTGCCGACGACACCAGCGACGGTCAGAGCCATGCCGGCCTTCTCCTCCCTCTGCATCAGCGTGGACCAGTCGACGAAGTCCCAGAACTCCGTCGCAATCTCGACCTGGCGTGCTAGCGCGTGTTTCTTGTGCTGGAACATGACGTCCGACTTGAAGTTGAGGTTCTCGTATTCATTGCCGAGGTGGCGGATGCCGAGCTCTTTGATCATGTTGACACTCGACACGGTCTTGTTGCGGGCGCGCTCTTCGCATTGCACGACGGATGCGGCGATTTGAGACAGCATGGCATCCTTGAGGTCGTCAGCGTACTGAAAGGCGCCAAACAGACCTGGGTAAGGGATGCCGAGGTTGCCTTCCCCGGCCTGAGAGATGGCAGCGTTGATGGTGGAGCGGGAAGAATCATAGATGGCCTTGCAGGTCGCCTCGATCGTCTGGTCGATCCTGTCACAAAGCTCGGTCTTCGCCCGCCGGCTCGACTCGAGCTGGGGCTCGAGAACCTGGAGCTCACTATTGACCCTCTCGAATTCCGACCTGGCCACCTCCGAGTTGACGGACGCCAGCACATTGACGTCGTTGAGGATGTTGGTCAGGTACGTCTTCGCCGGGGCCAGCTTGGAACGGGCACGCTTTTCTAGAACAAACCTCCGTAGGGACTGTTCAAGGGCAGAAAAGTCCCGCTCCATCTCCTTCTTCTTCCCTTTTCCTTTCGGATCATCGTCGCCGGGGTCGCCACCGAACCCGCCCCCGCTGGTACTACCAGAGCCACCGCCACTGGGCCCGCCAGGGGGAGAGGGGGCCATGGGGATAGCTGTGCTTGACACAAAGTGCACAAGTTCGGCTGACTCCTTGAAGGTATCGGGACTCAGCGTCCTGATCTGGTTGAGGATCAGCTTCTGGCAGCGTTCCTTGTCCTTGATGTTGTCGTAGCCGTTGACTACAACGAAGAGATAAGCCTTCTCGGCGGCCGCAGCGCGAATAAACTCGGTCGAAGTTTGAGTGAAGTGGTTGCTGGCGGAGACGACGAAAACCACCACATCGATTTCCTCCTGTCGCGCAAAGATGGCCGTGGTCTTGGTGGTGTCCATGTTGAGTCCCGGTGCGTCGATAAGCGCGATGTCCACCACGCCGTTGTTGAGAAGCGACTCGTCGATAGTCCGGACGTCCTTCACATAGACCTTGCACTGCAAGTACATCTCATTGTCCACCACAATCTTTTCCAGCCGCCGGAGCGGGAAGACGTCATAGGTTGTCTCATCGTGCCGGTCGTAGATAGCATTCTTGTGAACAGCGTGGACTTCCTCGATGCCACAGTTGTCCCTCGCGTCTAGGACCTCGCAGAAAATGCTGGTGCAGGGCTGCTGGTCCTCGGGGAGAATCTTCCGTCGTAACAAGGCGTTGCAGAACGTCGACTTTCCTGCGTTGAGATCGCCCGTCACCAAAACCTTGCTCGACGTATCCTCGATACGCTCCCGTAGTGACTGCAGGTGCTTGATACTCGACTGGATCTTGCCATCCAACAACGAAGCGATCGAATTCTTCTCCAAGGAGTGGACGAGTTCTGATTGGTGAGTTGACCCAAGCTTCAAATCCAACTTCAACACCGAGAACTCCTGGGCAATTTGCGGCGTGACGAGGCGTGGTTCAACAGAGCTAGCTCTGCTCTCGGCGGTTCGGCTTGATTCCGCCGCGGCGTCTTCGAGGGACGTCATGGCTCGTCGTAGCATGGGTGTAGCTGGTGGTGAGAAGGAAGATGAGGTGGCAAGATCCTCAGTGGTCGAGTAGGTATGGTGAATGCCGGGCCTTGGCCCCGGGGACGAAGGGGCATCGAGCGCGATGCGCTGGACCGACGGGTAGTGTGCCGGCCATACTGTATTCTTCTCCTGCAGCTCCCTCAACAACTCAACGACGGTAGAAATGGCGCGGGCGAGCGTGGCACGGTGCTGGTTGTACCAGAGTTGGTGAACGGCTCCCGGCTGAGGCCGATGGTCCGGGAGTATGTGAGCGGCCGAGGAAGAGACCTAGAGACCCGTGGGTTAGTCTATGCGTATCATCAAAACCCAAGTCACCGAGGTGTTCGGGTCGGGCAGAAACGGGCATACGATTTCGTCGCCGGCGATGCTTCCGCCGTAGCCGGAGTCCTGGTCGAGCATCGCCTGCAAATGGGCACCATACTGCGGTGCTGATCCGTTCCCGACAGTCATATAACCAGGCGCACCGGAGGGGGCCGAGCTTCCTGATGGGCTCCGGCGGCTTGAGCCGGCGGGGTGGTCGGGCTCATCGTTCTCGTCGTCGAAGTTGTACCTCGAGCCCGACTTGCCCTTGGGCGAGAAGTATCCCTGGCTCATGGTTTACAAATCGCTCGTCTGTTGCAAAGGGCGGGGTAGAGTGGTCGATGGGGTTGGTGATGGGAAACCCCTCAGCGTGGTTAGTTCATAATCTTCGAGGGCGAGGTTTGATGCTGTGTGGTTTTCATCATTTCCGAATTTCCCACATGGGTTTCGGACGAACGTGGAGGATCGAGCGAACCAGAAAGCGCGCCACTTGCGCTAAGCAGGGATTTCTTTCGTGAGACCCGCAGTGATCTCATGCGGGTGCTGGGGGCGGTGAGCAAGCTATATGCATAAATGCATTTATAAGGGTATGAGTTGTTTCAAGATATGCAACTAATGTGTGTAACAACGGTGCAGTGGCAGCGGGGGATTTGCCAGCCGTTCCCATGTGCCACTCGCCTGGGCACCCCGTCGCTTGCATCAGCGCCGAGAGCCGTTGCCTACCAGCTGGATACGCGGCCTTGGCCACGGGCATTGCCATCTCTTTTCCCTTCTTTTTGACCCCCCCCTTTGAATGACGCTCGGCTGATACATCCGAGAGAGCATACAATCATCCATCACCATGAATGTGAGCAACGCCCTCTCAATTACCACCCCGGCAATGGCGTCGGTTGTCTCTCGCCGACGACGACAAGGCTGAAGATAAGGCTGACCACGTGGTAGATCCTGGAATGGGCTTTCGGGAAGCGCATTACGCCCGCCGAGCGGTTGCGCAAGAATCAGCGGCTCCTCGACAAGGCAATTCGCGAGTTAGACCAGCAGCGAGTCAAGCTCGAGAAGCAAGAGAAGACGCTCATTTCCCAAATCCGCCAGAGTGCGCAAAAGGGCCAAATGGGCGCGTGCAAGGTGCAGGCGAAGGACTTGGTTCGCACCCGAAGGTTCGAAGCGCTTAGGCCGGTGTTAGTCGACCACCTCTGACATTGGATTGCCAGGTACATTGAGAAATTCTACGGCATGAGGAGTCAATTGCAAAAGGTGTCTCTTCGGCTCCAGGTATGCGCAATCCGTCCTTTAAACGAGCCGTTCTGTTTCCTCCCCCCTAACGAACACCCTCTTCCCAGACATACCGAACAAACGAGCAAATGATGCAAGCGATGAAGGGGGCGACAATGGCCCTCGGCAGCATGAACCGGACGATGAACCTCCCCTCCCTCCAACGCATTGCTATGGAATTCGAGCGCGAGAACGATATAATGGAGCAACGGCAGGAGATGATGGACGATGCTATCGACGACGCCATGGACGTTGGTCTGGAGGAGGAAGGTGACGAAGTCGTGGAGCAAGTGTTGGAGGAGATTGGTGTGGACTTGAGCCAAGCGGTATGTACACTGAACTTGACCCAGCTCGCAGACTCTTCACAAGTTTGCTTGCTAACTTGATTGGGACTTAGCTCGGCGAAACTCCATCAGGATTACAATCGAACGCCGTCGCAGAGACGAAAATCGCCCAGGCCGTCGGCGGGGGCGGTGGTGTTGGCGGGGCCGATCCTGGGGATGACGACCTCCAGGCACGGCTCGATAGTTTGCGGCGGTGATTACAGCTCGATATCTACACACTAAGCGACGCCTTAATGATTTCCCGGCCGCAATCCACGCCCTCGAGGGAGAGTTTCCTCGATTGGGCGCACGGGTTGGAACACTTCCTACGACATAAGACATGTTATGGTCATATATTAGGTGGCAGGGCAAGGGAATGTCGGGATGGGAGTTGGGGCGCAAAGGTGTATTTTCTTTCCAGGGGCGGCCACTGGTACAACACAATGCTCGATGTTTTATCTGGTACGGCACAGCATAGGGGCAGGGGGTTCGACACGACTCGTCCTTTCCAATAACCGGGACATCTGAAATCGACACCTCTTCTAATTCTGATTTGGGCCATTCCATACTTCATATACCCTATTCCATTCTCCGCTGATAACGTGCGGGGCTTTGTGGCTGTCTTGTTCTTTGTCGGTCCATGGTAGAGTTCCAAGTGCCACCCACAGATTAGAGTAGGAGTCGAGTGCAACAATCACACGGAGACGGGCAAATTGTGGGCGTACAGGCCCAGGCTTGAAATTAGGTTTTTCTTTGACGACTAGTGTATTGGGCTATTGACAGCATGGAACATCGAACATCACTTTCTCTGTGCATGGGAAGTCAAAGACGTGTTAGTCTCCAAAGTAGTTGACTAGCTGATGTCATCGTCACTTTCCAAGAACCCCAATCCCAATCCTCAAATCCCTGCAGACCACCCCTGCCTCCATGGCCTTGTCACCGAACTGGACCCTGTGCTCCACCCCAGCGTTGTGCTCAGCGGAAGTGCACTGGTGCTGTCCCAAATGCCCCGCCACCACCCGTACTCCCCCACAGTCGGCGGTTATGCCCCCCTAGAACCGCGCCCCAATAGCAGGGTGGCACCGAGAACTGACGCAGCTAGGCCCCGCGGACGTCGGCCGCCAACTCTCCTCTCCAGTTCCAGGTTTCCATTGCTGCCCGGGTCGAGCTTCCTCGACCGCAGCGCCGTTGGACTGCCGAACATCAGTTCTTGTCCCGTCATTCCGTCTGGTCCTTCAACCGCTAGATCTTACCTTTATTTCTTAGCTTCTATATTCTTACCACATCCAAAATAAACCCAACGTCGTCCTAGTGTTTCTTCGGATCAACCCTCCAGTCGACAAGCCCGGCTTCCATTGTGTGTGTGTTTGCTTCCGCAGGGTTCTGCAGCACCACTACCTGTTGGTGCATTACATCATCCGCCCGCATCACCTTGCACACAAGACCCCTCTTCATCACTGAAACTAGGCCCGCAGCTCACCCCATCGTGCCGTCACCCCAACGACGCAGGGCTCCCGTGTTGGCCAATTTGGAACACCCAAACCCTCCTTACGCGGCGGCTACCAAATCTTGTTGCATTTCCCATCTTTGCAAGCAACCAGCGCAACCCCCCTCAACGCCCTAGCCCTCCACGAATCTAACGACAAGCGACGAATCACGAATTACGAACCACTCCTTCCAGGAGTTCCCTTTTCCCGGCCCTCCAACTCCTCGTCTCAGCCTTACCTCAACTTCATCAGCTACACTTCCCACTCTCGACCAGCCCTCAAGCAACGTTTGGTTGGGCTGCGCCATCAGGTTGCAACTCTCTCCATTTCCCGCCTCGCGGATTTGCTTGACATCTTTGACATCCCGACTCCCCACAACACACTTGCGCCGGCACACACACGTATACACAACACCTACGATCCCTCCCTCTCTCTTGACCGGGATCTCTCACTTCCACAATCACGCTTCTTTGCCCACCACCCTGGCAGGCAGTACGCGGCGCAGTCTCTCCTCACAGGGAGGTCTGCTGAATAGGATGTTCCGTGGTAGCTCCAGCTCCGGAGGCTCGAAATCAGAGAAGGCCGACACCAGCTCTGTGTCCGACCCCGCATCAAGCACCAGCCCGAAGGAGAGAGCGGCCGACAGCGCTGGCAAGTCGCCGTCTCCGGACAAGGAACAAGACTTGGCTGGCGCCGACCGCTCCTCCCCGTCTCCAGTCAAGGCGGCGGACCAGGCTGCCAGTGGCGAGAAGCGCAGTGGCAATGGTAGTCCCCCGAGTGCAAGCAGCTCGGCCGACCAGAAGAAACGACGGAGCAGCGGGGTGAGCAGCAAAGCTAGCAGTCTGATAGCGCATGCCAAGAACACTCTTTTCACTCAGGTTGGGAGCCGTGCCAACAACGACCCGGGTGCTGACTCCAAGTCGTCTGACCAGACTCCTTTGCAGAAGCTAGGCAAACAGGACCAGGCCCTCGCTGTACCCCAGGGCCAGCACAACAATGCCGCGGGCGAATCCCTCCCCGGGCCCCGGTCCACCTTTCGAGTCGGCGTTTGGGAGGATAGGAACAAGAAGTGCAGGCGCACCATGGAGGATACCCACGCTTTCCTCTACAACTTCCTTCATACTCCGGCTCCCGCGCTTGGGGCGGAGGGCAGTGGGCAGGCCCAAGCGCAGCCCGCAACCGTTGTTAGTGCGAATGAGGCGGAGAGCCAGGGCGGGGCCGCAGCCGACGAGGAGATGACCGAAACCGACAATGGATACTTTGCTATCTTCGATGGACACGCAGGTACATTTGCGGCGGACTGGTGTGGGAAAAAACTGCACATAATACTGGAAGAGATCATTCGGAAAAATCCCAACTCCCCTATACCCGAGCTTCTCGATCAAACCTTCACGGCCGTCGATGCGCAGCTAGAGAAGCTGCCTCTCAAGAACAGTGGCTGTACAGCGGCTATTGCCGTGCTCCGCTGGGAGGACCGAGTCCCGAGCAGCCTTTCTGCGACCGGTTCGCAGGCGATCGCACCCGCTCTCGCCAAAGCCGCGGCCGAAGAAGCCTCCCGGCCAGAAGAGGCTTCGGCTTCCTTGGCAGCCCCGGATGCTGCCCACGCAAAGTTAAAGAGCACCGCAGCGAGGCAGCGGGTCCTCTACACCGCCAACGTCGGTGACGCTCGCATCATCCTCTGTCGCCAGGGGAAGGCACTGCGTTTGTCGTACGATCACAAGGGTAGTGATGAAAATGAGGGCAAACGTATTACTAACGCAGGTGGTTTGATACTGAACAATCGTGTCAATGGTGTGCTCGCCGTTACCCGCGCGCTTGGTGACACCTACATGAAAGACCTCGTGACTGGGCACCCATACACCACGGAGACCGTTATCCAGCCTGACTTGGACGAGTTTATCATTATTGCCTGCGATGGGGTAAGTGATGCCACGCTCTCGTTATTTACCACAGTACTCTTCAGAGACCTTAGCCAACTAACACCCACACTAGCTCTGGGACGTCTGCTCGGACCAAGACGCGGTCGACCTGGTACGCAACGTGCAAGATCCCGTGGCCGCGGCCAAGCTACTTGTCGATCACGCCCTGGCCAAATTTAGCACCGACAACCTGTCGTGCATGATTGTCCGCCTCGACAAACAGGCTCTGCTCGAGAACCAGAACAACAAGGACCGCGCCATCGGTGTCGAGGGCGACGCCGGCACCGGCACAGCTTCGGGCCATACTGGTATCAGCGAGACTGAGAAAATTCTCAAATCTACCCAGGCGAGCATTGCTGATGGCCGGAGCTCGCCCATGGGTGTGTCCGCTAGTAATAGTGGGAAGGGGCATGACTTGTCGGGTCCACCTGCCTCTGTACCCACGTCCGCTCCTGTCGCTGGTGAAGGGGAAGGCCAGGCTGGATTTGTTCCCACCTTGATCGAGGGTTCCGTGGAGGAGGAGCCGGCGGCCATCGGGGGCATGGACGATTTGAGGGTGTCTCCCGAGGCAACGGTCCCGCCCGCGTCTGCGTTAGAGGCGGAACCCGATAAAATCGAGCTGGATCCGCCTGCTGATGCAAATACAGCTGCGGGCGCGGACAAAAGCGCCTAGGGCAGACAGAAGTCTGCAAATTGTGTCAGTTGACGGGCCAGCATGGTGCGAGCGACCTCGATGGTCGTTTGACGCATTGGTTTAACATGATGTTGTGGTCTGGGTGGTTGGATGTTTTGATATGAATTGGACATGGAGGCGAGAGATAGTACCAACCTTGGGGAAAGGGGAAGGGAGAGGCGACGGGGCCAGGAAAAAAGAAAACAGAAAGACAGCAACGGGAAAAGCGAAAGAGACGTCGGTCACATGTGTTTTACTCTTGTTCCTACGCTTTTCTCCCTTTTGTTGGTCCTCCCAGCGCGACGATCACATCGTGATAACAAAGTAGTTTGTGTGGATATGTAGTCAGTTGTCTGTCGGTTTAGCGGATTAGGATAGGAGCCAAGCATGTAGACGGGGCGAGGTTGGATGGGATGGGGTGGTGCAATTGTTCTTTTTACTCTGCTTTGTCTCTCTGGTGGTTAACTTCGCATGGTTTTGTTCTACACTATCGTGGTGGTATTGTCGGACTGAGTCTGTGAGTTATAGATATGCCACTGGCGAGGTGCGTTTGTACTTCTTTCAGTTGTACATAGGAAATACTTGTCAAGACAATCAAGATATGTTGAACGAGTACTTTTTCTCCTGCACCCCATGAGGACCTCAATTGTAAACTGATACTTGCAGTAGCACGTAGATAGATCCAGGAGCAGAATTGAAGAGGATCTACGGCTCCCTTCTCGGCACCGACGACCAACTGTCCGGCACAATGTGTCCTTCATAAAGCCGTGATACAAGCCGGCATCGTCAACCCATGGTAGATCGTCACACGGGCCCGGAGTAGTTCAAGAATTACCCCTCCTTGAGATATATTGTGCAATGGTCCAGGATTGCCCATTGGAAGACAATGGGTGCACGGTGGTCTCTGGTGTCATAGCGTGCATATGATGCAGAACAACTCCATTTGGATCTGGGGTGGAAGCACGTAGTACCGGACCTCGACCGCCGAAGGACTGATTGATAAATATGGCGGGGGCTCAAAGGAGGGGGGATGCCTACGCATAGGTCATGAATGGAGGGCTAGGAGTGGAAGCTTTTATATTCCATTTCTTGCAACACCAAGAGGCGGTGTTCATGATGGGGCATAATTCAGTGACTGGAGGCATCTGAAGTCTGTCAGGGGGTGGATCGGGGTTTCCCCAAGTCAAACCCACTGGATTCCTTGTCTGAGGAGGCCCTGGTTCAAGAGGGATGGTCTGAAACACAGCTGGCAGCTGTGGAATTCCCAATGCGGCTAGAACCTGACCAGGGGAATTGCATGCTCCACCGTTGGATGAAAGGCTTGAGATGAGGTGGGAAATTCTCTCCGATACACAGTCGTTCGATATTTTGAGAAGGAACGGAGATGAGAACCCAATCCAAGCCGGCCTACTCCGAAACAATGATGCAATGGGGCACACGCGCTCAAAAGGGAGGAAGAAACATCTGAGGCGTTCTGCGCAGGGTTTTCTTGGGAATTGATGCTCGTGAGGTTTTGGAACGTGGGATCTTCGAGAAACTGCACGACACTGGCGTCCCCCTGTCCTTGTTCCTGGGACGCGGCCACACACAAGCAAGCCATGGAAAGAGAACACCACTGGTTCACTGGCTCGGTGTTAGTTTTCCGCCCTGGATTTGGCCCTGGACCCCTGGCCTGGCGTGCCTGGCACGCACCTCACTAAAATATCGCACACCAATTCGGTGATTGGACCTGGATTGGAGGCAGTTCACCTCCTTTCGACCATCCAATTCCCCCTCATCCCCCCTCCCCCAACTTTTTTTCTGCTCCGACGGCATTCTTTCCAACCGTCCGGTTCGTTTCAAGCTGGTGCATCAAGAGGACCGTGACGGCCTCTCTCGTGCCCACTGCAACATCGCTTCGGGTCCAAAAGCAACCCGAACCCACATTCACTATTCTTCCCTAGTTGTTTCTTATTCGCTGGGGGGTTTATTGCTGTTTTCTTTCTGCCGCCTTTTTGTTACCATTTCTTCCTTCCCCCCTATTTTCTAGTTGTGCAACGTCAAAAGCCGACCTCCCCAGGGTTGACTTACGGATAGTTGCTTGCTTGCTTGCTTGCTTCCTTGCGTGGCTGCTTGATTGCTTGCAGGCGGACCGCATTCATTTCCCTGACACCCGCAGTTCGTCGGTCAACGGCCGGCCGGTTCGCCAAAGCACCCGCCCGCCCCGGAGCTCCACTTCCCATCACCGCCTTGGGGGGAAGAAAGAAAGCGTGTCTGATCTTCGGCACGCGCAACCGGGGGCAACTGTGCGATCTACTGCAACCCTCATCCGCGACCACCTGTTCCATGTTTCTTGTGTGCCCGAGCCACACAGCTCTCACGCCTTCGGACGGGCCAATCGCTCCATGTCGGCTCGGCTGAGGAGCAAGTTCAGCCTTGCCCTTTCCGCTCCTCGAGCGCCAACAAGAGGAAGAGGGAGTGGAAAGAAAGTTTACCCCTGAATTGGGTCCGCTCCCGCCGCGCCGCTCGACGACACCTCGTCCTGGCCGAGTGGTGGCTCTTTTGCCCACCACGCTCTGACGCCAATTCGTATCTGCTTCGCGACGGCCGTCAAAGGGAGGATAAGGGATAGGGGACCGCAGGAAACCGAGTTCAGCGACCGGGGCGGATTAGCTCGAGATGTCGCTGAATGGGTTGGACGATGCGCGGGTCAAGGAGGCGTACGAGACGGCAGTCGCGGAACCTGGGGGATGGTATGTGCCCGCCCGTCTTTCTGCTTGCTTTTGGAGGATTGCTGTGCAACTTCATGTGCCTTGAACAACACGAGGTTCCCTTGCGCTTCTCGCCTCTTCCCTTCTGCTGTACCGGTCACAGCATGGCAGATACCCGAGACAGGTGCTAACGGTGCGTTCTTTTCCGTCACAGGTTCCTCCTGAAATATGCCAGCCGCGATGAGGTCGAATTGCTCGGCCGGGGAAACGGGGGGATTGTGGAGGTCCGCAACAATATCGCCCAGTATGAGGACAAGTCGCCGTTGTACGGCTTCCTCCGATACAGGCGCCGCAGTGTCCTTATCAGGTATCTCCCAGAAGGCTGTTCTAGGTTAATCCAAGGTGCGTATTTCTTGTTGCAGATTCTGAGGCACGCGCAAGGCAGTTCTTTGTCTAGGGACTAACCTTGGGGTCTTACAGCTCGGGTAACCGTTCACTTTGATGCCATTTGCGACCGGTTTTCGCCCCATGACACTACCTTTTCGATTTCCGATGCTAAGGAACTGAAGGACACCAAGCTGTCCGCGGCTTGCTCGCTTCATGCCGCGTCTGGTTCAACGTCTTCGTCGACGAGTTCACTCCGCCGAAGGCGCTTGATGGAAATTGCGGAAGAGGAGGAGGAGGAAGAGCGGGAGAGGAAGCGCCAGTCGTTGGTTAAAGAGGACGAGCGCCCAATAACGTCCGCAACGCTCTCGGGGCCGCCTGTCAGACTCGACGCGGATTTAGCCAAGGTCCCCGAAGCATCGCGATTTGCCAACGAGCTTGAGCCGCCTAACTTTACAGGCGTCCCGAGGCCGTCTTCTCCTGCCAAGTCATTCGACGAAAGCTCGAGGCGCATGTCCTCACAGTCGTCACGAACAAACGAACTCTACCCAACTTCTTCTTACCCATATTCAAAGCCGCGTGTCAAACTCGGCCCGCGACCATCGGCAGATACCGGACGCCCAGGCTCTTCCGGGGGTTCAGCAGCTCGGGTGGCGACGGTCCCAGCTGGTCTTAAATCGATGTCGAAAGGTCCTCGAAAGGCTCGTTCCCACTCGCAAGGCCAGGACGATGGAGCTCCAGGGTCGCCCAACCAGGGGCAAGGCGAGAGTGCTTTCCCGTCTATCGACGTTACCGGAGCTGATGGGAACCTGTCACAGAAGGAACTCCCCCAAGTCCCAGCCGCCAGCGCGGCAACCGAGGCGCTAATGGAGGCGATTTCGGCACAGAAGGCTAACATGCAGGCCCCGACTTCGCCTTCCGGGAAACAAAACGCAATCTCCCCCGAAAAGGCCCGTCTTCTGAAGGCTATGAAGTTGAGAGAGAAAAAGAAGCTGAAGAACCTGCAACCCACACTAAACGCTCCTGACACCGATATTCCATCTGCCCCTAGCACGCCTGGGCTCCCCGAAGACGTACAGGAGTCCGAGGTGACAGCGGAGTCAAAGGCAGTAGCGACAGTAGAGACGCCGCTGGAACCCGAACCCCGGACTGAGGACTCTGAGCAACCGGATGATGACCTTGTGGCCATGAAATCCGACTCTGGGATCGACGTTGCGACAGACCAAGCGTCCGTAAATACCGTAGATTCTCATCCTACGACGCCTGGTGCCACCTCGGAGATCGGCGAGTCTACCCAGGCTTCATCCTTATCTGACTCAACGGACGAGACGGTCTTGGCCAAGGAAGACCAACAAGACGACCCAGCCGACGAGCCGGAGCCCCGCGAAACTGCCGAGACTACCGGCGACAAGCCTGAAATAGTACCGAGCGACATTTCGCCCGCTGAGGACCGACCTGATGAGAAGAAGGAAACCCCACAAGATAGACAGTCACAGGCGACTATCATCGCGCCCAAGGAAGAACCCGTTGCGGAACCCGAGGAAGGTATTGCGGCGCCCGAGGAACCCGCTCTAGTGTCCGAGGAGCCTGTCTCAGCATCTGAAGCAGCAGTTGAAGAGCCCGCCGTCGATAAAGAAGTGCCGACAGCGGACGCCGAAACGACGCCAACTCAAGCTACCCCCGCTGAGCAGGAGACAAATGACATTTTGCCGAGTGAGACAGTTCCGGAATCAGGACCCGATCCCATCGTTCAGAAACCGACAGAGAGTGATGCTGAACTCCCTGCTATTGAACAAGCCCCGGCAGCACAAATCCGGATACCGGTATCCAAGTTTTCGACACGGGAAGCAAAACCCACCTCAGCCGCCGTCGGCTCTGACAGCCCGCCAACTATTAGTCAGGCCCCAGAGGTAGATTCGCAGGATGTTGAGCCAGTACCGCCCCCAGTGCCGGAAAAAGATAATGTTCTCCCTCAGCTGTTGTCGGCCGAGACGGAGTATGTCGATGGGAGGGGACGGAAGCTTCCAGACCCCATTCAAACTGATTTCGACTCCCCGGAAAACGACAAGCGCCGTTCGATGATTAGCATCTTAGAAAACGACGGCCTCATGGACGAATTGCAATCGGCCACCGTGCAGGAGGCCACGCCCGTTGCTGTGTCGAAGTCTCCGCTGTCGCCTTTCTTCGGGCTCGACCAGCCTTCTAAACAGCGGCCCGTTAGCGTCTTGGAGGATACTGGGGCACAACGTTTTGCACGGACCGTCTCGAACCCAGTCCGTAACTCGTTCCTATCCCCCAGTGAAATGCCGTCTGGCCAGGCTCGATCTGCCTCTGCCGGTACTGCCCATCAACAAAGGGGCTTTCAACAACAGACACCGACCGAGGCACGACCCAAGAGTGCCAAGCTGGGCTCCAGCATTTCACAGCGGATCAAGGCCTTGGAGAAGTTCTCAAGTAGCCCACCGGGCACGGAGCCCGTGACGACACCCAAGGATCGTCCTGCCTCAACATTTTTCGCTGTCCGCAAAACTAGCATACGAGAGCCGTCTCGGCCATCGTCCGTGGTCGATCGGGACAGCTCAGTGACAAGGGTTGCCTCACCTTCCCCACCAGCCTCGAGGGATTCGACGTCCGCCGAGGCGACGAGGACCATGGGGCGTGGGCGTTCCGGATCCTTGGTCAACCGGCTGTCCATGTTCGAAGGAGGTATGCCTCCAAGAGGACGTCCTGATTCTGTCCAGGTCACAGCTAGGATCGTCCGGGATCCGAGCAAACCGTTTTCCAAGGGCCTCGAGCCGAGCGGTGGCAACTCAACGGAATATGGTGCCCTGGACTTGAAGCAGTCGCCCTTGGTCGTGGATGTGCAGAACCGCATGGACTCTCGGAGTCCCGTGCGGCCCCCGAGTTCCAACTCGGTGCGCACTCTAGAACGGGATATTGCCGAGCAGGCTAAGCAATCTGTGATTGAGCGACGGCAATCCAAGCGGTCTCGGGATGGCGAGGGAGATTCCCCGACAGAAGCCACCGAGGGCCGTCGTCCCCGGCGCCGGTCATCACTCTCGGTCGTCAAGGACTTCATCAAAGACCGCACCGGGTCGGTCATTGGCGGCAAGTCAGGCTCCAGCGACAGCCTCGGCTCTGCGGGCGTCACCTCGCCAGGCACCTCGCGGCCCCCTTCTCGCGCCCCATCGGTGCAGCCATCGGGCTCTCTCGTCCGCCGTCTAAGCGTCAGCAGCCGGCGCTCGTCCATCGAGCGAAACCACACCCCGCTCTCCTCTGTGTCCCTTGCCACCAGCCGGGCCACCGACATCAACTTCGACTTTGACGCCGACGCCAAGAACGGAAGCGGATCGAGCGAGAAGCGATTCGGCGCCGGCAGCTCAGACCCGGCCAGCCCCAAGAGCGGCAACGGGACCGGCAGCCGGGCGTCGAGGTTCATGCGTCGCATCTCCAACACTCTCGCTACCGGCCGGAAGACCGGGGCCCCATCGATCTCCCCCACAGTGACCGAGGAGAACGCCGCCGAGGTCGAAGCCGCGTCAAAGGGCAACTCGGCCATCAACAGCGCAGCTACTCAATCCCCGCCCAGCATCGTGGCCTTCATGGGCGATGTCAACGTCCAGTTCCCGGACAACCTCCTGTGGAAGCGCCGCAGCATCTGCCTTGACAGCACGGGCTTCCTGATCCTCAGCGGCGTGCAGGGCGCGGCGATGATGCCCGCCGCTGTTCCCGGCAGGGACCGCCACGGCGCGCTGATCAAGCGGTACCACATGAGCGACTTCAAGGCGCCATATGCACCGGATGTGGAGCTCCAGGAGCTGCCGAACAGCGTTGTTCTTGACCTGGTTGAAGGAAGCGCGGTGCAGATCGCTTGTGAGGACCGGGCTGGGCAGATGAGCATTCTTCGCAGTAAGTTCCACCGTCGTTGTTAGGGGGGTGAGCGAGAATTGGGTGAATATAAATGCTAACAAGCCATATGTAGTCCTTGAGGAAGCCCATCGCAACCACTCCAACTTCTAAAACCTTAATTGCAAACCCTTCCTCCACTCTTTTCCCCTCACGAATTCTCCTATCTTGCACGAGCAATGGCTGCTATTCTTTCAAACGCCCTAGCGGTCCGGCAACAAACCAAATTTCCTTCTGTCTTCTGAAACGCACCACATCCGACCCTACGTCCGTCATCAACCGACCTTTCTTCCCTTTTTTCTGTAGGAACCACCTTCATCTCGGAATATTCAGCTCCTGATCTTTTTTATGATCTTTTTTACTTCTCTTGCTTGAGCGTCTTAGCATTGATTGAGCGCCTCAGCAACTATTATTCATTCTCATACATTTACAGCCACACACAACCGACACTAGTTGTACTTTCCTAGCCCCCCTTTCCCCTATGATACCACCAATCATCTCTATCACGGCTTTTCAGCCCACATCTCATTTCTTACAAAACTTTGATCTGTTTTTTTCCTTAGTTTTCTTCTTTCAAAGCACCGCCGTTTTATACCTTTGGCACGGCAGCGGGCGGGGAAACGGAGGGCGAAAAGAAGAGTTGGAGGGGCCTAGGGAGATACAGGGAGGCAGATGTGCGTCACACTCTCGAGTTTGGGGAGGTATCTGATTGGAAATAAATCAACTCAAAGGATTGGAAAAAAGGAATGGGCCGTGGTGGTGGGGGTGACGGTGGCAAGAGTCTGTCTCATCCTTTCTGCTCTAATTCAATCTTTTATAGGGAATCATGACCCGTTTGCTTGGTTTTGTTTTAAAACCGGCCCCCCCAAAAAACAGAGAGCAGAGTGTTGGGAAGCCTCGTCCTCCGTGGCAGTGCAATTTTTTTGTTTTTTTTTTTCAATTTTGTGTGCGGTTTACGGTGCAGATGTACATGGACACACATATAAGATATGCCTACGTGCCTAGTAGATAGAATAAAACGTACCCTGCGGTGCTTGGAAGGATCTCGCTGTGCTTTGGTGACTTGGAATTGTGGGAGTTCACACAGCCAGGGGTTCATCACGTCACTCTCCATCCAAAAGGACATAGATGAGAAAGACAAAAGACAAGATCTAAGGGATCTTTCATGGGGAGATGAGAGAGAAGTCATATCATGATATACACGTTCTGGTCTGGCGTCTGTTAACCCCGCCCCCGCTAAAACATCCTTGAGTCGTCCATTCATCCAGCTAGCTATCCGTCCGTACAACAACGGTCCGCCGGCCGTTTCCCGGCATCTATTTCGTGAAAGTGCGACCATGTACGAGTGTTAAGACAAATTGGGAAACACGCTCCCTCAAGAACAGCTGAGTGTCGGTTGATGGGAGTTCGAAGGGCTCGTTGGCTCGGTAATATACAAGTTCGAGATGGTCGAGCTAATGGAGGGAGTGGTGAGGTCCGCAACGTTGATGAGGTCCCGGATGTCGGCGGTGCGAGTAGAGGGGGTGGATAATAGCGAGTGTTTTATGTGTCCGCTTTTCCATATCTCCGAGTGTGCTATCGATCTTTGAGGATCGAAACCAAATGGTCGTTGAGCAGCTGAATACACCTCTCTCGCGATCAGCCGATACACCCCGCTCACCACACCCTCTCCATCTCGGCATTTTTTTCGTCTTCTTTATTTTTTCCTCTCCCACATCAGCCAACTCAAAGAGCCGCCTTCGCCTCCGCCTTCCCCCCACCCAACGCAGCACTCAGCTCCTCAGCCGACATCCCCTTCCCATCCGTCCCCGGCGCCGCACCACCACCGCCCAAAACCTCCCCGCCCAACTCACGCATCCGTTGCTCCTGCTCCATGGCCGCAAAGTTCTGGTCCTCGCCAAACGCCAGGGCGAAGGGCACGCCGACGAGCAGGGCGCTGACCGAGACCGTCCAGGCGGCGCGGCCGGCGAAGGAGAGCGCCGTCCACACGGCGGATGTGGTGGCGTCGTACTTGTGGTGGATCCAGCCGCGGGCGGTGGCGGGTACGATATCGCGCAGGGCGGCTAGGCGGTCGGCGAGGGTCTCGTCTGAGGGGTCGTAGTTGGATTCGTTGGAGATTTCGGAGTCTGTTGTGTGGAGGGGTTGTTTTGGTTAGCGGGCGGGGGGGTATAATAATTTGGGGGATGAGGGGGTTTTGGTAGAAGCATGGGAATCGGGTTTCATACCGGTGTCAGTAAAGTCCTCGTCCTCCTCCTCAGTCCCGACTTGGGGGTGCTGGAAGTGCTCGTCTTCGACTTCTACAAGTTGGACCATTTTGAGTTGTTGTGTGAGGAGAAAATTAAATTAGGTTGTTTGAATGTCGGTTCCTCTGCGTGTGTTAGGAAAGAAGCACTGGTCCTTCCTGTTGCAGGTTGTGGAGTTTATCCTGGCGCCGGCCGCGGGGGTGGTGGTGATTGAGGGTTGATGGATTAAGATTTCAATATTCGCGAAAGCCCGGCTCTGCGTTCGGTTCGCCTTTTTTTCGCGGATAAGAAAGAGCATGACGGCGCTGTAGAAAGCCGCTAGTACTAACACGGTTAGTTCAGAAGGTGGGGTTCTAGAGGGGCGAGTCAATTGTGTGTTACGCCAGCGCTTTAACTTTTGCACAGAGTACATCGCAACCGACCCTTGCATCAACACCTTCGAACATGGAGCTTCACTAGCCCCGGAATAAGAGCTCAGCTCAACACGGGTTGCCAAAGTATGGTTTGAAAGTAACTAATAATACAAGGGGACGCTAACTGAAGGCTTCTGCTGTTGCTGTTGGTCATGACGTTTCCAGTCTCGACGCCGCCAGCTACTGTATAGAAATGGGTGATATGGACTTGAAATGCTTTTGGCACGTGAAATAATTTGTTTCAAATTTACCTGCCCCCATGCTTCAATTTAAGATAAATGGGGTAAAAGCAGAACAGACATTGCGTTTGAGTCGCTTGAGGTCCTAGGGTGAAGTTCGCAGACCAGGAAGTACCAGGGTTCGGGTTACTGCCATAAAAAACCAGATGGTCAAAGCGTTCTCTGCGGATGCCCCACCACGTGACCGCACAGAAATTCGAAAACCTACCGCAGCACAAATTTAGCGAACCTCCTTCCCACGACCCTCGGACAAGCAAGTTTGCAACGACAAGCCGGTCAAAGTTGCCCATCATGTCTCTCGTATCGGGCGAGAAGGTACGTGGACATAGAAGATGGATAGCATCATGAGTCTCTGCGTTGCCCTCAATTTCCTCCTGCTGGACCGTTTTCCCCGGGCTCGCTGGCGACTCTACCCCATCCGACACCCGATCGACGTACCTACAATTTTGTGGTGCACGCGACAGATCCGACGACGAACCCACAGAAATCAGATTGCCGAGCGGGGGACTGCGAGACGATGCGATGCGATGAGAAGCCAATGGGTCCCCCGTTTGGAAGCTAGAACCGCACTACATTCCACCTTTCTAGGGGATGGGAACTGCCTCGAATGACATCTGTCAAAGAGCTACCAGGCCGTTTGGCTTGCGGTTGTGTCTGGCACGGTTACCCCTACGGCAATACAATTAGGACGGGACAGCAGCAGCAAACGGGCAACGCGAGGTGGATGTGCGGATGGCTCAAGGGATTACAAGCTAACTGGTTATCCAGAGCAACTTCAACCACATTCTGCGTCTGCTCAACACCAACGTTGACGGCAAGCAGAAGGTCGTTTACTCCTTGACCAAGATCAAGGGTGTCGGTCGCCGTTACTGTACGTCTTTGACGCCCCCAGCTGCGGTGGTCCATTCGGGTTTAAGGAAGACATATGGTGCTAACTAAGAGAACAGCCAACCTGGTGTGCAAGAAGGCCGATGTCGACCTGAACAAGCGTGCCGGTGAGCTCACCTCTGAAGAGCTGGAGCGCCTGGTCACCATCATCCAGAACCCCACCGCCTACAAGATCCCCGGGGTATGATTTTCCCATCCTTGTTACTCTCGTGTTGAATGTCATTGTTAACCGCACCCCGTAATAGTGGTTCCTGAACAGGCAGCGCGACATCATCGATGGCAAGGACTCTCAGATCCTGGCCAACGGCGTCGACTCTAAGCTCCGTGATGACTTGGAGAGGCTGAAGAAGATCCGGGCCCACCGTGGTCTCCGTCACTACTGGGGTCTCCGTGTGCGTGGTCAGCACACCAAGACGACCGGTCGCCGTGGCCGGACCGTCGGTGTGTCCAAGAAGAAGGGTGGTTAAGCGGGGTTTCTCTCTCTCTCTCTCTCTGGGGCGAATGCGGCATTATTTGGCGCTGCTGTGCTTGGCTTTCTGGCGGTGTTATCCCTCAGGCTAAGGGGTGGTGGTCATGGACGGGATGGGTTGATTTTATTTACCTCTTGCGAAGAAGATCTCTTGCAGTTCGTTAGGGAATCGGCAGGATTGCAAAAAGGGAACCACCATGATTCACAGCGTGACAAATACAGGCGCAGATACAAAACAGTAAAACGACTTGGGCCCACAGGATGTGCTATGCGTGGTGATCAACGATATGGTAGGTCACCTTGTCTATGCCGTTCTTTTACATACCAAAACGCCGAGCAGCCATCCACACTGAGAACATAAAATAACGAAGACGTAATTACCGGAGCATTATCGTCGACCACCCACCATCCATATCTGTTCATTTTCCATGCCCAAGCCGTCTATCTCCTTCACTCTTCATGCGTAACAGCCATATCCAACACCTCCACCCTCCCCTGCCCTCTCGTCTCCCCGCCCACAAAGTCCGACAACCCCTTAAACGCCCCCGGCTCCACAAACCCAACAATCTCCCACTCCGAGCCCACCACGTCCTGCGTCTCGACCTGCTCGATGAAACTCAAGATCTTGTCCTTGACTGTCCCAGGCGCCTTCTGTTCCCCGCCTGCCTCTCCGTCATCTGTGTTCTTCCCTCCGGACGGGGCAGGTGTCTTGGGTGCCTTGACGGCCTGCTTGAGTACGCTGGTGGAGCAGGTGATGCGCAGGCGCATGCGTGCCCGCGCGACGGGTATGGGTTGATGGGCGATCAGGGCGCGCATGGCGTCGAGGGCTTGGGATTTGGCACTCTTGGTCGTGGTAACGCCTGTCCAGGTGGCGGTTTTGTGGTGTGTTGTTGTTGTCGATGTTGTTGTTGAGGATGATTGTGATGGCGCTGTTGAGGAGATTGTGGATGTGGCGTTGGGTTTGCTCTCGCCCGGTTCGTTCGTGGCCGGTGTGCCTAGTAGGTTGGGTGTGATGGGGTTTGTAGAAGGCTTTTCTTGTTGTGATTGTGGTTGTGACTGTTGCTGGTGTGCCATCGAGCTGAGCATGTCCAAAGCCTTCTCAATCATGCCGGAGGTGTAAACACGCTTCGTGCGTGGGTCGACGAGCCGGCTCGCGACGATGGAGACGACCTCGTTGTGGACTCGCTCGAGCTGGGCACTGCGTTCCTTCTCGCCGACCTGCAGCTCGCCCTTGCGTAGGATCTCGAGAATAATGTCATCAACCGAGACGCCCTTGCCAAAGGCCTTGGCCAGCTCGGCCGACGGCGCCGTTTGGCCCTTGGACACGTTGAGGAAGACCGACGGGATTTGCAGCACGTTATCAAGGTCTGTTTCGATTCCTGAGCGCCATTCTAGGACCTTGTTTTTATAACAGGCAATCTCAAAGCGCTTCTTGCCCTTTTTTAGGCGTACCAACGACACGTTGGTGAGCTTGATCTGGTTGGAAGGTTGTTGAATGACCATTGTGGCGTTGGAGATGGCGTCTCGCTCGTTTTTCTTGTTCGGGCTCTCGTTTTGTTGATGTGAGAAGGGCGAGGTATCTCAGAGAAACTGCGATTTGGCGATGATTCTAGTTCAAGATGGTGTTACCTGTGACTGCGTAGGGTCAAGACAGGTTTCGTTTTATGTGATGGTGTTTTCCCTCTTGATCTTTTTCTCTTATCGACAACGACCCCGCCACAAACGAACAAGTCCCTGATGCAGGTGGGATGAGTCTGGATGACTCAGGTGGGTCCAGGTCTGCGGGGATCCATCCTGGAGGCAAGGGGCATTTGTGCAAGCCCGTCAAGCCCGTGTTATGCCGCCCATGACGGGCGCATTACCGGGCATTTCCCGTCCATAACCATTTGTTATGTGGCGCTTTGCCATTATCGGGCATGATTAGTCTGATTCCGGTACAGTGCAATCCGAGGATACCGAAACTTTAAGCGCTCTGGGCCCCATCCGACCGAACATTCACCGTTCACACGAGTTATCCGGTTTGCAGCGCGTCGCGGGAACATTCGTCCGATGACGCAGGTCACCGCCTGAAAGGATGGAGGGACTGGGCCGGTCGGACGCCACGGATGAGTGGGCCCGGCTAGGTGAAGTGTTTCGTCTTCCATTGGTGGAACCAAAGACGAGGCTACAGTTAAAGAGCCAATGCGCAGACCAGTCGACTGTGATGATGCTTATCAGACACATTTTGTGTAATGCCCCACTTTAGTTATCCGCTCTCGTGACCTGCCCTGCAAGGTACCCCGACAACAGGGCGTGGCGCAACCAATACCCGCCTGCCTGTGCCTTGCCCGAGGCGGTCGCTCAGTCGCTGCGGGATGGAGGTTCCCAATGCGCCGTTTCATCGATAACACCAACCCCCGAGCTCCCGCCTTCCTTTCCTCCCCCATTATATTTCTTCTTTCACATCTCTTTCTATTTTCCTTTTCATCAACCTCGTAATCCGCATCCTGTAACAACCATTTCACCACATCACACGGTCTTCTCCGCCCACAGTCGCAATGAGGATCGCAGCGTCGACGGTGCTGCTCGGCGCAGCTTCGGCCGCGTCATTCCAGCAGCAGGCCCAGCAGGTGCTCTCCGGTGGCTTCGGCGATGGCCCGGACGCTATGAAGCCCATCACGGATTCGTTCGCGGATGCCGCGGGTCACACCATTGAGAACCTCGAGGAGGCCTTCTCTGGCATGACCGCCGAAGCCAAGGCGCTTTGGGATGAGATCAAGCTGCTCGTCCCCGACAGCGCCTTCGACCCGTCGTCCTGGCTCAGTCAACCCAAGCCGCACCGCCGCCGTGATGACTGGAACCATGTCGTCAAGGGTGCCGACGTGCAGAAGCTTTGGGTTCAGGGTGAGGACGGCCAGGAGCATCGCCAGGTTGATGGCCGCATCGAGGATTACAACCTCCGTATTAAGTCGGTCGACCCTGCTAAGCTCGGCGTCGACTCCGTCAAGCAGTTCAGCGGATACCTGGACGACGAGGCCAACGACAAGCACTTGTTCTACTGTAAGGCTCTCTCCCTCACCGCCTCCCCCTGAAAGAGGTTCGCCTGTGCTAATCAAATCTCTCTTCGTTCGCAGGGTTCTTCGAGTCGCGCAACGATCCCAAGAACGACCCGGTCGTCTTGTGGCTCAACGGCGGTCCCGGGTGCTCATCCCTGACTGGTCTCTTCTTTGAGCTCGGCCCCTCGTCGATTGACAAGAAGCTCAAGGTGGTCAACAACGAGTTTAGCTGGAACAACAACGCCAGCGTCATCTTCCTCGACCAACCCGTCAACGTCGGGTACTCGTACTCGAGCAACCCCGTGAGCAACACCGTTGCGGCCGGGAAGGATGTCTATGCTCTCCTGACTCTGTTCTTTCACCAATTCCCCGAGTACGCGAACCAGGACTTCCATATCGCGGGCGAGTCCTACGCCGGCCATTACATTCCCGTCTTTGCCTCGGAGATTCTGTCTCACAAGAACCGCAACATCAACCTCAAGTCCATCCTGATTGGCAACGGTTTGACTGATGGCCTGACCCAGTATGAGCACTACCGCCCCATGGCTTGCGGTGATGGCGGTTACCCCGCCATCCTGGGCGAGTCTGAGTGCCGTGCCATGGACAACGCTTTGCCGCGCTGCCAGTCGCTCATCAACAGCTGCTACGAGAGTGGCAGCGTGTGGAGCTGCGTTCCCGCTTCTATCTACTGTAACAACGCCATGATCGGTCCCTACCAGCGCACTGGCCAGAACGTCTACGATATTCGCAGCAAGTGCGAGGATTCCAGCAACTTGTGCTACAGCGGCCTTGGTTACATCACCGACTACCTGAACCAGAAGGACGTGATGGAGGCCCTTGGCGCCGAGGTCTCGAGCTACGATAGCTGCAACTTTGACATTAACCGTAACTTCCTGTTCCAGGGCGACTGGATGCAGCCCTTCCACCGCCTCGTCCCCGGCATTCTCGACGAGATCCCTGTCCTTATCTATGCCGGTGATGCCGACTACATCTGCAACTGGCTCGGCAACCAGGCCTGGACTGAGGCGCTTGAGTGGCCCGGCAAGAAGGACTTCAACGCTGCCAAGATCAAGGACCTGAAGCTCGAGGGCGCCGAGAAGGAGTATGGCAAGGTCAAGGCTTCGGGCAACTTCAGCTTCATGCAGATCTACCAGGCCGGCCACATGGTTCCCATGGATCAGCCTGAGAACTCCCTTGACTTCCTCAACCGGTGGTTGGGTGGCGAGTGGTTCGCCAACTAAAACGTTGGGCGACGCCTTTTCTTGGATTGAAGGCTTGTATATTGTGGGGGCATAATGGGCATCTAGCAGACGCATTTGTATTCTCTCCTCCTTGGGTAGTTTGCCGCCGTCGTTCATAGATCGCTACCTGATTCTGACTTTGGTATCCGAGCTCGCTTGAACGTGCGACAAGCTGTACAAGGCTGGGTTGCTTTTGCATTTTGCGGATAGTTTTCCTTAGCTGAATCCATATCATCATCCTCTAGCATATCCTTATATATCTTGCCGTGAACCACGTGTTGTTGCCGATCCGTAGATGCTATGATTCAACAAACAGCAGCCATACCACCAACTTATCCTGACCAGTACAAACCTCTAGACTCGCTCCTGTGTCGTGGGCAGACCTTACACATACGCATACTGTGTACGATGTAGTTACTAGGACCCTTTCCCGCCGATCGTGACACGGGCCTGACTTGCCGGCCGATGGCTGTTTCACATGCAGACTCGCGGCCGTTATCCTCAAAGCTGTAAAAAGTGGTCACATTCTCGTTTGAATTTATTGATAGACCCGAGAACGACCTAACTAGAAGAGAGAGATCCTGGCAGAAGAGGTTTCAGGTATGACAGCGCTGGCTTCTCCGGCATCATGAATGTCAACACGACCACACCTCCTATCTCTCTTCCGCCCCTGATATCCTTCCTTGCGTTTCGGAAGCTCGACATGACAAGTGCATAGGTAAAACGAAGGCAAGGAAAATGCCTATTTCAAAACGAGTCAAGAACTCTTTAAATTCTCATGTTTTGATTGCACATAAAATACAAGGACATACAACACTGCCCAGATAGACCACCCACCCCTTCCTCTCCCAATTTTCCCAGCCTTCCTTGTTCCCATTTGTCGTTTCCTTTCATACCTCCCACAAGGGGAGCTGACCCGATAGCAATTACACGCCCCGTCCGTGGATTGATGAAGATGACATCTGTTGCGGGTACCTCCAAACTTAAGGCTACCAAGCAAAGCCTGTCAACATCCCAACGGCAGACTCCAATCGTCCATGCCTCAGAGCCCGTGTTTGTTACACCTCTCCCTTCGCTTCCGTCTTCCACCCTTATCTGAAAAGCGGTAATGGCGTCGTGGAAAGTAAGACGGGAACTCCGATTAGGTGTAGGACACACCAAACCGCGTCGCCGATGTTATGATACTCGACACACTCGGTTCACCGTGAGATGCATTCTGTCCTCCCAGTCAACCTTCCTACGCCAGCCTTGTAGAACATTGTACAGTTTGTGCAGCAGATCCGAGCTCACACCCCAGGGATGTGAGACGGTCACTGGCCGTAAAATTCACGGCACACAAGGATTGATAGATGAGAGATGCATGCTAACCGGTACAGCAAGCCGGTTAGCGGCGGGGTATCATTAACAGAGTAAGAAAACGCCTCCAACAAGGTCCTCCACCCGTTGAATCGTGTTTTTTTCGATCGTCAGAACGGGACGATAATTTGAACCTGTGTCGGGGGGATGATTCCTTGACAACAGGGTCGGGCTCAGAAATTGGGCATTTTTCGGAGTTCGCAGCTGTGGTCTCCATCGAAGAGGGCTGCTAACGGCGGCCTGGGCCGGGTCGATGGGTTTCATCTAGCCATATCCTCACCCTAGTCGTGGTGGTGTCATCAATTGGAGCACGTGGTAGACTGATGCCCACCATAGGCAGGCGGCATGGCTTAAGTTCTACCCTGCGGTATCAGCCGCCTGCATTGGCGGGCTTGAGCTCTTGTGCTTCCTGAATAGACTTTGCAAACCATTGATCCTGAAACGGCTCGGCTTCTTCTTCAGTTGCCGAGTGGATGAGTCTCCGGATCCGGCGGCAGCAGTGTTTCCGTTCCTTTTCACTCCCGGGCCATTCGTGAAGTGTGGGTTGTGGCCGTTTCGTAGAGCATCGTGTTCGTCATCGAGGACCAACGGCGGCGGTGGGTAATTGTCCAGCTTCAGGTCCGTATCACTCCGAGTCGTTGTCGTAGTGGCCGATTCTGGGACCGTGCTCGTCGATCCGGCGGGGTCTACCACGCTTGGGACCGGCATGTTGGTGCCATAGCTACGTGGGCGTTCAAAGGAATCCCGACTGACGATGCTGGTCCCCTGCGTGCTGGGAGACATCGGCATCCGGCCTGTGGTTGCACTCGTCGCTTGAGAAGCCCAATCACCGCTGTTTGGCGCCGAACCTGTGTCTGTCGCCTCGCTGCACCGCTGTCGGCTGTGGCCATGGTGGTGGTTGGCACCATTCGCGCTGGATCCTTCGTTATGGCCATAACCAGTTGTGGAAGAAAAGCTGGTGACAATGCCATTCACCGTTCGTCCGTTGGCGGGCCGCCTCGAGTCTGAATGCGGCTGGTGGAAAGGACCCTCGTGCGGGGTTGCAGCCTGAGCTCCCGCCGTGTTTGAGGGGGATCCCGTCGGTCCCTTGGCGGGATGCGCCTCCGTTGCCGGGTCCGGGGAAACGGTGAAATTGATCGATTTAGGCGACAGCTCACGGCTTTCGGCTTGCGAAGCCGGTTCCGTCGGCGCCTGCCGCTGCTGCTCGTCTCGCAGAACTTTATCAAACAATTCTTTGTTCAAGAGAAGTTCGTCAACACAGTATTGCATGGCAGGGAGGATTTCGGCAACGCCTTGGAAAAGCGGCAGGGCGAACAAGTTCATAAACTTGAGCTGCGCGGTAGTCAATGACAGCGTATCCTGCTTGGGTTCCGACATCAATGAAGTCTTGATTTCCAACTCGCGTTCCATGGTTGATTGACGGGAGAACTCCTCAGAAAGGATGTGCATCCACTGAAGGGCTGCGTCATGTCGTCGCGTCTATGAACAAAAGGTGTGAGTAATCAGTCGGATATCACGGTCGAGGCATGGAAATTCGGTGGACGGTTAAACCTACAACATTGCTGATATCTGCGCACTTGATGAGAAGAGCGCATGTCAGCGCCTTGTGCTCAACCTTGGTGGCGTCTTTCCAGCTATCAAGGTTGTCGGAACCACGAAGCTTCTCCTGAAGGTCACCCATCTTCCTCATGTACTCAAAATGCAAACCCATATCGGTAGCTAAGATCGAGCTGATCATAAGGTGGCGCAAGTTGCTGTCAGCGAAAGTGGATGGCCAGTACCTTCGCAGGATCTGCGAAAAAGCCGCACAGTGGAACGATTCGAGGACCGAGCGGTCGTTGTACAGCTGGGCAAGAGGCGCATTCAAGGTGACTAGAAAGCCGTTGTTGACGCCGGGGTGGCCAACATCATGACCAATAGCCGTGATGAGCAGAGTCAAGGCTTCAAACGGCTGCAGCAACTCAACCATTGGCGACTTGAGGCGGGCAGCGGGTTGCGAGCCACTAGCTGAGGGGCAGGGCGGTAGGGAGCCAATGCTGACGAGGAAGTGGAAGGTCGCCTGCAGGACGTCGACCACGTGGCGGAAGTTGTGATACGGAACAAAGGTATTGTAGGCAGCCCGACACGCGAGAAGAAAGCGGTGTAGTTGGTCTAGAGTGAAGCCCATGGGCAATCAGCGGCCTGCAGGACATGTGAATAAGCACCAACTCAAGTCACAGCAAACATACCTGTCGGTATCCGCCAAGGCTCTAACTCAGGCATGGAGAGTGCATGTTTAAACATGACCAACGCGGCCACGACCAGTTCGTCTTCCGTAAAGTCATGGGCGCAAAAGTGCCACTGTCCCACAGCCGAGGTGACTTCTGCCTGCTTCTCAGCAGTGATGGACAACCTTATGTTGGAAGCCACATCTTCCGTCTCACTCCCTGTGCGGCAAATCCGACCCATGAGTTTCGACACCATAGCCTCGCGCAAGTACGAGAACGGCTTCTCCTCATAGATACCGACCCATGAGCGCTTTCGGCCCTGGCGAAGTTCAACCAGTGCTTTTTGATCCCGGGCGGCATCTCGTTGGGCGCGATAGGCATGGACCTCCAGGTTGGTGACACACTTGGAGTTCATGGGGCTCGTCATAACATCCGTCGCGCCGGCGTCGAGACACTTCCTAAGCATCCTCTTGTTTGCTGCTCTGCGCTCCTGCGATGTGGGCTGATTCCCGTCCGGTGTAACAACAATGGGGACAGTGACAACCAGCTTCGATACATTTCGCACGTATGACTCAGACATGATTCTTCGCAGCAACGACAGGCCGTACAGTTCCTCCTCCTGGGTTTCACTGTCGTCGGCGGTGGTCACTGAGGATGGAGAGGGAGATCTCGAGCGGGTTCGTTCGGGGATATCGTCACGGTACGGAGTGTCAAGGATAAAAACGGTCGGTTTGAGAGTCGCCATCGTGGTTTCCTGCAGGCTTAGCCATTGAGTCAAGCATGCGCCGCCGGAACTACAGAGGTAAACTATGATCATCCGATGGTCAGCTGGTCTAATTCGGCGGCACAGCGCTGCAAGATGTTAGCCGCAGCACAAGGAATTGGCAGGCATACCTTCGTCAAACACATCAAGGAGGAGTTGAATATTCTCGGCGACACGCGCCGATTCCCCTCGTGTCGCATCCCCAGGAGTATGTCGACGGCCGGCTTCGATGTTCCGGTCCTGCAACACCGACCGGTCGACATATATCACATTGCACGGAACTTTCTCCATAGTGCGGCCCTTGACAAGCGACCGGTCTCGCGACCAGATACGCTTTCCGCTGGGGAGGGAGGATGGCTCGACGGGCCAGACAGATTTCGGACACGACGACTAGACTGGCGGGCGTATCCGGTGACAGCGTGGGCCAAGCCGAAGAGTCGACGGCAGGACAGCTCCGATGGCGTTCAGCGAGCAATGGCGAAAAGTCGGCCTCTCGGAAACAAATGCGACAGCAGCGGTATTTCAGAAAATGGTGTCGATCCGCGCAACTTGGTGTGGAGTTCACACCGAGGGCCCTGAACGTCGAGTCGCTGTGTAACGTATGTCTAAGAATCTCCCCCTTCTCCCTTCTAGTTTTCCCGCTTTCGGTGAATTCGAGGCTGGGGGCCGGTTGAGTGTCGGACGAAGACTGGAAGGTGCCCAATCTCGATGGGGTCAAGCTGGTCTATGTGCACGAGATTAGGCGAGTTGCGCAAAGGATGGTGGAAGGGGGGCGAAGTGGAGTGGACGGAGCGCAGAGGGTGCTCGCGATAAGGCGAATGCAGAATCAAGACACCAGCTCTACCATGCGCGAGCTCGTCTGAAGGATTTGATAGGGAAAAAAAAGAGAGAAAAAGAAACGAGAATAGGAATGAACAGATTGAGAGAAGAGGAGGCCCGGGCTCATTCCGCAATTCGAGCGCCTGACAATGAACGCCTTGTTCCCTTGTGGATCGAGTCGCAGTGGGTAACCTCTGGTTTGGCATGGAACAGGGAGGTGGAGACGACGGATGGAGGGTGGGGGATTGAGACAGGCAGACGGAGAAGTTGATGCAAGAAAGAGACCGAGAGAGAAGGAAAAGTGCATGACTCCAACCTACCTCAAGACTGGTGAACTTACACAGTCTGTGTCGCGGAGTGAGGACGGCGAGACGGGTAGGTTGTCTGTTCCGTACCCGGTGTGAGTTGACTTTCGAGAAGTCACGGGAGGAGAGAGGAGCAGGAATGGCCCAACTCTGTAGTGCAATGGCTGGCGTGGGCGTGTTCGGAGAAGCCCGTGCCTCGAACGAGAGGAAAAGGACCAAGGAAGAAGAACCACGGTCTTGCCTGCCCTCGGCGGACGCTCGAACCCATGGGGCGAATCCGCTCTCTCTGGCCCTGGAGGGAGGCAATTGGGGCGCAAATAACGGCTGAACCCCACGATTGGCCTTAGTCCTCTTTATGAAGGGAAGGTGACGGGCAAGGACCTTCCCGGGCGGCCAGCGCGCAGACATTGACGGGCAAGATTGGCTAGCAGACAGGCACAACACAGAGCCAGACACACACCACCGACACACACGCACATTCCATCGCGCGCACTTCCGGCGCACCACGCACACTGACTGGGAAAGCAAGCTAGGCGGCAATCGGTGGGCAGGGCAGGCGCGACAGGCCTGGTTGGACAAAATGGGGTGGGTGGAACCTGAGAAAATGGAAGGGAACATGGAAGGGGCATTCTTCGGGGGAAGCGCGGAAGGTGTGGGTGCGTTCCCCTCCTTCCCGGTGGCGGGAGCCAGTCAGAGCTTCGAATCGAGGTGGGGACGGATGCGCAGGCGGGAAAAGGTTCAATCTCAGCAAGAGCTGGGGCGGGTTCTGACTGGCCCGAGGAAGCCCCCCTGTTCTTCTGGCCGTCTTCTCGAAAACCTGTCGAACACGCTACTGCACACCAAAACAAGCTGTCCACTGCCCGTGCTCCCCCCAGCCCGCCCCCGCTGCGCAAAAAGGGATTTGGGCGGATTTGGGCGGACGGAGAGGGAAGCTCAGGGAAAAGAAGGGCGCCCACACAGTTTCGGATGCCGACGGTCAAGGGCTCCCGGCGACCAACCAATCAGCCGTCCGCACGACGACGCTGCACCTCGCTGTCGTCGCAACAATGGCCTGCCACAACACTGCAACCACGCTGAGCCGGGGGGTCCCTTCCACTTCCTTTGTGCTTGAGGAGCCTCTCCGAGCGTACACGTACTGGTAGGTACGACAGGAAGCCAAGCGCACAACAATGAAAACGGAAGGACAGCGGAATGCACAAAAGTGAGAAAGATAATAATAGGAAAGAGAGGACGGTGAGCAGGACAGAGAAAATAGAAAAACCCATCGACGATTCAGGACTTCAACCTCAAAGACAGAAAGAGAAGGAAAAAGGGTGAATGGAGCCGGTCTTACTCAACGAGCAGGCGCCTCGGACGAAATTGTAGCCCGTTTCGTCGCCTTTGAGCAGGGGTTTGATGCTTCTCTCCAACCCCAACATGAGATGGCACAATGGCACAGATGGATCGCACATCCATACTGTGTCCTACGTGCGGCACACTGCATGTTTGGGTAGCTTCTCGCCCAGGCCAGCCCAGCATCGTCGAGAATAAGCCCCCTCGAGGGTTGTCGGGTTCGAATTCGAGTCGGCTGTCGCCGGGCGCGCAGTTTGGAATCCTTCCAACAACATTACGAGATAAACCTTGCGGGTTGGGAGATTTGCAGTCACCAATCCATCGACAACTCCAGGTTTCTTGAATTGGCGATGGCACGGACCCAGAGGCAAAGGTCCAAGTCGCTGTTCGTTGCAACGCCCGGCATAAACGCCCAAACGATCAAACCCGCCCATGATATCGAACGGCAGACTGATCGTCATCGTCGCCCAACGCTTTCTACACTACGCCGGCAGCCCGCAGGCTAGAACCACCGCCACGAACCGCGCCTGTGCGCCCGGTACACGAGGAGTCGAAAGCGCCAAACGAAGATCGATGGCAGCACCAACCAAGCCGACCAGCCGGGGGCTTGGCCGCACAGACTCATAACTAGTCAGTGTCCACCACACTAGAAATCAACAAGACTCGTGGAATTTTCGTCGAAACGCTCTCAACCCCTGTGGGCGATCAAGTAAGCCCAGAACCGCCAACCACTTGCAACAAAATCCCATGGTAGGAAGGGAAGAGGCCATGAGTCTGTCAGTCTTCTGAAAGCAGTCCAAACGCATCGACCAAGAGCCAGTTGAGCTCCTATGTTGGAAGGTTGGGGTGGTTAGGTCGCCAAGCTAGCCAAGCAAAACAAGCGAACAATGGAGGTTCAAAACTCACGCCAAGACCCCCACAAATGGCGCAAGCTCGCGGAGTCGTCCATCAACTCTCGCCGAGCCGCTCACTCTAAGAGCGAACCCCGGCGTCAGTTGTCCCAGGCGGCCGCGAACCCGCCTGGCCCGCGGCAACCCAGCCCTGTGGCTTCCTATCCCAGCGGCGGCCGCTCCGGTGTCAAAATCCGGAGTGCCAAAGAGTCGGAGAAAGGGGCATATCAGCATCCTCTCACCAGAATCTCCGGCGCACTGTTCGGAATGCATGCAATACGCGCCGGCGAAGCGCCGGCTGCGGCATGTTTCGATAGCTATTTCGGTCAAGCCCCGAACCCGAGCCTGTCGCACTTCACTCAAGCTCGATCGCAGCTAGGAAAGGCCTTTGCTGGACTGACTGACTGCTGGGACTTCTGTGCATTTTAGCCGTGCCGCTTCCTCCTGCAAGAGCAGCGTCCTGCGCCCTTCCCGCCCCTCGCCAATGACGTTTGCCCGGTGGTGTGGTGTCACTACCGAGTCGTGCACCGTTCCCTGTTGATGTACATGTACGATTGCTAGAAGCAGAACAAGGCCCCCCAAGCTTCTCCCAATGCACGCGGCTCAAAACTGGCCTAAATGATCTCGGGCCTATCATGATGGTGGGTTGTCTTAAAGCAGACCACCACACCACCAAAGGGGGGAGACACAACAGGAAGTCAACATGTTGTGCCGCGGCCCAGCAGATGGATGGGCGCGCTTTCATTGAGTTCTAGCCACCAGCTCGCCCCCGAGGCTTATCCTCGCTCTTACTATGTACACTAGTTCTGCTTGATCAGTCTGAACTCGCCCCCGACTAACTTTAAGAGTCAGGCACAGCTCCCGGTCCTAGCGGTCCTCGCCGTCAACCTACACTTCGCGCCGTCCACCTGCCTCGTATTCCGTATCGGATGGGATGGAATGGGATGGGATGGGCGGCAGACGGTCAGATCTCGATCCTGTTGTGTCTCGGGTGTCTTTAACGTGCCGGATCTGAACCCCCCAGCAGTGCTTGTCTCTCCTGCCCGTCAGCGGCTCTTTATGGCAAAACACTTAACTGTGTGTCTATCAGTCTGTTTCGGGACTGCATATGTGCGTCCTCGGCATTAGCTAGCGGCCAACCACACCATATCCTCCCCCACAGAATTCGGTCCCCAGTTTTTCAGTCCAAGAGCCGAGCTTGCCACAGTTTTTCTGCCTTCAAGCTTTCTCGCCTCGCCTCTGCACTGATAAGAGATCCGGTAACCCGTAAAAACAGACATACACCTCCACAGTATGGTACATACAAAACCACACAAAACGATCTCCAGATCTATAAATACCCCCTTATCTTTCCCCAAACTTGTTTCAGCCTTGGTGATCCGGCTCTAGCAAGACGGGAGCAATTTTAGATGTGACAGGCCTCGCTCGTCGTTGGAGTAGTGTAGTGTAGTGTCAAGACGGGTCGATCATGACACTGCCACTCACATAACACAAGACGTGTACACAACTCTCCGGAGACCGGTGTTTCCGAGGGTTTGTCGATCCGCCATGCGTTTTATGCTTCGCTAAGCTATAAATATAGTAGACAGCGGGATGTGTATAGAGGTAGGTGTCTGTGTGTTTTGATCTGTTTGAAGTTTGTGTGGATAAGCTTGGAGATCTGTTTGAAAACACAAAAATAAAAAATGCCAGACAACCGGCTGAGAAAGAAAATCTTTCACGGCGGGAACATTCTACCCTGGTCTAAGAAACTACTTGTCGTGTATATGTAGCGTTTCCATAATAAGGGGCCAGAATTGACCCCCCACTTTCTTATCACTTTTTATTCATTGTTGCAAAACAGGTAGCCTCATAGAAACTTAAAACTAAGGTGAATCATACAACCATTTGCGAACTGTCGGTTGTAGTTGGTACGCAAATGATTTAATAGCGATGGATATGATTTCCGTCCATCACTGACCTAATTGGTACAATACAGAAGAGAAAATGAACCAATGTAGAATATTAAATGTATTTCTCAAAAGGTCTATAAGAAAATGCATCGCTTTTATACGCCAACCCAAAGCCCCCCTCTACCCGCGGAAATACCCGTCCCGCACACCACGTCCCCCTCGGGGGAAAAGAGCGTGGGATATGATGGGGGGGGAGGGGGTTGAAAACGACGTAATGCTTGAAATGTATGTATGATAGTATGACACCAAGCAAGAACCACCCCACACACATAATAAAAGAGAGAAAAGGGGGGACCTCAAGGAAAGTAGACACGGCAATGATAATAACCTAAACGCCATATAAACAAAGCATGAAGCCCCGAGGTTTTCTTCTTTTACTACCGGTCACCACTGTCCCACGATGCCATGCCATGCAATTCACCAACTCTTGACCACCGTCTCTAGACCTAGAATTCGGTAGAGCCCCATGTCAAACTCCTATACCTCGCCTCCCCAGATACATGACCGTTTCTCGTCGCTTCTATACATGAATAAGGTGGGTACCACAGTCGTTCCGTTTAACCCAAGACCGTATCCTTCTCGACAGCGGTCTTGCCCTTGCCTTTCGCCTTCACGCCATCTACTGCCTCCACAGCCTGATCCTGCTTCTCTTCTTCAGGTTTTTTTTTGTCCACCTCTCCATCCGCCTCGGCACCCGCGTCACTGACATGAATCTCTGCCACCTTATCACTTGCCACATCATCTTCCACCGCGCCACCAATAGGCGGCACAGTATGGATCTGCTGCTGGACCCATGAATGCGCGGCAAGCTTGCTCATAAAATCAACACCGTCGTCCATCGGCATAGGCGGGGGTGGAATGTTATAATCGTCAATAAACCCTCCGGTTGGTTCTGCCGGCTCGACATAGCCGGACCCGGGCTCACGGTCGAGGAGGTGGTCCATCCCCGCCGTACCGTCGTCATCGTTGTCGAACACGTCATTGATGCCGCTGTTCACCGAAGAGCCATCGTTCTGGGCAATGTCACTGGCGATGCCGTCGTCGTCACCGATCTCGGAGCCGGGCTTGCTGACTTCGGTGTGGAGGTTGTCGAAGCTCCAGTTCGCCTGACTAATGACTGAAGTCATGCCGGCCATACCGGCTGTGTCATAATCCGAGAGACCAATGGCCTCGTCATCGCCGTCGCCCTCGATGCTATTGTGGAGCGTGTCTTGGTTGCTCCACGACGTGAGCATGTCGGCATCATCGTCGTGGCTTCCGCCAACGCGTCGGTCATTATCCCAGCCACGACTTCCCGGAAGGAGAGCTGGACCTGCTCCGGTCAAAGCGCTCGGCGATCCACGAAGGGAGGAGCCTTGGCCGAGACGCTGGCCTTCCCCCGAGTCGGACATGTCCTCGTCGAGAGGAGGCTGGTTGAAGCGGTCAAAAATTTCCTGGAACTTGGGGCCGCCCAGGGGAATTGACGAGCGGCGGCGGTAGAACAGGAGGTACGCAGCAGATGTCACCATCCTAGCTGTGTCCTTCTGCTTTGTAACCGAGGCGTCTGAACGGGGGAGTCAGTAAACCGTAAAAAAAACAATCCAGCCTGTCTTGCAACAACTCACCATTGTACTCGTACCACTCCCCATCGACAAAGTTCTTCGCAAAAGCAGTGTAGTGTCCTCCGCCCAGGCCACCCCAATGGTCATCGACAGCGATCAAGTCATAGATCTCCTCCTTCCCGTCTTCCTTGTCAATCACACGCTTAGTTAGGTCGAGATTCTCGACGGGGAAGTCGACGAGTATGTCCAGCTTGTCCCGTCGCCAACCGCTTGAACTAAAACGCTTGAGATGGACCACGAGGATATCCGGCGTCTTCCAGAGATCAAACTTCTTGCTGGCGCGGCGGTGCTCCTTGCAGCGAGGGCAGTACCACGTATCTTGTTCAGACAGGATCTCTTCCTTCTCAAACTCATCCAGGCAGTCGTCGAGGGCGATGCCATTCTTTCTCCGCTGCTGTCTCGCTTTCTGCTTCGCTTGGAGCGCGGGATCCTCAAGGGTCTGGAGGCGGGAATATGTCTTACTACCTTGCATGCCATTCGGTGACGATCCGCCAAAGACGTGATCGAAGGCGCTTTCGCCCCATTCAACCACGATGCCCTCGTGCAGACCGATCAAAGCACCGTTGGGAAGTAAGGATTCTTCGTCAGACCCAACAGGCGACGACGGGGCCGCCGCTGCGGTATGGAAGCGGGCGGGGCCACGCTGTTGCTGTTGTTGCTTCTCGAAGTTCCTCTTCCCCTTTTTACTGTAAGTCTTTTGGTTCCATTTCTTTCCGCCACGGCCGTTTCCGTGTTTCATGGCCCTTGCTTGGAGATGCTAAAGATAGGGTACGTACACGGTTACTAAGATGTACTTTGGAAGAAGGGAAATGTGTAAAAAAGGGAACTAGAAAAAAAATCAACAAACCTTGGTCTTGGGGAAGTCACTGTCATCCTCGCTGGACTCATCGGCCATGCGGGTGACTGCAGCAACCTCGCTGCCACTCTCATCTGAACCATCCAACGGCTCGGGGCTCTTCATGTCAACATCCGACACAGCCGGCTTGGGTTGCCTGGAGCTTAAACGAGGTAGAATGTTCTCGTCTTGAACCGTGTTCCAACCCGTGGGGATAACCGAGCCCGGCTCTACAAAGTAGCTCAAGTCAAAGAGATTCTGCAGCTCTGGTTCCAAGAATTCCAAAGGATTGACCCATTTGGGTCGCTTGCGGTTGAACTGCTTCAGCACCTGGGAAGGTCTGTGTAACATGTAAGTTAGTACATCACCCCTTCGAGTTGTGTCTTGAACCAAGAAAAAAAGAGCTCACTTTTCAGCAGACGCAGCAGCAGCCCCAGTGGTCTGCCCGGTCTTCCCAGCCGAAGAGGCATCCCGCATGGTAACATCGACCATATCGTCCTCGCCTTCTACCGACTTAGCCACGACCTTAGACTCCCCCGACGAGTCGCCATCGGAGGAGATCGTGTTAACCATTTCCGAGTCCGTAACCTCGGCGGTATCCGTTTCGTCGGATGGAGACGTGAGTTCCGACCAAGTGGTCAGCGTAGCCACCTTCTCCAAGATCTTCCGGCGGATAGTCTCCAAATCGCGGGCCTCATCAGGCGTCAGGACAATGTAATGAGGCGGCGGAGTGTTCTCGTTGTTCTTCCGCCCATACCGGCGCTTAACCGAGGGCTCCGAAGGGTTGATGCGATGTAACACGGGGACAAGTAAACGCTCTAGCCGAGGATCCTCGGCAGCAGGTGCATCATCATCGTCATCGCCAAACGGCGACTTTGGCAGTTGTTCCTTCTTCGCCTGAAGCTTTTTAGGGCTCTGAGTATTCGTCGGGACGGCCTCAAGCTCGTGCACCGCAGCAATATCGCTGCTTTGGATCTCATCCGACACCGCGCCACCATCTTCGTAGATTTTGAAGAATTTGGAGTGAAATTCTTCAGCCCCAAACAGGCGCTCGACGGGGACTCCGACACGGACAGAAACGTACTGCTTCATAGCCTTGATGCTGCTGTTCTTGTCAACATCGACGGTCAACTCGACTGGCGTATCATTCAGGGGGTAGAATCGAACGGCATGAGACCAGACATTAGCTACTGGGAGCGGTAATGTGAGGTTGTTGAAGGGGTCGAACGTGATGCTGACTTTGTCGCACTGTGGGCACACTAGCGTCGACTTGTACATGCCGGTGAAGAGGTCCGCAATGACCGAGTCGTCTCGCTTCTTGGTAATGTCCCAGACCTTGGCGGCCATCTCGCGGACTGCGGCAGGATTGTTGATCATCTCGTCCGTCGAGTCAGGCTTCTCAATGTACGGTTTCTTCTTGATGCGGTTTAGGTCCTCCTGCAACCCATCGAGAAGGAAGCCAAGGAACTCCTGAGAGTCTTGTTGCCCGTACCCAGAAAACGCCGGCGCGTAGCGTCCGATGATGCTCTTGAAATGGCGCGGTGAGATTGAGCCAGGCGCGGGATCCTTATAGATCTCCTCCAAAAGGCGGCCATATGCGCCGGCAACCTCGCCGTTGTGGGATAGCGGGTTATCCGGGTTAATCTCCTTGCGGGCTTCATGCGTGAGAAAGTACTTGGTCAACTCTTCCACACTCCTCACACATTGTAGCGCCGAGTTCATGTAGCAAGTGTTGCCAAGATTTTGCAGACCAACACAACCCATCGTGCGCCCCGGCTTTTGCTGAGCCCGGCCTCTAGTCAACATCCCTTGCGGCGCCGGGCTGTTCCGGCCGCTGGCAGTCCCTCGTTGTGCGCCAAGGCTATTCGGGCTGCCGCGGGTCGCCAGCGCCTTGTCCTTAATCGCGCTGCCACGGTATGTTGAGACGTACGCATCGCGGTCGATCTGCTCATCCAGGATGAGTGTCTGATCAACAGCAAGCCCGACGAGCGCCAGGCTCTTCTTCCCGTTGTAATTGGGGTTGGTGGTGGTGTCGTCCGCTTCCACAAGCCCGCGGTCCACATCCTTCTCCAACTTCAAGAAGGTCTCCACGTCGACAAGCATCTCTGGCCAAGCCCCCGGGGCCGTGGGCGGGCGAGCCAGAATTTCGGCCTCGCGCCCGGGGGAGTCCGGCGGGGTGCTAATCCCGGACAGTTCAGTGGTCGGCTCCGTAGCCGGAATGGTCTGGAGCAGCCTCCATACGCGCACCTTCTTCTCCGTGGACACGCCGGCGAGCCTTTTGGTTTCCTTCAGGAAATTGTGGTAGCCGAACGAGGTACTCTGCACTACGATGGGTGGCGCGGGTTTCTTGAGCTTGATTTCCTGCTCGATGGGGATGGGGCTGTTTGCGGACCACAACCGGTGGATCGTGAAGACTGGGGGGTGGAACTCGAACTGAATGGTCGGAAGACTAACGGAATCCGGGGCTGTGTTGTGAGCGATCCGTACGATGGGTGACTGCCCCTGGGCGAGGCCGTACCACGACAGGAGTAGATCCCACGCATCCTTGGGGAACAGCTCGAAGTTCTCACTGCCCATGCCCGGTTTTAACTTGACACAGAGCTGGCCGGTGGAATCCGTGAAGATCGCTTGGATGATGTCTGAATTATCAACGGGGCCGGGCGAGCCTTGCGGAGACTCCTTACTGGCGTGCTTCGCATCCGAACCAAAAGTTTGGGCCTTGCCGAGCCATTCGCGGGACACAAGGTAGGCCTCATCACGCTCTTTGAGAGGCGTCTCTGCAAAAGCTTGGACGAGTGTCTCGATCGTCTTGATTTGTTGGTCGAGTGGGGGAATATCTGTCGTTGTTCGTTAGCATTAAGCGAAGATAAACTCCTGCAAGTACGATCCACGGCTGTAGTGCCTCTTACCCGTCCGCAAAGGCAGCGCGGCCTTGACGTTGTCTGTGGGTTCCTCAGGGCTTTCCGTATCCATTTCTTCCTTCTTTTCCTGTGTTTCCTGCACTGGTTGATCTCCCTGATCCTCCGCCTCCTCTCTTGGTCCCTCTGCAGCCTCTGCCCTCTGCGAATCCGGAACCGTAATCATATCCACATCCTCCCTCACGTCCGCAGCATCCACGGGATCATGCTCCGGCTCCATGCTGGACGCCCGGCGTTTTAGCGGGGAAGATGAACGCTGGGGGGTATCGGTGGCGCCCCCCATGAGTGCGCGGCGGACGGACTGGTGCACCGGCGACGGGTCCCTGATGAACACAGGATCTGGCAACCTATGCTGGTACTGGTGCTGGTGTTGCTGATTCTGTTGCTGCGGAGTCGAGCGGGCAACGTCGAGGAAGTCGGGATTCCCGTCTAGATCGATCGATAAGTCGGTCGAGGCCGCACGAGGGGAGCTGGCGGCCGAAGACGGCGAGTCGGCGAACGAGGCGGCCTGGCTCTGTAGGCGGGGCGGAACCCCCGAGGGCGGAAGCGAGTCGGCACGAAGAAAGGTGGGCGTACCTAGGGAGGAAGGCGAAGGGGCGGAGAAGGAGAAGGAAGGGTCGGCGTCGTCTTCGGTCGAGAGCAGCACCGAGTCCTCGGACCTGTTGCTACCGTAGTTGTTGTTGTTGTTATGTTCCCTCGTCGACTGGCGGGTAATCCTCCGTTTCTTTTGGGAAGACGTGGTGAAGGCGAGCTGCCGGCGCAGCTCGAGGGAATGTTGCGGGCGAAAGTTGGGTGGGTGGCTAAGTGCACGCACGGCCCTAGGTAAGGCTAATGCGGCATAAAAAGGACGAAGACGTGGGAGGGAAAGAATGTGGGAAAAGGGAGGCCAGAGAAAGAAGTGGCCAACTGCTGCTGCTTCTACTGTTGTTGCTGCTGGCGGTGGTCTGTGTGCGTGTGGGAAGGCGGATGGACACAGGCGCAGTCGCAGGCGTTGGTGGGCTGGCTGACAGCAGTGACGGCAGCGGCAGGTGACAGTCAGGTTCCGGGGGGGGGCAACAGTGCGGTCGGCGACCCCCAGGCCCAACAGGCGAATCCGCAGTCAGAAATGGGCGGCGAGGAGAGGCGTCGACTTGCACGAGAGCTTTTCCGCCCCGACTGACGGTAAAGCAATCAAAATTTTGTTTCTCCCTTCAAGACTATCTCAAAGAAGAAACCTCGAAGGGTGTGAGCATCCAGCCTCGGAAATTGGGGTCGTGCTACTCGAGGATGTCACCGGCGCGAGGGGAAAAGCTGCAATTTTTTTTGTGCTGTTTCCCATGCAAGTTTTTTGATGTTCCCATTCTTCCAGCAAGCGAACGACCCCAAGACGGGAAACCGTGCGGTTTACCAGTTTCCTTACTGTATTTTCTCCCTTGTGGGCTTCCATGTGGAGAACATTTCTTCCTTTGTTTGGCAAGAGGGAAAGCGCACTGAACAGGCATGACGCCTGGTTTACGAACCAGACACGTCAGGTAAACAACCGAGCATATGAAATAAGGAGTGGAACAGTCCAAGCAATTGCACTCAATATGGAAGCTTCCTAGGCCACCTGATTGATTGCGGCTCTTGACTGTCGTTTAAGAGAGGGGTTACACAGGGAGCGATGATTCAGCGCCGTAATCGCCTTGAAACGGGAGATGGACAACTTCGGGCGCAGGCGCCCCGCCTTATTGCTTTTATACGTAAGTTTGCACTGTGTTCTGCCCCGCAAATTTGCCTTTGAGAATGGGGCTTTTTCTTGAGCTCGGCATGTGGTTCCTTGCCCCGCTGCTTCAAGCTTGACCTCCACAAGTCCACCATCACGGGGTCGTTGCCTAAAGAGAAACAACCCAACAACATGCTGCCAATGCGTGTGTTGTGTGCAACTTGGGAAAGTTTAAGAAAAACCGGTATAGCTCTTTTTTCCCAAAAACGAGCACAGAATATATCTTGCAAAATAAATCAAAATAAATACAATTCCCACCAGAAAGGGCTGGGTAGAAAGACTACACCAACACAGCAACGGAAGTAAACAAATTTGCTTCACCTTTACTCTTTTCTAATTCCCAGTTGTATCATCAGTACAAATGCCGGGTGGCAGAAATTTGTCTAACAAACCCCGTTCCATCCTTCCCAATGGGACTCCGAAGCCAGCCTTAACCCACCGGATTCTGCCCATTGATTAATATTTCTTTCCGTCCCAACACTGTCCGCCCAACGTTGAAACGTCCATTCGGGTCCCTGGGCCTCTATTTCTGTCTTTCACCTGTCTATGGATTCAACCATCTTACTCGTGTGCCCAGCCCGTTTCTCTTCTTAACCAAGATGCTAGTTCTACCACAAAGGGTGCAATGCATTTTCCCGCTCTAGTGGACCGGACGAGACTTTAAAGCTTGAATCCCACGTCCTCATACTCGCTGAGATCTTTCAGGGGTTTGGCCCCGTTGCTCGCCGGGAGGCTGGCCCTGAAAGCCCGGACATCGTCAATGAAAACCGGCTTGGTCCCATTCGAAGAGGGGGGTTCGGCGTCCTTGACCACCTCGTTTCCAGGCCCATGATCAGCGTGGATCTTCTTCCACGCTTCAGACGCCGCTTCAATCTTGGCTTCCGACACCTTCAGGTCGTGGAGTAGGTACTCTTTGAGGCCAGCTACCTCCTTGTCGACGTCGTGGCCCGCCGCACTGAGCCGGGCTTGTAGTTCGGAGGCGGCCTTAGCCGAAGCGGTCGAGTCGAGCTCCAGGGTCTTGATGAGCTCCGAGATCTCCTTCGTCGAGACGTCACTCTTGGCTTGAGCTTCGAGGTACACCGCGAGCTTGGCCCTCGACGGTGAATTGGGGTGGATGTATTGGTTGAAAAACTCAATCATCTCCGCCTTGGTTAGGGGCTTGATGTGTGCCGCGTCTTGTTGAGCTGTGGTACGTGAATATGGTTAGTCAAGTTCGGGTAAAACAAGACTGGGAAGCAAGCAGCGTCAGGATACTTACCGTTATCAAAGGCATAAAACTCCGAATGGATGTGGGACCAATGTCTGTTGCTCTCTTGCTCCATGTACTTGAGCCTCTCAAGGCGTTTGTCGATAATACTGCGCTTGTTGCTCTCGAACTCGTCATCACTCATCTCCTCCAGCGTGGTAGCTAGCGTCTTTAAGAACTCCTCGATGCGGGTCTCAAGGTACGGCGCCGTCTTCTCGCTTTGAATGACAATGTAGAAGCCGTACTGGGTAATGCTGACCAGCGTTCCCGAGTAGACAATGTAACCGAGCTGTTCCTTCGTACGAAGCTGGTTGAAGCACGGCTCATGGGCGATCTGGTCAAGTAGCAGCACCTTTGCCCGCACATTGTAGTCAGCCCTGTCACCGGCATGAAGGAAGTACTGGATGCAGTGATTGACGTTGGCCGGGTCTTTGAGCGTCTTCTTCCAAACGTAGTTGGAGCCAGACGGAAGAATAAGCCCACGGCGAATCTTCCACTGTGCCTCCGGGAGAACACGCGGTTTCAGCGTCGATTCAACCATGCTTGTCAACCGCAGTGCGTCTTCCTTGTAAACGTTTCCATGCACAAGAACTTCCATGTGCAGCTGGGCTAGCATGTCCTTTCGGAACACGCGAATGTCGTCGGCAGTGATATGCGGCAGCTCGGCCTCGAGCTCTTCTACCACGTAGCCCTGGTCAATGGTAAGCCAGGACATGTAGTCCCCGATTTGGTTCCACGGAGCGGCGAGCTCCCAGTTCCGGTACCCTCGTGTGACGCGTTCTTTGATGATAGCAAATCGGTCGTCTCGGATTTCGAGGTCCCGTGTCGTGATGAGGACGTGTTGGAGAAGGACCGCCAGCTTGTCGTTGTAGCCTGATACTTCAATGTATAAGCCCCGTGAGTCGATGGTCACGGTGTAGTCGAGACCAGCCAACTCGGCGTCGTACGAATACTCCTCAAGGGCATCCTTGATAAGGTCGGTGAAAAGACGGGACTTGACCCGACCAGCCGCCGAAGCGGTCGCTACCGGACTTCTGCAGCTGATGGTTAGAGTGGCTTTGGGCACCCAGAACGTATCATCTTTCTTGAACCAAGTCCGAACGTGAGAATCGTTGCGAACAATACGGGGGGCCAGCGCCGGCTCTTTGACCTCCTTCTTCTCGACTTCAAGCTTGGTTGGAACAAATTCGTTGACGTGTGGGAGGTGCAATTTGGCGGTGCGATCCCCGGGTCCGCTGGACGCCGCCTTCTTGATTTCCTCTTGGAAATCCGCTGGGATGGGCTGGCTCGTGTACTCCGTCCCGTACCATTTCTCCTTCTTCTCCCAAGTCCCCGGGAAATCACGGGAGGCGATGGTCATGTGGAAGTTGTCAGGCCGTAGGCAGTCCAAGCCATCCTTGATCACTTTAGGATCAAACTTGCGCAACAAGCTGTACCCGCTTAGCAGGTACTCCCGAGGTAGCGGCTTCTGCATGAAGGAACTAAGTTTGCTCGTAAAGCGGTAGGATTGCGTCTTTTCTCGGAATCTGAAGTTGACCTCGGCCAGGCCTTTTTGCTCTTCAAAAATCCACTCTTGTGGTTCAGTCTCGCGAAGAAGCGCAATGTACTCGAAGATGACTTTCACCACTTCCTTGTAGTTTTTGAGTCCCTGGCATGAAGCTGTCAGTAAACTGCGGGGAAAAGAGGAGAGGGGGGCGACCATTAACAGGAATCAAGGTCCTTGGGTGGTTCATACCTCTTCCGTCAGCGTAACCTGACACTCGAAAATTTCCGGCGTACCGGGGCCGACGGGCCATGCACCCGCATACAAGCCGTTCGCCCAGCCCTTGGACTTGATGTACGACATGACGCTCCCTGGACCTTCGTGTCCGATGAGATGACTAATATATCGGCTTGGTTGGGAATCGTAAAGGAGCTCTTGCTCGATGAAGGGGAACGTAAGCGTCAAGTCCCGGGTGTCCATGACGGGTTTCGCAAAGATTTGAACTCCGAGCTGATCCTTGGTGAATGGGACCTCGTCTTCCCACCTGTTGAGCGGCAGGTCCTTGTTCTTCACGGATGAAAAGTGCTCGATGACCCATGCCTGGAGAACGTCCAGGGATTCCCGTCCAAGAACACAGAGCTTCATGCGGTTGGCTGAGTAGTGCTTTTCGTAAAACTCAATAAACTTGTCACGAACGTTGATCCCCTTCGCTTCGGGCGCCGTCTTAAGGGTCTCAAGGTTTCCAGTCGAAAAGTGACAAAACGGGTGCTTCGGATTCGATAGGGACTTTTTGAGTTGATGAAAGCGCCACTGATCACTTTGGAGATTCTTCTTGTTTTCCGAATCCACAGCCCGGAGTTCACGGTCAAGTGTGTTCTCTAGGAACAGTGGCTCAATAAAAAACTGGGCGAACCGATCCAACGCTCCCAACAAAGGCGATGGATTCTCGGCTGACGGCTCCTCTCCATTACTGGGTTTAGCGGAAACTTCAAAGTGGTAGTTGGTGGAAGTGGCTGCCGTGTAGGCATTGGTCAACCCAGAATGACCCGAGATGTACTGCTGGTAAGCATTCTCTACCGGATACTTTTTGTTGCCCATGAATAGAAGCTGCACAGAGAGAGTTAGCAACAGACGCTCTGTGAGATTCCCGTAACATCACCACAGGCTTCTTCTACTCACATGTTCGACAGCGTGGGCCATGCCTGGCATATCATCCTCGTCACTGAAGCTCCCCACGTTCACATCCATAGCAGCACTGGCCTTGTCTGTCTTGGCATCGTGAACTATGAGAGCCTCGAGTTGGTTCGGGAGGCGAATGACTCGGTAAGACCGATCATCGAGAGAGGGTTTCTCTAGGCGGTCTGTAACCACCACAGCTTCACCGAGAGCTGGAGGGCCCGCCGAGGACTGCGGTTCAGGGCGCGGAGGGGCCATGATGGAGTATTAGAGTCGTGGTGACAACAAAAGTTACGTCCTTGTAGGTGTGAAGCCAAATCGGGAAGGAGGCGTCGGCTCTGGGGTGTTCGGAGAAAAAAAAATTAAATATGTGTTTCACCGGCGGTTTGTTTGGTGTGGATGACCTGGCAGCAGACAGACAGGGCAGCCTTGAGAAAGCAACAATGAATGGAAGTTGAAGAAGGCCCCGCTACCTGAGAAGGTGGTTCGACGGGTCAGGGCACCGCACTGGTTGGTGGGGTTGGGGGCAAGCGGGTGAGGGGGGCGAGACCAGGTTAGGGGCGCGATGAGGGCGTAGCCGGAACCAGTAACCTCGCCAGTAACCCGGTAGCGTCGCAGCGTCCGTGCGGTGTTGTGGGGAACGGTGCAGCGCTTGGGAAAGGTTACCGACGAGTTGGATTCCAGAAGAGCCGACTGGGTCGCAGCGGGTTGCACCCAGGACGACGGGGTAAGCTAGCGGCTGGCGCTGCGCGCGGAATGTCGTAGTGGAGCAACTTTGAGGTTTGAATGGGAGGTTGTCCCCGAGATGTATGGCATGGGGATGGTATTACTTTTGGACAGCCAACGGAAACAAGGTGAGGGCGGCTGGGGGTTCAAGAGTCGAAGATGACGAAAGCGGAGCTACCTAAGCGGCGGCTGCGGTGTGGCGCTAACAATGACAGGTGTGGCTGGTAAGCAACCTCCTGGTCGATGCGTGCCGAGAGGGTGTTACAGGTAGGTCGGATTCCAGCCAGCGTGGGAAAGTCGTGTTAGTCAACGGGAAGGAACCCCCGACAAGCAGGACTCTTTATATGCGTGGACAGGAATAGGCAGTGGTTGAGCGGTACGTATACAATCTCGACTGCCTGCTTGCCCGACTGTAGGTGCCATCTGTCCGTACACAGTAAGACAACCCAAGCAAAGAGCCGGACCGGCCCAGGCGCCGACACCTTGATGAGCCAGACAAGGTCACCGTGATACATCCGGAGCTGTCAGAGCCAGGGAGCCGCGCGGCACGGCGATTTCAACAAAAAGGGCATCGTCAATAATGCGCGGATCGCTCGAAGGGTACCTTATTTTTCTCTAGCTAAAAGAGCATGATTAATACGCCCGGGATATGGACCGGGGATAGGACGGCAGAGTGACTTTGGGTGGGGTGATGAAGTGGGTGGGAAGGAGGGGGGTGTAGCTGAGAAGCGGGTGTCACTTGGGATGATCGGAAAAACGTGTGAGGTTCCTGCAAAAGGCCCAAGGTGATGGCAACACGCACTTCGTGGACGGTGCGAGCTTAAATGTAGAGGGCGATGAGAAAAGAGCGTGGCATCAGTTCAAGCCCGTCGGTGGCCTTTGTAATGTCAGCGCCAAAAGCTGTTGAAGGGACAAGGGTCAGAAGACCAAGCACAAGGTACGATGAGTGTGGGGCCTTGGTGAGATCCGACCCATAACAACTTGTTGGGAGCCAAACAACCAGCTCGGGACAGCTGGGACGGCGGCACAAGCGACTAATTTGGAACCAACACCACAATGAACAGACATGTGGCAATATCAAATGACCACATCATGCTCTAGTTTGCGATGCACTGGGTGATCCGCCGGAACCGTACGATTTGAAAGAGCAGGAGCACAATGAACAAGGGTAATGAAGGAGGCCCCAAAGCAGATTTCAGGTCAGGGTCCGAATGCTAAAGAATTGAAACCTGAGGCGAGGTAACTCATGAGACCAATGGACGTTGACAAATTCCAGGCTCGCACTTCGCGGGCGCTAAGAAACTGCCTAAGGGTATTCACTTGTGAGTGCTGCAAACATAATGGGGAACTGCCTAATCACATCGCGTCAGAATGTGAGTACTCTATGTTCAACACCATGGGCGGCAAAGGATAGGTGAGGTGGGATTGAGGTGCCTAGGTTGCCCGAGGTACCTGTATAGACTAGCGGATGTATTCGGGGCCGCCCCGGGCCTAGAATTGCCGTTCGTTGCGCATCAACCAGTGCCGGAAGCGACTTCCCAGAGACTCCCAACCTGACCTCCATCCGTGGATGCTCTGTAAAATTGACCTGGGAGGAAGCTGCAACTTTGAGAAACCACCCCCTGAATAATAAGGTCGGGCAGGTACGTTGGGCCGCAGATTGCTGCGTGTGCTCTATGCAGGGCCACAGTTTTGGACTGTTTCAATTGATATGCAGCACCGTTGGGAAAATGCGTGACGCCCCAAACTGTCACTTTTCCACCTATCAAGGTGTCCCCGGATCTCCAGCTTTGCGCTTCTCACCCAGCCCTCAACAACCGGAATATACGCGAGCGGCACGGAAACAACAACGCTCTGAAGTCAACGAACTGGGGAAGAAGCCATGAAGGTAACGTTCACGTATCGACACTCGCCAAGCACGACAATGGAGCTTGCTACCCGTTTCGGTTGTTGTCGCAGGTAACATGCTCAAAGTTCCACCGCCGTCTCCGGACTTGTCGTCTTGCAGCTCGTTCACCCCGCGCTAAGGCTTCTCGCACCCCCTTGCCGTGCCATTCTCTTCTTATTTCCTCTCTTGACGTCGAGATATCCCTTGCCGAGCAATCTGGAGCTGCAGCAGCATTAGCTCTTGAAAATCCTCAGATCCATGACACGAGAGCCGGCTAGGTGTTCCATATTAACCTCCAGGTTTGGCGAGATCCCAAATACACCCGGGCCGGCTGCTACGCGCCGATGTCGTCACATCAAACGGGCTCCGACTTAGGTATCTCAGCCCGGCATCTAGGTTGAGCGGGAAAAAATCCACCTATCCGTCGACCACACCTCAAGTCGGGCTTCCACAGCAACTGAAAGTTAGCAAGTCCGGCTTACACGGGAGCGTCCCGCAATTCCGGATATTGAACACAATCTCCCGTGATCGGTGGCTCGGTCTTTTCGTATCTAAGTCCCCGGAACCCCTTCTAGTCCGGCAACTCGGTCAACGTGGAGGCGATGCTTGCCGTGCCTGATTCACCGGTTCGTAACTTGCCCGTAGCGGATTCTCGTTCCTCTGCCGGAACCACACTTCCGTTCGCACCATATCCTTGGCTTTCATCTGTTGAGCGAGGACGCTTTCGGCTGCCATAAGAATCTGCGGGCGCTAAAAAAAATTGCGATGAAACAAAGGGGCAGTCCAGAAACTGTTCGCACCTCGCCTAGGTAAAATAAACAAGGCACCGTTGAGCCTCCCGCGGCCTGGCCGTGGTAACAGCCGACGCCGAGGAGTAGAACACATGATATTCCGAACCATGCGACCCATAGTTGCACCCACGGTTGCAGCGACCCGCGATGCGACAGCGATGAGCGAGCCGAACCAAACACACTCCTAAGTCGGTACACCCGGATGATGTCTATCCTCTCCCGTGCTTCCATCTGCTTCTTGATCAACCTTGGCTTTGGAGCACGGACGGCCCAAGGGGCGGGAGTTTCCAGACTCAGCCTGCAGAATGTCTTCTTCGGGAATATGCGGCCGAGCTAAGCGCATCGGTTTATGCAACGCGATCCAAACCGTCGATCCTGAGAGGGCGGGTTTTCCCATGCCGTCGCCATCAACACATTCTACGGCTGATACCATGGCAACAACGGCGACATGGCTCTTCGGCTAGACGGGCGGGCCCGCCACCTTTCGAACCCGGCCTCAGATAATGTCAAGAGCATTGTGCGCACGCGCCTCAAGGTGACATCCACCGCTGACGACGGACCGGATGGGCGGAGGATCATTGCCATGCCTCGCATCTGTCGGTCATGGCCGAGAAGCGGAGTCAAAAAGGCGATCCGGCCCGATTTTGAATTATCCTCTGCAATGTGGTACGGGTTCCTTTATGGAAAGGGGCCGGCGGCGGCGGGGCTGATAGTAGGTGTGGTTGATGGTGGGCAGTGTCGTGATCGCCCGGAAGCCCCCCAACCAAGGTCCATGTTAACGACACGGCACCCGTAGCGTATGGTAGAATCTTCTCCTGACCAAGCGTGTGGATAAGATGTCTAATAAAGGACGGGCGCCAGGCCCAGTCCCACGGTCCGCTGTCGTTGAGATTCTTGAAACCGCCTCCAGCCAGGTTGAACAGATTTTACCCGGGTCAACACGACACGGCACGGCTGGCGAGGCCACTGTCGAAGTGTCGATTCTGGAAAGCGGGAACTAGAAAAATAGATCCTAAACATTCATCGCTTGTGTGGTTCAGCACCAGTCGAGGAAGCAGCGGCAAGAACGGGATAGTTGACTTGCATGCACCCGTTTCCGCCTAGGGGCTTAGATGTGTAGTTTTGAACATTGTCCTCAATTCGTATCATCTTCCTCTAACACAAGATTGGTAGAATCCCTTATTTACCCCACGCCACTCTCTTCTTTTCCTTTACAGCCGTATGAGCCCCATCCATGGGTGTCCGAAGACTTCAAACTACCTCGTTCCAAGGCCAGGGAATGCAAGGCAAAGAAACCGGGACCTTGATCAGGATTCAATCCACGGCCCGAGACATTTGCCATGTTGGCAAAGAGGGTCTTGAACAGGAAGAACGCCCACCCATTCGTGTCAAATGCTGCAGATTCTTCTACACCAAGGCAGGCCTTTGCCCTGGAATGGGATTTCATCACCTTGGCCACAAGCCGAGGTCAATTGACGACGGCCGCGCTCCTTCATCGGAAAGGTATTCTGGCGGATGAACGCAATGACGCCCGGACACGGGGGCTGTGTAACCATGACGATGATGTCGTCGGCTTTCAGGGACAATCAGACCGGTGGTGGACGTAAAAAAACGAAACTTTGAACGTTCCTTTTTGCCGCGGGAGCAAACATCTTGGACTAGCCGGGGCGTGTGTTTCGATAGCCCGGGTATTGTGGGAATTACCGCTGGCAAAGTGAGAGGAAATGCTAGGCTATATGTGAAGCCTACTTGGCGGTGTGGTTGATGCCCTTGCAAACACAGCAAGGACGCAAAAAAGAATACTCATAATTGAGCATAATCGCCCCAGGAAGTCGGGTAAAGACTAGGCATAGCGTTGTCCGGATAGGGAATCGCCGGAGAGTGTAAAAGGGGGGTAAGCAGAACCTTCAAGGAAGAAAGAAACAAAAAATCTCAGGTCACGACAAACATGATCTCAGGCTTCATTCGCCCAGCAAGCTAGCCGGGTCCCCTTAGCGCTTTCTGTTGGGGCAGTCGGCAACCTTGTGCCCTGGCTTTCCACACCCGTGGCAGGACAAAACTGCAGATGGTCGCTGGAACCCCTGCGAGCCGGCAGACGAGATGGAGGACAGCTGATTCAGCTTGATCTCCTTCTTCCGCCTTTTGCCAGCGAGCTGGTGTGCCTTTCTGCGCTCCTCCTCCCGCCGCCCGGACACGCTGGATCGCGCCCGCTTACGGTCGGAGCGGTCTACGGTACTCTGCCGGCCGCGCCCGGTGTCTGCTCGTGATGACGCTCGTGGAGACCGATCGTTGTCGGATGCTTCTCCTGATTCTGAGCCGGATCCAGACTCAGAATCGCTCTTTCCTTCGTCGTCATCTCCCTTGGTCGCCTGTAGAGGAAGGTTAGCTTAGATGGCGGGGTAGGAATATTGACTGGTTGGAGAGCACATCGTGACGTGCCTTGGATTTCTTCATATTGAACCGCTGAAACTGTGGCCGCGCCGAGACACCGCCCATATCAAACGGGTCATCGTCGTACACATCCTGGCCCGATGCGGTGGCCGCCGTCGAGCCATCAATCTGCGCAAATCCAACAGGCACCACATTCAACAGCGGCCGGGCAATCCGCGGCGGCGCACTCGCCGCGCCCTCTAGCACCCAGTGGGAGTCACCGAGTTCGGCCGCACGCCGCTCGATAGCCGCCCGGTTGCGCTTCTCCTCCTGTTCTAACGCCGCTTTAATCGCCTGTTGGTCGAACAATGGTGTCGTTGCCGGCGAACCGGCCCCTGAAGTAGACGGCGTGTGGGATACCTTGCGCCGCTTGGTCGGACCGTCGTTGCTAGGGGTATTCACGGGGGAGTTCGAGGTGGTAGGCGTGTTTGAGGTGGCTGCTGCTGCTGCGGCGGCTGCGGCACCGCGCTGCATGAATTTCATGGTCATCAGACGAGAAGACATCGTCTTTGGGGTGGCTTGTTTCGCCATGGCTGGCGGACCTGAAGTTGGGGGAGGCATTGTTTGGTGATTGGGCGGATCGATGGGTGTGACGAAGGCTATTAGGTTGTATCTTTCTGATTTCGGAGATACAGTTAGCAGATTGGAAAAAAGACGATTGTTTCGGCTGAATCGCGGTATTCTTGCCCCGGCGAGCATCCCAACAGGAAAAACTCAAAAGGGAGACGCGATCCCCGAAACCGACGATAGCACGAAAGTGGGTTGCATTGCCAAGGCCCTTGAAAGTCAAAGACGCACGGGCCATTTATCAGTTCCATCTATCAGCCGAGAATTACCCGTTGGCCTGCACCATGGAAGCCGACCCATGCTCCAAGCTCCATCCACGACCTCAAGCCAATTGAACGACGAGCGTTTGGAGGCTCTCATTCACAATTGACGCTCCCGGGGTCCGTCCCGCAGACCACCACAACGAGCACCACGATCTCCCGACCCCGCCAATCCGACCACCACAACACTCACATCAGCATGTACGTCTCACGCCTACGGGGCGTCGCCGCCACCGCGGCCCGCCAGCTGTCCAAGCCCTCGCCCGCCGCATTCAGTACCACGACCCGGCAATTCCAAGACCCCCCAGCTCCGACCTCTTCCTCGAGTTCTTCATCTACCACGACACCAGCGGCAGCTTCTACGACCGCACCACCGCAGGTCGTGGAAGGTGCGGAGCCGACGTCGATCGCACAGGCGCCAAACCGCCACGACGTTTGGTCGAGGTCGCAGCGCTCGCGGTCGGCGGCCATGGTGGGCCCGCGGTTTGAGCAGACGGATTTTGAGTTGCAGGTGGGTTTTCTTTGGGCCCAGACGGCCCTTTTCTCTCTCGTTAAGGGGTGTTTTACTTGGGGCGTTTTGTTTGTGGGCGACGGTTAGAGCATTGGAGGATTCGAAGGGAAGGGGTGGGGTGATACGTGAGGAGTGGGCAGAGGTCTCGTTACGACACCAAGTAACGGAACAGAACTGCATGACCAACCGGTACATATGCTAACCTAGATGTTCGATCTACTATAGCCGCGACCGTATGCCGCCATCGAGCTCATTCACAAGCAACCAGTCCGGTGGACACACGACCGCGTCGTGGCGTGTGACGGCGGTGGTGGGCCAGAAGGACACCCCAAGATCTACATCAACACTGACAAGGCCGAGATTGCGACGTGCGGATACTGCGGGCTGCCCTTTGTAGGAACTCCCTCTTCCACTTCACTGTTTGTTGTTAAGGGGTTCTTGATAAGCTAACGCTTGGTGTTTGTTAGGCCAACGAGCACCACCGGCCCCACCTCGAGTCTCTTCCGGAGACGTCGTATCCGCTTGCTTAGGGGAGTATAAGGTTAAGGGGTAAGCTGGGAGGAAAGGCGGAGGTGCATCTGAGACCTGGATTAGGTTTCTATGTCGCTGCTGTACATACGTTTGAGGTCAATAGACTGGAGTGGTCTCAAAGTTCTGCTTTATTTGTCCAAGCAAGTGCTGGTGTGGAAATGATGTGTTAGGAGCCAAGGTATAATTAAGCTGACGCAGCGGGGCTGAACTGTCATATGGCTTGAGGAAGATGTTCTCTGCAGTGTTCAACAGGTGTGTCGTCACTTGCGTTGTCTTGATCCCAGTAGCCTCAGAGCTGAAGCTGACCAAAACAAAAGCCTCCATTTTGCTGCTTAGCCCGCTCGCGGGTTGGGCTAATTTGAATACATTGACAATTACAACGTCTGGAAAGATTTCTCAACCCCCCAGGGGTGACCCTCCGCCTATCAACAACCACAGCCAACGAAGCAGATCAATCTCGAAGGCCTAGCCCGCAAATACTAACCCAACACAACCGTGGTCGCTGGGCCGTTGCTTGTACCACTCAGTCAATGACACCAATAATAGTCCCATTGATGGGGCCGGGATGGTAGTGGGACATCTTGTTGCTCAACGGTTCTTGTCGGCCGATGTGGATGGGGGCGTCGCCAAACGTTGTGGGATAGTCCCACGGTTTGGTAAAGTTTCTGTGAACCGCAACCAAGGGTATAATTACATCAGTTGGGTACTCATATTTGTTTTAGGGATGGATGTAACCAAGCGTCATAAGAACCACTGGGCTACTTGGGAGCTCATAAAAGACAGCCAGCAAGATACAGAAAAAAAGGGGTGAAGTCAACCTAAAGGAAAGAGGAAATTAAGAGAAAAGCAAGGAAACAGGCACTCAACTCGTCATCCTTGTACCGATGTGCCAGCTCCAGCGAAAAGTTGGCCGGGTGCCAAAACGCCGGCACCGCCACCTTGAAGTAGGTCAGGTCGTCGTGCCAGCACGAGTTGTAGCTGGCGACGGGGTCGCTGCCGTCGAGCGTTGCGTTGTGCTTAGTCACGCCGTCCCACGACCATGCTGTCCGGCAGACGCCGGAGTTGACGTCGTTTTGTCGCACCGAGTTCGGGTCGAACCAGGAGACTGGTGTGAATGAGGGGTTTAGCTGGGTGGTTTGGTTGTTCACTTTTGACTTTGCCCCTTTTCTTCTTGGCCCTCGTTCCGGTTTGTGTTCTTTTGTATGTACGCCTATGCTTTGGTTCGCGCGGCTGTGGAGGGGAAAGCGATGGATAGGGGGCAAAGAAAGAGCTATGAGTGTCGGGTTCACTCACATGTCAGGTTGCAATGATAATCGATCTTGGAGTTTATCCGTGAGCAGGTAACGCTTAGCTCAGTGATGTTGATGGGCTCCCAGTTAAACTGAGATGCATCCTGCAATATGGATTTATCCACAAGGTCGATACTGTTCTCACTAATATCATAATCGCTCCGTTTCAGATAAGGGTAGAAGGAGGCTGAAGAGGCTAGGTGTGTAGCCGAGAGGAAAAAGAAGACAGTAGAGAAGATGGGGGCCAGGGACGGCATGTTGGCAGAGGGTGTTGTAAAGATTGAGAACGACCGACTTATTTTTGTTGCCAGCCGGACTCAAGGGCTCCCAATAACGACATGGGAGAAGGGGAGTGGCATATTATATCTAGAAGAGCGCTGTCTAGATTCACCGCTTCGTTTTCGCACGGCTAGAAACCATGGTGAGCGTACTACTGAGAAACTTGTCTTGGTCATGTTTTGTGATACCAGCACACGCATCCTGACTGACACCGAGGGACAGGTCCGACATAGGACCTTGCGACGAACAAGTATAGCCGTAGGGGATACACGCCCGGACACTTGAGGTCCTTTATTCTTCGATTTGTGTTGAGAATGGAGAAGCATCTTTCTGTGTACGGCGAGATGGTAGTCCGATGGAAAGGAACACTTCACTGGGGTTTAAAGAAATCACAAGAAGGGGAGAAATATGCCGTCGATTTTGCTTCCTATCTGGGGGACCCCGCAAGGGGCGAGTGCACAGCTGGGAAGCGGTTTCACGAGCCCTCATCCTCATGAAGTCGTGGCTGTCATTAGTCTACGTAGCCGATCAGGGGATAACCATACAAAATAAATCTCTTATCTTTCGGCCTGATTTCCTTCGTGGTTCTACGAGTTCGTGGTTTCGTCATTTGCTTCACTCTTGCTTTCTACCAAAACACTGTTATCCGCTAGAAATTTCTCACACGGACGTCAATGTCGTGGAAATACAGGGAGGTGATAAGGTAACTTGAAGACGCGAGGCATCTGGTGCTACGGGATCTTGCCGATGGCCTTTTGGCGTTCCACAGGCTGGCGGGTGTGAGGGTCAACAATGAACATGGTTTCGCACCAACCGGACGAGCATATCTCGCACATACTGCTAGTCTGAGTGGTTAGTGGCCAGTGCTGGTTGGTTGACGCCAACAGGTGTCTCATAACGGTTTTTGTTCAGATACGGCGTTTTCCCAATGTGTTTGTAGATCGAGAGTGGAAGCTTTGGATAACAGACACGATACTCTATTCGGCTACGGAGATCACGGTGCCGTAGGGGAAGCAAGGCCGTAGAGGTGAGCCGTTTCAGCCGCCTGCGGGTTTCTTGCCAACTTCTTTCACATGCATTAGAACAAGCGATAAGGTCTCTGCGCATCACCAAAAAGGGGTTGTACCGTCCAATCCTCGGTCATTCGTAACCCTGGCCGGTTGATGTCGGGTCAGTTCTGGCGCATTTGGGGGCCGCGTGTTGTTATGTCGTCCTGAATGTCTCTGATCCGAGACATTAGGTGTGGGATGTACACAGTACACTACGTTGCGACCTAGGAGCAAGGCTGTCGTAGACAATACGTCGACGGACGACGGACATATTTTCACCCCGCTGCTAGCTTGGTATCCATTGTCTAGGTTAGTCAGACTCAAACTCCCCGGCCAGGTTTGCTCGGCGTCATTTGCCCTCGGAGACCTGTGAGTCTCCAACGGTATCATTGACAATAGACAAAACCACTCAATATCCGGAAACCCGGATTAGCCCCGGGCTGTGAGTGCGGTCGTTCCCGTTTCCACCTAGCTTTACGCCCCCAAGCAAGAACACAACTCTCGCCACGACGCCTAACGGCGGTGTGGGTAGGACGGTTCCTATGCAGGAACAATAACGGCTCCCTCGGTAGATCCCTGAATTCGTGTCACAGTTGTAATACCTTTGAGCTGAGAAAATTGAACCGAACTTCAGCATAGGTTGTGTTGTGTTGTAACTGACACATGTCAGAATTGCCAACGGATTTCAGACCCCAACTACCGAATACATCATCGGGCCGTTGAGAATTTAGTTGATTGGTGTGATTTAGTGGTTCAGCGCTGATGGGAAGAGTCAGCTCTGCCGTATATTTTCCAAAAACTCGGGATCGAATCATGATCATCGTGAGCTGAAGGCGTGGTGTTGTCGGTTGAGTTCAGCACTCGCCACCGCTTGTCCGTTTCCGTCGTCGTTGTCACCCCATGGTCTTATTCTCAGGTGAGCTCGGGGTATGTGATGTGGGGTGCAGTGTACCTGACCTCGGGCTTGCTCGGGTTCCAGCTATGCAGGTGCTGCCTCCGGTCAAACTCTAGGAACTTGTACCATTCTCTGCCTGGTGTGGTGATGAATGTGAATGTGGAAAGAAGTGGATGCCCAGCGATGCTAGTCAATCACTGTTGCTAAAATTAGGGAGATGAGAGAAGGTCGGAATCCGGGCTTGGCGGGCTTGTGGGGAACCACACAACTTGACAAGGCAGACCCGAACCCGCATGGCACACTCACGGCCGGAGTCTAGATGGGGAAGGATCAGCGGTGCTATCTTTGCCCTCCTCTTGATGATTGTTGAGACTTGGAATTCAAAGTGCCATTACATAGTAAGGTATCAAAAAGTACACAAGATAGTGATCTATCGTTGACCAAGGGGAACGTTCGACCTGCAGTCAGCAAATGTGCTGCGATCTCGGAATTTCTTGCTTAGCTAATTTTGTGAGCGGCACAGGTCTGACGATCAGCACCTTCAAAGCCCTAGAGAGGGTGGGGGTGCAGTTGCATGGGGAGAGGGGCCCACCATCTCGCGAGACAGGTGCCGGCAGCGGGGTAACGGCTAACTTGAACGCGAGTTTGGCCCTGAAACAATGTTTCTTGCGAAGACACCCGTCGGGGCATTCCCGGGGATTGCAGCTTGAGGTGTTGACGCAAAGCTGGCCAAGATAATTTTCAGCCCTGGGATCATTGGGACCAGATTGGACGAGTCGGGGTTTGATAACTGGCTTCAGATGACAACCGGCTGGGGGGTTCACCTCCGGAGGTTGTTTGCACATTGTCTCAAGCCGCCTTCGTAGCCAAACGGTCATGCCTATCATCGATATTCATCCAAGATGGCAAAACCCCGAGGGGAAAGACCTTCCGGGGTCGGCTTGGGGGTTCGGCCGAGTGCAGAGCACAGCCCCGATCGTTAACCGGTATTGAGCCAGTGAGCCAGTCAGCGTTGTGTTGAGTCTTTCCTCGAGCGAACATTCAAGCATTCCAACCTGCAGCAGCATTCATTCCCCGCCCGGGACCCTTGCTCAACTGCAATGGCTCGCTCCACAGGACCCTGGTGCTGGGCCCCTGACTGGTGAGGGGCAGGGCCGACAAACAGCCCAGCTCCCAGCGAGTTGGGAAAGAGCAACTTGCATCCTCCGATGCGATTTCGTCTCATCTTTCCTCCACACGAACCGGGCATCCATCCCGCGACAAGTCCGCTGACAGCCGTCGCGAGCTCTTGCGCGTTTGCTTCCTTCTTTCGTAGTTGGGAGCCGCCGACCTTCTGACCTACCGAGCCGTTGGTCCTCTGGGAGCCCGGGACCGGGACACTGCAGCCGTCGCATCGTCGGTTTTTATAACTATTTTTTGCTGTTCCGGATACTTTCCTGATTGCGCGCGCCCGCACAGCGTTGCCCAGCTCTCCGCTCTCTTTCTCGCCTATTCGCGTCCTCAGCCCCGGCTCTTTTTCGCTTGGCCTTTTTGGTCGCGATTGACGGGTGCGTGTCTCCAGCTTGGCTGGTTTGCGCCTTTTTGTTGACTGCGCGAACCGGCAGCCCCAGGGTGTTAAGTTACCTTGTCCAAAGGTGGCTCTTTTCTTACCCGCACACTGTTGTTCCGCCCGGATCCCGACCCGGTTTTCTAGCTGTGAAAGTGGAGGTGAAGCGCCTGCCCAAGGAAGGTAAGGTAGCGACCTTCTTTCCCCTCTGAAACCGGCAGCCCAGGCTGCTGCCCGGTTTCTCGTCCCAAGAACACCCGCCCCATTCGGGCCCGTCTTGCCGTCCCAAGCAGCACACCCGCTCACTGGCTCACTGCCATTGGAGCAGCAGCAGGAGCCGCCGCCTTTAATCACTGAGACTCCCTCACTGGCCCGACCTCGCGCTTACGGCAAACCCCCCCTTTCTTCCTTCCTTTCCCCTTTCCTCTCGGCCCGCCACAACGAAGTATGCCGTCCAGAATCCATTGGTCTGGTAGCAAGAACAATCGCTCGCAGCACAACCTGGTGGGATCGACAGGTGCCGAGGACCCCCTTCCGGTGCCCGCATCAGCGGCTGGCGTGAACTCCCCGAGTGCGGGTGCGGGCGCTGCAAACCCCCCTTCAGCCTCGCCCAACCCGGCCTTCAGCTCCAGCGAATCCTTTCAGCCCGACACCGCGGCCGGCCGGGCTAATCACGCACAACCACCCCCTCCTCCGCCGTCGCACTTGGTCAATATCTACGGCAACACCACCTCCGTTACTGCCGGCCCCAACACCGCCGTCGGTCCGCCCCAGCTGCAGCATTCCAATAGCATTTCCAGTGCTTTTGACGTGCGCCAGCGGGAGCAGCAGGAGTTTGCCGACCAAGTGACGCGCTCTCAATCGTACCGCTACACTCAACCCTCCCCCACTTCCACTCAACTGGCCCTGCTCCAGCAGCAGCAACAGCAGCACCAGCAACAACAACAACAACTGCAACTGCAACAAAACCAGCAACACCCTCAAGGGTCTACTTCCGCCGAAGACCTCACGTCTCCCGGCCACCCAAGCAACATTTCATCCCCTATCCTTGGATCGGCCCAGCCTTCCTACGGCCAGCCGCGGCCACAACCCCAGGGCCCGCCCCCCAAAGCTAAACAATCTACCCGCAAGCTGATCAAAAACATCCTCAACCCCCGTGGTCAGGACTTCGCGAACCAGGGCAACAGCCAATACGGCAGCTCTGCACCTGCACGTAGAAACTCGAAGCGCGTGAGCCTGCCGCCGTCGTACCCCCCGATTCTTCGGACCGGCGTCTCTCAGGTCTCTCTGGATCAGCAGCATCCGCTAGAGTGGCAGAACCAGGGCCCGCCAACCCAGCCGTCCCCCTTGCAAGGTGTAGGAGACTTCCACGACTCGTACGTAATTGAGGATTCTGACCGGCATCTGCACCTGCAGCATTCACAGGACACCCATCACCCTACTATTCGGCCAGTCCCTCCCTCGGACACCGATACATCGTATTCGGCCGAGGACACGGCGTATCACCAGCACCGAGAACACAACCTGTCGCACGGCCAGGTGTCTCCTGAGCTGCAACAACAACTGCAACAGCAGCAGCAGCAGCAGCAACAACAACAACAACAGTACGGCCTCGCTGTCTTTGAGCCTGCCCCGCATCAGCAGCAACAGCAGTCACCGCCAGCGAATCAGTACCAATTCGCGAGCCCGCAACAGCAACAGGCTCAGTACCCGGGAAACACCCAGCAGGCCTTCGCAGGACATCTCGCCCTCAGCCCGCAGCCGCAAAACCCGGAGACAGTGTCACAACTGTCGCATGAATCTCCGGTCCCCGACTCAGACCAACCCTCTACAAACAATAGCATACCAGCATCGGCCGTGCAGACCACAGTGAACTACCCCTCGCCCCCACCACAGACGCAAAATCACCCGCCCGCTGTCCAATCACCCGCCCCACAACAACAACAACAACAGCAACAGCAACAACAGCAGCAGCAGGACATGGTCCCACCAACCGGCGGCCCGCCACCAGCCCGCAGATCGCAGGAAACAGACAAGGCGCGCGACCAGGTGCAGCCACCCCCCGGGCCGCCTCCCAGTTACCGGCAGAGCCAGCAACCCAATATGAACCCCCTACCACAGCCTCCCAATGCGGGGCAACAGAACCCCAACTTCCGGGCCAGCAACGTTCCGGGCGGGCAGCAGTTTGACGCCCAGGGTGAGCCCCAAGGACGCAACAGTCCTCAACCCCCGCCTAGTGACCGTGGCGCCGAGGACCCCGAGAAGGCGTTTAAGGAACTTTGTATGTTTTGTTGACCCTTGTTACTGTCCCTTTCCTATAATTCTTTTTGGGATTGCAAAACCCGCTAACCGTTGGCTCGCGCTTCTCCAGTGACCAAGTACAAGAATGTTAAACGGCTATACTTTGACGGCAAGAAGGAAATCGAGCAACTGAATGGCCAAGTAGAGCAGCTCCAGAATGCCGTCGCCAACCAACGTATATCGCAGAGCCGGACGTCGCTTGATGATAGCGAATATGCCACACGTTTTAATCGCCTCAACGGTGCCATTAACAACCTATCCTTCAACATTCGTAAGGATTGGGTCACGGTACCGTCGTGGCTTGCCCCGTTCGTGAGCGCCGACGCCCTCAAGACGGGCAAGCAGGAGATGACGGCGGTCGGGCGGGCGGTCATCACGCGCTGGATTGTCGAGGAAATTTTCAATCGCTGCTTCCATCCCGGCTTAGACGCGGAGCTCAGCAGACAACTTAAGATTGTTGAGCTTAACATTAGGCACTTCAGTTACACGATGACCAGCCAGGAAGAGTACGATGCACTCACGAGTAAAGTGGTCAGCTGGCGCATGACTACACTCGAGGGCCTGCAAGACGTGCTCAACGGCCCGGACAATGCCAACCACCGTGCGGACTTCACGCGACGCGCCACCAGCAACTTGACGGCGTCGCTCTTCCAGCATCTGTCTGACCCGCCGCCCGCGGGTGTCGACGGCAGTGCCAGCATGATCATCGAGCTGGCAGTCGGCATTGCCAGCAACCTTCCGCTGGAGAGTCGAGATGTGGCTATCGTCTACCCGCTGCCGGAGCAACCGATCCAGCCAGATCTGATGGATGTGGAGAAAACGGGCCTTCCAGCGCTAGAGGCTCGCCCGTCGGACGTGAGCGAAGAAGGCGTGGCGGATGAGGGGAACGGAAACGGTGGCGGGAAAGAAGGACAAAGTAAAGATGGTGCTGGAGGAGCAGCGGGAACAGGCGGCGCCGGCGGCAAGGACCGACGTGGTGACAAGAGAACGGGTATGTTGAGCATTTTGGGGGCGGGCAACAACGGCAGCGCGCCAGGTAGTAGGAAGGGTAGTATTGCTGACGGAGGCGGTATCGCACACATAACAGCTCCCCCACAGCCCAAGGATACGGCCAAGGTGCGCTTTGCCGGCTTCGTAGCTGTTGAGGTGCGCGGCCGGCAGGTGCTTGTCAAGGCGCCCGTTTGGACGCTGGCATGATTGGATGGCGATGGGGACGATGATGAAGCGCTTTCGACAGGTGTTTGAGAGGGTAAGCGGGTTTCCCCTTGTTTTGGTCTTCGGTTACGTGGGTCTAGCAGACTTTTATTGGATGATTACTTATGTTTTTTCTGGGTGGTGGGTTTTAGGGGTTAGGAGAATAGGAGCTCTCCAGCCGGCATTGGAGAAGATGGACGAGACTGAGGAGAGGCGGACTGGTTCCACGGGTAATGGGCCAAGAACGTAAACAAAAACGGAGTACGAAGCACGGGCGGAACACTCGGTCGAGCTAAAAGAGGTTCACGGCAGCAGATGTATTGGTGCGAATGTAAGTGAGGTGAATTTGATTTGGGGGGGAAGGATTGGGAGGAGGATAGAGAGCTTCGGGCATGACGCCTGAATCAACTCTACCTGACCTTCGGAGGGACAAAGGGAGCGAGCGGGGGGGATCTATTTTCACCAACTCTTGTCTTGTCTATGCTACGTCTATATACCCTGGGTATCTGTGTCATGGCAATTGATGTGCTGTGGGCGCCAATTGGTCTTGGTGGGTTCGTAGGTTGTATGCAATAAGTCAACCAGACCTTGTCAGTCGTGTCTTGTATGTATGTGGGAGTTTTCACCGCCTTCCTATTATGTGCAGTTTGGGCAGTTGTGAGCATGCCCCTCCATGACCCCGCCATGCGGCAGAATCGAAAGAGTACCTTGGTCGTCGTACGGTTACCGAAAAGAATCGCTTGGTCGAATCTTTCGTGATAGTCCCATTCGAAGGATCTAGCAGTTGAAGCCATTGAGCAGCCTGGCAAGAGAGCTCTCTTCCTACCTTGTCCCCTCATTTATTCTGTTTCATTTTTCCTCATTTTCTCTTTTTTTTGTAAACCACCTACAAACAAGATGACGGACACCACAGCGCCCGCGCATCTTGACCCGTCAGCATTGGGGACAAGAGAATAGTCAGTACCCCCCCTACTTGCTTGAGATGTTCCAGCCATGAGCGCCCCTTCCATGGTCCCATCAACCCATAACCCCGCCCCTTCACCACGCTCCGAAAGAAGAAGAGCACTAAATCAAACCTTGGTCCAATATCCAGCCACGGAAAACTAACATACCCCCCTTTCTACACACAGCTGGGACAACCTCTACACCACCGAACTCCGCAACCACGCCGACAACCCGCGCGACGAAGGAACCGTCTGGTTCGATGACTCGGACGCCGAAGCGAAGATGGTGGCGTTTTTGGAAGAGCGGGTGGACAACGACGACGAAGGTCTGCACAGCCGGGGTGGGGGACTGGTGTTGGACCGGGATACGGCGTCGGTGCTAGATTTGGGGTGTGGGAATGGGAGTATGTTGTTTGCGTTAAGGGATGAGGGGTGGAGGGGGAGGTTGTTGGGGGTGGATTATAGTGTGTTGAGTGTTGAGTTGGCGAGGAGGGTGGGGGAGTCGAGAAGGGAGGGGGGTGCTGAGGAGGAGGAGGATGATGAGGCGGGGGATGGTGATAATACGGGGGAGAATGACGAGGGAAACGGGGACCGCGGAGATCATGAGACTGAGACTGAAGTCGAGTTCAAAGTCTGGGACGTACTCAACGGCTCATTCAGCGAAGTCACCTCCGCCACCACCACAACAACAACACCATCCTCGACTTCAGATCCCCCCCAACAACCCCCAATACCACCCCAACAGCAACAACAACACCAACCCCTCCCATGCTGGCACATAGTCCTCGACAAAGGCACCTTCGACGCCGTCTCCCTCTCCGGCGAACACGACGCCCACGGCCGCCGCGTCTTTGAAAACTACGGCGCCCGCGTGCTCCATCTCCTGCGGCCCGGCGGGCTCTTCCTAGTCACCAGCTGCAACTGGACCGAGGCTGAGCTGCGGGATTGGTTTGAGGTCAAGACTGGGGTTGTGGCTGTTGGTGTGCCTCAGGGGCAAGGAGAGGAAGAAGAAAAGCGGTTTCGGCTTCGCTTGGCGGGTAAGGTGGAGTATCCGAGTTTTCGGTTTGGGGGGGTGCAGGGGCAGACGATAAGTACGTTGTGTTTTGAGAAGGTGAGGGCAGAGGTTTGAAGGGGGGGGGGTGAGATGTTGTCCGTGGGTGGATAGATAAATTGAGATGGGACGTGGAACAGGGGATGGTGATACCCAGGCTAGATGGAAGAAAGAAGGAGAATATAAGATTAAAATCGAAGCGGCCGTCATCTAAAAGCTACACGCATCACTGCGACCCTGTGTGTTGTGTACTCTTCTAACTTAACCATCTACACACTCCATACATATAACCCCCCGGGCCATCGTAGTAGGCAGTAGGCACCCCCCCTATGTATCCGTCAAGGACTTTCTAACCCTACATCAATCTAGCAAATAGACTATCAGCACTCTTTTCCTCCCGGGACGTCCTCTACAACGCATCTCGCCGCAAGTCAAACAACCGCAGAAATAGCAAAACGAGACACAGGGTAAGAAGAACATGGAATTGCTTTCATTATGACTTTCGTCTCTCTCCGTCTCTCTATGGTGATGTGCTCATCGGCTCGCCAGCCGGCCCAGAAGCCCCCGAAGCGGCAGCCGCCGCCATCGTCGCAAAGTACCGCACGTCTACATCGTTATCCTTCTGTAGCTTCTCCAAACTGGGCGAGATGCGCTCGTCAATCAGCTGTTGGCCCTTGGGAGAAGCTGTGAAGGGCGTGCCAGCCTGCTCCAGTGTGTAGATGGTGCCCTCCTCTGGCAGCCGGCGCAGCGAGGCGATCAGTGCCGAGTATGTCTTAGCCACGTTAAACCGGATGTTGGGGATGTCGTCCGTCGTGAGCTTCTCCAGCATCGGCAGAATCGACGTGGCAATGACGTCCATGGTCACAACGCTAGCTAGGGTCTGTTCACATCGTTAGTCTTGTGTTCATTACGTTCCCACGGTCACCAAGTTGTTGAAAAAGAACGTACCGAGATGGCGAAGCACGTTGTCATCCGGTAGAGGTAGTTGGGGTGGGCGCCCATAGCCATAACCTTAGGGATAATAGCCTCATTCGCCCATTCGACGCCAAATACCTCGGTGAGCTTCTTTAGGTTGTGCGTAGCCGCCTCACGGATGGAGAAAACGGTATCTCCCAGCCAGCCCATGCAGAGCTGGCTCAGCTTATCATCAAAGAACTCCACGCCAAGCTGTCCGGCAAGCAGAGGCATGTGACCGATGATAGCGAGCCGCACGCGCCATTGCTTGTCCTCGGCCAGCTGAACTATAGCTGGGAGGAGGGACTGCGCGAGCAGATCGATGCCGATGACCTGATTTACCAGCTCCAGCTTTGAGATGATGTGGAGCCGGACTTCGGGGAACTCGTCCTTGAGCATTTGGAGGAACATGGGCAGCAGGTGGTCAATTGTCCTGTTAACTGTGTCAGAAGGAGCTCTCTTGGGCAATACACAAACCAACTGGGAGCGTTGTAGCGGGAAACATACTCTTGCTTCCCAAGAATGGGGGCCAGTCCGCTGATCTGAGTTCCGAGGGCCGCCCGGACGTGCTGCGAGCTGTCTGACACCAAGTTCTCCACCGTGCCCATAATCTCGTTGAGGAGGGTATTCCGGTCGACGAGGGCGCAGAAGCCGGGGATCTGGCCGGCGATGGCGGTCCGCACCTCAGCTTCCCCATCCTTAAGCAGTTTTACAAAGGCGGGAACCAGGTCTCTCGACACAACCTCCTCGTCGACAGCCTTGGCAATCTACATGATCCCAGTCAGCATCTCTCCCTTGGAAAACCTGTGTTCAACATAGCTCTCAATACAACCCACCTTTTCAAACCTATCGGCAATCATGTACCGCACCCGCCAGCTCTTGTCTTCTATCAGGCTGCGCAGCGAAGTCAACAGTACACCGTGGCTCGCCTGTTGCTCCTTGGGCACGACCTCGGCGATAGAAATCAAGATTTCGACGGTTAGCAGCCGGACGCTGTCTTGATCATCTTGCACGAGGTGTTGGAACATGGGTATCATCTCTCCGATCACAATGGCCGCGGGCATCTCCTTCACAAACTTGGCCATGTTGGTAGCGGCTTGGCGGCGCACCATGGGTGTGTCATCGTGAACCAGCTGGCCAAACTGCTGGCGGAGCTGTTCTTGGACGGCCGGTGGGACCTTGGAGTAGGGGGCGGTGAATAGGCCACAGCCCGAGATCTTGGATGTGAACCAGTCGGCCTTGGAGAGGCGGATCGTAAGGGGGATGAAGTACTCTTCGACTTGTTGCGGGGAGAGGTCGCCGCAGATCTTGTTCAATGACTCGACGGCCTATCAGGCAAAGGTGGACGACACACGTTAGTGACTTGTTTCTCCCACTACGTCCGCACGCCCTGTTGTCGTCCGCCTTTCCACACGTACCTTCTCTCGCACAACGGGCTCTTCGATCGCGGCCAGGTTCTCTAGCGGGGAAAGGAGAACATGACCAAACTGGGGGCCGCCAACGTAGTCGATAAAGCTCCCAAGCTCCTCGCTCAAAGCAACAAGAACCTCATCCTCATCCTCCACGGACTCTGTGGAGTCGAAGCCAGGTTAGCGATGCACACGGATTTGCGACAGTCGAGGCGCAAGGCTGGTTTAGATAGGAGACAGGAGGGGCGGTGGGGAAGCTGACCATCGAGAAAGGGAATCAGCTCATCACGAGTGCGTTCGGCGCCCAAAGCGAGGGCAATCGTCGACAAGCGGTGGATAGCGTTGAGCCGGAGCAAAACATCGTCGTGCTGTGGTTGTTGGCGAGGCGCGCACGCGAGAAGTTAGCGGATGGGAATCGTCTTGCGGTAAGGAGGAAAAGAAAGAAAGGGCAGGTAGCGTAGCCATCAGGGCAGGCGTCGCGGGCGTACCTTCAATTCGTCGATTAGCACGGCGATGGGGTAGAGCTCATCGTTGGTGTTTGCCGCGTCGGCCATGGTGGGCGGCTGTGGAGGGGTGGAAAGTAGGGGACGCGGCCGTCGCAGGAAAGCGGGGAGTTGGTGGTTTTGTTTGGGCAGTGAGGTCGAGGCTGGATTTTTGGGCAGGCGCCGGGCTCGATAGGTGGGTTAGGCGGGGGAGGCTGGGATCGCGTGTACTACCTATGTAGTGGTGTGTGGTGTGTGGTGCGGGATGTGATGCAATGTGAGGAAAGTGGGTGTTTGGACGACAGCTGCCCTGCTCCTGGAGAATTGGCCCTGGCTCCAAGACCTGAGTGGGTTGCCTTCTGCCGCCCGAAAATGGACCCGCGATGGATGCTCACTAGGTCGTCCTTTGTTGGCGCTTGGGGGATTTGGTAAATCCAGCCTTTCCCCGTTTTAATTTTATCTTTTACCGGTAAGACCCAGGAGGGCAATGAAGACCCTCGTAAGGGCAGCAAATTGGGCGCTAGCGGGCGAGCAGAAATCAAGATGTCGACCGAACGTACTGTGAAAGCCCTTGATATGTAACTCAAGCAACAGGCCTAGGAACAAGGTCGCAGAGGCCTAAGAAAATCCAAGGCTTCTATTGCCCGTTTTGGGCCACTGCCGGATGTGTGGTCAGTGCACTGTGCTCCGTGCGCGGCTCCCAGGTTTACTGAGGGGCTGCTGAATGCTGGGGTGGGGTCAAGCTGTCCAAGTTTGGGATTTTGCGCCCCTTGACTTGCTCAATGAGCCCAGCGCCCAAAACACCAAGACGGGACCAACCGCTAATATTCATCATTGCACACTCGCGGCAGCACGAAGGAACAGAAAATCCCACCATAATACGGGATATCTTACTTCTATTGGTTTTCATTGTTATACTCTATCTGCTTTCTTTAGGTCCCATGTGGGTCCGTTTTGATATGGTTGAGCGCCAGAACCGGGTTTTTACTAAATCTGTGAGGCGTCAAGTTCGAAGAGCAGTAGACAAATGAACGGAAGAGAGGAAGTAGAAGCGGTAACATGCGAGGTACCAACTCAGGGATGAACACCAGGCCCGTCTTGTCTCTATATCCCGGGTTCTCCCTGGAATGGTTACCTAGACAGTGGCTCAGGGGAACAACAAGCACGAGGCATAAGTGATGGGCGATGGACACGATTCAGCTGTGGTAGAACCCCCCCTTGGCCGTCTCGAGCTATACTGGGATCGTAAAGAAGTAAACATTATGTTTAATTCCTTTCCGCCCCTAAATCTAGCAACGCTTTGAAAATTGATCAACGCTAGATTAAATAAACAAAAACGACAACGTCTCTCAATCATACAACCCCACGGGATATGATCCTGATCAGTCCAGACTCTTCATCTCTTGACCGCCTTCTCCATCATCTCCCAGGGGAGCAGTGACATCCTTTGGCTTCCCAGTAAGCCCATCGTCGGGTCCGTCATGCTCATCAGAACCTGAACCTCCCCGAGTCCGCCCCACGCTCGAGCTCCCACCACCAATACCACCGCCGCTGCCAAACATCCCAGGCCCAATGCTCAGCCCAGTAAGCCTGTCCTGCAGTGCCCCGAAGGCGCCTGGGATCCCGCCGGTGCTGGCGCTGCGGTTGAACGAGGCCGTCGTCCTGGTCTCCGGGGTGAGGGCTTCATGAGCGGTCTCTACCCCTGTGAGCACCGACTGACTAGCTGTGAGAGCTGGAGGGTCGAACTTGGTTTCATTGCTCCCGCTAGCCGTGTTAGTTGCGTTCTCGGCCGCATAGGCTGCGACACGCTCCGCCGTCGCGGCTGAAGCGTTAAGAGCGCCGTTCATCTCATCGTCTGTGCGATTGAAGAGCTGGTACCACCACCGCACCTCGCCCTGCCGGGGGAAAATTAGGCGTTCGCGGCCCTTGGTATGGTCATCGATGGTTGGGTCGTATTGCTCGTTAGTGAACTCCTGGCGGCGGCTCAAAAAATAACCCCAGACGCTGCGTGTGCGTTCACGTAGCTTCGCTTCGTGTCGCTGCCGCTCGTTGTTGAACAGGAAGGTGCCGTACTGACAAGAGTACACATGGTACAGCAGACGACGGAGGAAACGTTCATTGAACTCGAATTGTGTTGGGTGCTGTCGGACTAGCTGGTACGTGGCGTCGAGGAACTGCTGGAACACGGGGGAGACATCACTCAGTTTCGTCGCTTGGCCCTCCGTGATGGGCGCGGGCCCGAGTTTCGCTTCGTCAACGGCGGAGCCTTCCTCTGCTTCCGGTGACGATGCGTCCTTTGCGTCTTTGTTGCCGTGGTCCCCACCGACGCTCTTGTTCCAGAAACGCTTCGCGCTTGCAAAAGCGTTCTCAATGGCGTCGCCACGGCCCTCACTTTCGCCTGGTCGAATCGTTGTGCCGGCCAATGCGTCACTATCCACGTTGAACCAATTCTCATGGCTCATATGACCCGACCGGAGCTGGAACATATGCCCAAATGAGAGCCATTCCTTCTCGACCAGAACGATAAACCCTTCAATGGTGCGGTAATAAGGATCGAGCATCAGCTGGGCTAAGGCGCTAAGCTGGCTTGTACGATCCCATCCATCAGAGCAATGGATGAGCACATGCGAGTGTTGGATGCCAACCTGCCGCGCGATGATAGCCGAGCCGTCGAGAATGCCGCCAATGTGCTTCAGCCATTTGCTTTTGGCGAGGAGATCTCGATTGGGCGGGAAGGGAGAAACGTCCGCGTCCTTGATGGCGTTGATGACCTTGTCTAATGAGTCGCGCATGACGTGGATGTTGTCTATATTCAGAAAGACCTTCTTCGCAAATCTGTAGTAGTCCATGTTTTCCGACCCCTTTCCAATCGCCTGCATGGCGTACGAGTTGATTGCAGGCCTGGCGTCGACAATGAGGTTGTGTTGTTGTGCACCATACACCAAGCGCTTCCCCGTCTTCTCATCATACTGTTGTGTGTTGGCCCCGGCGATCAGCTCGTCTTCCATTCGGATCCGCTCCGTCTCCGAGGATGACATGTCTATGTCCACACTATCTGCACTCAAATCCACATGGCTTGACGATGCGCTCCGCTCCACCATGACAGGCGTGTTAGTATCCGGGGAGTCGACGGAAGCAGAAAAGCAAGCCCCAACGAGCCGTTCATCCTGGATGCTACGATTCAGTCGTAGACCTACAAACGGCTGCGAACTGCGTGTGATCGAGCAATTGTTGACGGGGTGCAGGTAGCTGAGTGTCGGTATGCGGGCGCGAGAGCGGAAAGATGAAGCGTACTTAAGCGTGCTATCCGAAATCTTTGAGGGTACCGCCAGAACCGCGGGGTACGTTGGGGAGAAAACATAGTCCTTATTGATCGTTGTTATCCTCCACCCAATGTCGGGCGATTTCTCGCTGATCCCCTGTCTCTTAAACTCGGCCCTCGCATCGTACAAGTCCCAGCCGTTGATCTTATTCTCCGGCGAACCTGGGGGGGGTTTGTAGTGAAAGGCCAGGAGGTGGTCTATGCTTCCCAGCCTACACGTCCTCGAGCGGATGAATTCGAAGGCATCGCGGGCCTGCTTGTCGTCGGGAAAGTTGAAACTGACGTAGGTGAAGTCTCGGAAACGGATGCGTATTGAAGAAGGTACCCCGCTAGAAGGGGTGGTCGGCCGTAGTGTGCAGTGGGAGATGATGTGGAACGCAAACCAGACTTGCTTGACCAGCTTTTTAGACTCGGAATCGGCAGTAATGGCGGCGGATTCGGGCGGAAACCGGAAGACGAGATGGTAGTCATTAAGCGCAATGTCGCCAAGCTCAGGTTTCCCGCCTCGTAGTGCGTGCACGTTGTGGTAGACCTGGGATGTAATTTAGTGACATCCCCCCATAACCACACTGCTTCCACAAAAGGACTTCACGTACGTGCTTGTTTTGTGGTGCTGCCATGACGAAGTAAGGAATAGGAAGAACGCAATGTTATTATTCTTTAAATGATTCTTGCTTGTTGGGGACGGAGAGAATGTGCTCCCCGCCCTCGTAGAGATCCAAGCGAAGCTCGAGGTGAGAGGCTAAAGCGAACTTCAGCTACTTCCGTGGAGGAGATGAGAAGCTGGAAACGTGGGGCGGTTCGGGGGCATTCATCCAGAGTGGTTTGGCAAAAGTTACTAGGTTGACGTGGGGCGGCCCAGCATCGTCAGCACTGGTGGGTGAATGCTGTTGTGGCCCGTTTCTCAGGTGGTTCGCTGAAATTGTTGGGGGAGATGGAACAGCATCACAAGACCTGCTCCCGACATGTGCTTGCCAGTTGATGGATGACAGGCCGCTGAGAATGGCCCAGTGCGTGGTTGCTTGACGTCGAGAGGTAGGGGTGCCCCACCTCAAGCATACTGCGGGGCCGAACTGGCCGAACAAGACAGCCGCAAGGCAAGGCTGATCAGTGTCCTTGCAGCCACCCCTGGTTTTGTGTAAGAGCCACCCCCTCGAAAGATTCCTGAAATCTAATTGGCCAAACTTAACCCTACTCCACATCCAGAACCTCACAGGCAAGACAGCCCACTAAGAATTCACAAAAAGCCCGTGGCAGGACGAATTTCCCCCAATCTGAAAAAAGTTAGGTGAACATCGCGAACCCGTCGGACATCTCAACCTCTGCAACAATTGAAGTCTTGAGAAACTTCGTCGTCAGATTCCAACCATGGCTGTCCCCGGTACTCAGATGTAAGTCATGTCATTTGTTGAAAAAATGTCCTTGCGCTTGGGAGTAGATGGGAGGGTACTTGGCCGACAACACGCACCACTATAGCCGACTATTTATCTCGACAAAAAAGGAGGGGGTGGAGGGGGAATCAGCAGCTGGGGGTGACAGTTCGTGCTTTGGGAGATCATTTTTCGGTAATTTTCAAAGGGACAATCGGTTCTAACGTATGCCTCTCTTTTTACAGCTCCAAGCGGAGAAAGTTCGTCGCCGATGGTGTGTTCTACGCCGAGTTGAACGAGTTCTTCCAGCGCGAGCTGGCCGAGGAGGGTTACTCCGGCGTCGAGGTCCGCGTCACCCCGACCGTTACCGATATCATCATCCGCGCCACACACACCCAGGAGGTTCTTGGTGAGCAGGGTCGCCGCATCCGCGAGCTCACCAGCCTCATCCAGAAGCGTTTCAAGTTCCCCGAGAACTCGGTTTCCCTCTATGCCGCCAAGGTCCAGAACCGCGGTCTCTCGGCCGTCGCCCAGTGCGAGTCCCTCCGCTACAAGCTCCTCAACGGTCTCGCCGTCCGCCGTGCCTGCTATGGTGTGCTCCGCTTCATCATGGAGAGCGGTGCCAAGGGCTGCGAGGTCGTCGTCTCCGGCAAGCTGCGCGCCGCCCGCGCCAAGAGCATGAAGTTCACCGACGGCTTCATGATCCACTCCGGCCAACCCGCGAAGGATTTCATCGACAGCGCCACCCGCCACGTACTGCTCCGCCAGGGTGTGCTCGGTATCAAGGTCAAGATCATGCGCGGCAGCGACCCCGAGGGCAAGTCTGGCCCCCAGAAGTCGCTCCCTGATGCCGTCACTATCATCGAGCCCAAGGAGGAGACCCCGGTTGTGCAGCCCATGAGCCAGGACTACGGCGCCAAGGCTGCCGCTGCCCAGGCCGCCGCCGAGGAAGCCCGTGACCAGGAGGCTGCTGGTGAGGAGGAGCCCGCCCCCGCCGAGCAATAGGATGCTCACGGCGGTGGTGATGTGGTTTCTTCCTCCACCGGATTGCCTGAATCTGAGCCTTCGTTCGGCGCTCCCGCTGCCGACTTTTCGAGCGCTGACACCGGCTTTAACGACGACACCGCTGGCGGCTGGTAGGCGCCTGGAAGGGAACAAAGGCAGGCCCTGGCTGAGGGAGATTTCTTCGGGCGGGCCACACGCTCGAAATTACGGTTGTGGATGGATGGGTTATTTGGCGTCAACTTTGAGCATATTGCATTGAGTCTGCGATACGGGAAAACGGACGGGAATGGTGCTTTGGGATGGATTGTAACTATCAAAATCAACCCATGACCCATGGACAGGGTAGTTACTATGTAACGGACGATCCCGCACTCGCTCGGGGAATGATACCTCTGAACAAACGTGCAAGTCCCGTGTGTGATGTGGCCTAGATGTCTAGGCCTGAATGACTGCCCAACAAATTCCCTTTCCACAAACCCACCGCAGCTTCCGGTTCGATAGCCAGGGTGCACACGGAAGTATTACAAACTGATCATATTTGTAACTATGAGCAATGGGATATGCCGTCCCATCAAAAATTCTAATTCGGCAGTAATACAACATGAAAGCGATGTCTTATTGTACAATACATATCTACAACGCCATATATGACGGAGATCAAAGTCGTAGGAGAAAAGAAAACACAGATTCCTTCGACGAAGGGGAAATGGTAAAAAGAACAAAAATGTGTAATCAACCCCCCTTTATAACGCCTACGGCGTGCACATAGCGCTATGCTTGCATGCCCAACCCCATCTGACCCGATCCATCCATCCATCAGCCAGCCCGTGGGGCCACACCCCTTTTATTTCATGTAGGTACTGTACCTGGCACTTTCTCGGTGCTCCCAATATCCCTCTTTCACCTCCTTTCCTCATTAACGCCCCCCCACCTTTCGGCATCCGCTCGATGCAACTGGGTAGTCCACCCACTTATCTCCCTGCCTTCGCCGACCCAATATGCCTTTATTCTCATATCATCACAGAGGTATGTCCTCCATCCCTAACGCACCCGCCCGCCTCCTTAGAAACTCCCGAAATCTCACCTGTCCGTCCTTCCATCCGTCCGTCCATTGCCCTAGTCCTCGCCGTCATGAAGTAGATTCTAGTAGAGCGAAAAAATGAAGATAGATGAAGGGGAATAGGAGAAGATGAGAGACTTGGAAAGAAAATAATAAGAAATACACCGCCATATTGGGGTACACCATTTGGATGACTTGTTTTGGGCCCGCTCTACCGTCTGCTTTTGCCTCTTTCTCTCTCGCTCTTGCTTTATTCTAATGTATCGAGGGCCTCTTCTAGACTCTGACTCCCATCCCTTTTACTCCCGGATATCGGGCACCATTCCCAGGGTCCGTCGAGTTCATAGGTGTAGCCGGGGATATGTACGGGTGTGCCACAGACCTAAACAACTGGAATGAGGATCTAGCATCAAAATGCGGTTTTGCAATATGAGAATCCGAATAAATAGGCCTCCCGGGATCATCAAGGCGGTGGTGGAGCAAAAGGCTTTTCTTCAACGACAAGGACACAGGCAGAGAATAAAAAGCGATGCGCAGACACGAGAGAACAGGTCAAGGCAGTCCATTCCCATCCCCCAAGACTCATACCTTTTCACCTATCTCCGGACCCGCGATTCTGCATCTCTATCGCCTCGTTCCCGCCCCCCTTAACGCCCAACCGACCACCCCTACCCGCACCGGGACCGGTACTGCCCGTCCGGGAACCACCACCATTCCCACCCGCATTCCCGCCGCCATTCCTATTTTGACTACCACCACCATTCCCGTTTGGCGCATGTCCATTCGACGTCCGCTGCTGCGAAAAGTTCGTGATCATGGGCGAGCGCGGATCGTCCTCCTCATCGGTGTCTTCCGCCAGATCTGTCAGCCCAAACGTACCGGCCGCCGCGACGGCCTCCTCCTCGTCATACGCGCGGATCAGACCCTCGCGGTCCCGGTGGATGCTGCCGCCGCCTTGGGAGCGCCGCGCTTCCATGCTCATGCGGGTTTGGAGGCTCGAGATCATGTCGGTGCCCGTAATGTCGCCGTTGCCGCGGCGAGCGAGGATCTTGTTACCGTTGGGGTCGTTACGGCTGAGGTTAAGCAGGTAGACGCCGGTGAAGGTGACGAGGAAGCCGCAGAGGAGGGAGAGGGTGTTGACGGCCTCGGTGGTGTTGAAGCCCTTGAAGAGGATGAAGGAGGCGCAGAGGGTGGCGGTCGTGAAGGTCACGTAGTACAGGGGGTTGACACTGGCCCGAAGTTAGCACGGCCACCGGGGATTCCAAGTTGGTGTGGGTTTGCCTCGAGGTCAAAACGTACATGTTCGTGGGGAATTGGCTTAGCGCCTTGTTAAAGTAGTTCATCTGAGTCAAGATGCAGACCACGGTAATGATCATAAACACGTAGGTGGAGGGGTGGCTGAATTGGTTGTGGCCCGCAAAGGTCAGCTTCAAGGCAATGCCGAACGCCTTGACAGCCATGACTGAGATCGAGCCGACGGTAGAGCAGATGCTTAGGTAGACGAGCGGGTTCCTCTTGCCGTACACGGGGCCGATACGGTAGATCATGACGCCCGCAAAAATGCAGACAGCGAGTGTGTAGAACAAAAAGCCTAATCAAGTGTTAGCAATGGCGCTGGTGTCGAGGGAATCTGAACATGAGGCCGGAACGTACCTGGCTGGATCGCATAGTTGAGGATCTGATCGACTGTCTCGATTTCCTCGTCAGGGGGGGCATGTAGGACAATGATGACGGCCCCGATCAGGCAGATGGCGCTCCCCAGCTTGCCCAATATCCCGAGCTCTTCTTTCAGAATGTAGGAGCCCAAGACGGCGCCTATCAACACGGACAATGCGCCAAGGGGCGTGACAAGAATCGCGGGGGCAAAGGCGTATGCCGCGAAGTTGAATATCTCTCCAAGGACCACTGTGAGCCGCTGTCAGCGCATCTGTTCCCGTCTCTCGAATCGGGGAGGTGGTGCTTGTTGGGGTGATCGCATACAGCAGATGATGCCTGCCCACCATATCGGGCTGCGCAGGTAGACGAAGCCATCGCCTTCGAAGCCATGTCGTTCCTCTGCGTGCATTAACCCCTATGAAGACAAATTCGTGGTCAGTGTCATCGTTCGGGTTCGAGTGGTCAAGTCGTATGTCGGCTGGGCGGTGTCGTGAAGGGTAAAAGGGGTTTCCCATACTTTCTTCGTGATCACGAAACTGGTGCCTGTCGCGCGGAAGGTTAGCGCCCCGTGGCTCTAGGGTAGTTAAGAGATGAAGGTGCGCATACCAATGGCTAAACTGGATGTCATGGCTAACGCCAGACCGATATACCTAACCGTGAGAACGGCCAATGTTAACAACTCTGCGCCCCTCTGGCCGCCGTGACGGCACTTTTCCAACCACGCAAGGGAATACCGTACTTGTCTTCCAACATCTTCCCTTGTCAACAACGGACGGTCTAACTTAAGCGAATGCGGGGGTAACGACAATGCGCTACCCGGTCGATAGCCGGTATCTCGAAGCCGACAGGCTGAGGTGGAAGAGGGAGAGGACGTTCGCGCCGGGCGAGGAACCGTAGAGAGAGCAAAAAAAAACAACAGGAACAAGAGAGATCTTCAGCGGGGCCGTTGCCAAAGATGCATTTGTTGGGGGCGTGTTTGCCAATCGTGGTCGATAGCAACTCTCTTTCCCTTCTCTCTTTCTTTCTGTTCCTCTCTCCGTTATACAGTTGTTCGTGGCGTCGTAAGTGAGTTTCGTTTGCCCGTTGCCTTCCAGGGGGGCTCGGGTTGTTGTGTTCGCGGCCGTCAGAAGAGGACAGAAATCGAACTCGTTCGGCGTTTCCCTATCCACTGTGCGCGCGCTTGGGCCCTTGTTTCTTCCCTTTTTTCGTCGTCGTACAGGTCGAAGATCGGGTGATTGAGACCGTCTAAACCCAGCAAAAGGAAAATGAGAGAGGAAAACAAGACCAAAAAGGACCGCGAGGCGCTTCGTTCCCGTCGTTGCCGCTGTGAGTGATGGCGAAGTGTGGTTGTGGTGGTGGGTTTCGTTCCGGACAACCTCGCAACAAGCTCACAATCGGTTTTGCGCCGCGGGAGAGCTTGGTTTCATTCGCTCGGGGCCCCCTGCTGCTCTGGAAATGGTGCGAACAAGTCCGGGGGACGGGCGGCGGTTTCAAGAATCTCGAGCGACCCCTGCCACGACGACGAGACCCCTGTTTTGGCCTGGCGCTGTGCCTTGGAGGTGTGGCCAGACCCCTGTGTTCCAAAAACGGGAGCCACTTCCAGGCCTTGGCACAGCGCCAGATCAAATAGGGCCGCTGTGGGAAGCTCACTTGCTCAGCCACACAAAAAAGATTCACCAGCGGACAGCTGATGAGAGAGAGGAGCCGGCCTCAAATTTCTGGTGCCAAGGGGCCGCGTACGTCAATTTGCTTGTCTCTCGCATATTTACCTGAGCCAAGGAGACAAACACCATCAGGCGGCTAACAACTCTCTTTGAATTCCAACAACCGACTTCGGTTTCTGACTCAGCGGGGCACTGTTACACATCCGTCTAAATCCCAACCCACGCAGAAGGAATAACTGGAAAGAGACAACACCGAGCCACGTTTCCCCTTTCACCTCGAACCGTACCCAGTGGACCTAAAAGACATGGACACGTGACTAGACACACTGTGTCCAGGAGGTATCGTAGTCGTCGAGTCAGGACGTCTGAAGACAGAAGCGGGAGCGGCAAACACAGAGCGCAACATCCCATCCTCGGCTGAAAACCAACCCACTATTTTTCCCTGAGATGCGGCCGGCCGTGCAGGGCGCCGGGCCCCGGGCAGGAAACGAAACGGGCAACCCGCCGCGTCAGTCCCACTCTTCAGCCGGAATCGGTTGTCAACCTGCAACAAACTGATTTTGTATCCGTCAGATTCATGCTCGCATGTTTGATGGAGCCTCGAAATTATCAGATCCTCATGTTAATACATAGTAAAAAAGAAAGATGCTTAGATCTAACTGATGCCTCAGCCCACGACAGAAGAAGTATTCCTAGACATTTCCTTCATACGCTGTAATTGGCGTACAATCACAATATGCCAACTGCATACCGCCCGCAGGGAGGGTTGGTTCGAGGTTCTGCAGGTTTGTAGTGTGCTACCCCTGAGCGATGCAGATCCGGAGGTTGAAGGCTCCGTTTCGTCCACATCCTCGACCGGCACTCATCGTGACGTCTCACGTGCCTTGGAAATGTAAAGAGGAGTTTGAAGGTTTGCGAAACAGGCACACACCAGTAAAGGGAACGAAATTGACGATGCCCGCAAGTGGTAATGGCCGGTAGAGCCGAAACGGCTTTCGTCGGTTTGCGAGGTTGGGCTAATTAATAAAGTAGATATCAATGCTAGACTTAGAGCAACTGACGGCCAAGCGAAGAACCGAAAAAAAAAAAGCGAGATTGCGCGAAGGGAAAACAAAAAAGAAAACTGAGAAAAGAGCAGACAACCGCACGCCCCTCTCCCGTTCTCCTGCAACACCCCAGAACTGAGGCCAACTCCGTGTCGAACGCCGCATCAACGCCATTGAGTCCATCCATCTGTCACGCCAAGGTTGAGAGTACTCAGAAACGGGCCCCAAAAAGGCCCGTACCCAGCCTCCGTCACGGCAGTGATGAAATCACCCCTGAGTGTGGAACGCCTAGAGAAAGAATACCGGACCGAGTCCCCAAGTTCTAGCAAAAACAAAGACCCCCCAGCCAACCAATGTACACCCATACTTTCCCGAGCTTTTCCCCCTCGGGCTATCAATCAACGCCCAATTTTCTTCTTCGTGCCTAATCCTACATGTAAAAACGAATGGTGAAAGAACAATGCTGTGTTAGATAATCCCGAATTACGGGTTCGGCCTCATGTTGTGTGGATGATCAAAGGTGTGTTGACGAGGCAGGACCATCCGTGTGCGTAGGCGTCCTCAAGTGATATCGGATCCTCGAAGATACAATCGACATTTGTCCGATGGGACGAGTGGATAAGAGTGCCTCAGATTTGGGATTGCTGTGTCGAGACCTACCTTTTAAATGCCTAGCAAATGGGCGTCGTGGGTTGTTGGGATATTACCTGTTTGAATCGGAATAGAAAGAAAGGGGGTGTGGGGTTTCAGGGGGTGGTAGTTGTTGCCAGTGTTTGCAACCCAATGTTGGGAGCAGAAACGGTGCAAGGAAGCTGTAGAGTCTGCCGTTCAAGTCCGACGACGCTTGTGGTCTGCGCTTCGGTTAGTTAATCCGCGGTCTTTTGAGGCGCGGATACGAAGACATACCGGTCTCGTCGACAAGACTCTCCGCTTCGTCAGTTCTGCTTCGCTTGCCGCCATGCCCCGGCGAAGCTGAGGCAGCCTCCTTCGGCTCATCATATTCGACACCAGAGTCTCCGTTTGTTACTTGCTCCTCTCCATCCTCGTCTTCATCATTTTCCCAATCAATCTCGTCATGCTGTACGCTAGAAGCGCCAACCGATCGCTGGGCGTCGTCATTCGCCGATGTGAGAGCATCGTCCGCAATCTCCTCATCCTCGTAGTCGATCTCATCTCCATTCATCGTCATACTTGTGCGGGTGGATGCGGTTTCCGCACCTGCGGTCGCGTCGGGATCCGCCTCGGAATGCTTACTAGTAGATTCATGATCAACTTCGGCGGCTTCTAGGTTTCGATAACTGTTGGTATCGTCGGGTAAGTTTTCCGCGCTGGTGGTTAAGTCGTCGTTGTGCCCCCCCGTGTCCTCGCCGATGGTGGACAACGCTGGTTCGTCGTCAAACGCAAGTACGAGTTCGTCATCTTTGTACGCATCATTGTCAGCATCAGTGCCGCTATTGCCTAGCTTGAAAGCTCCGCGCGTGGGTGGGGATTCGACGGCGTCAGGCACCATCCACTTGAAAATTGAGCTGTGCTTCTGGGAAATGGAACTCTCTAGAAAGAGTCCAGCAACCAGCTTCCTTTCCTCCTTGGCACCCATGGATCTGTGTGCTGACTCAAATTCGTCGTCTGAATAATCGATTTCCCAAGATCCGTCGTCTTGGTCCTTGCCCATAGACTTCGGTGTTTGCGCGCCAATCGCGATCTGCGAATCGCGAAGGAGCAATTGCGGCGTTGAAGTAAGGAAAGAAGGATAATTACCGTTAGTAGCGGTTTCTGGCTCGGCACCGGCATCATCAGCCATAGCCGCCTCATTACTAGCGGGAACCTCTGTTGTTTTGAGGGGATCGCTCCCTTGCTGCTCTTCGGTCGCCCCGTGCGCGTATTCATCGGCCACCTCAAGAGTGATCTCAGGGTGGCCGGTACCGCTTTCATCATGATATCCTTGCTCTTCGTTCCAGGTTAATCCCTCGCCTTCACCATGCTCCACGAAATCGGAAGATTCCTCAGCATGGGCCTCATCAAAATGCCCAGTGCCTTCAGCAGGGCCCCCAGCGTCATCAGCAGATTGTGATGCGGTAGATTCGAACTGAAACCTGGGCTCTTCCTCAGGCGCCACATTCTCCTCATCTCCGACCGATTCGGGTTCGGTGTGGGTGATTTCCTCCTCCAAACGAGTCGGTGCGTGATGCCCGTCATCGTCCGAACCCCGGTCCTCGTCCTCGGGGGCTTCATTATGCACTTGATCACCATCGACAGTATCAATATGAAACTCCTCCTCTTCACGGTCCGACATCTCGGAATCGTCCGAACCACTGGCGGGAGACGCCCTGACCTGCTCAGCTTCCTCGAGTATCTCTAGGAAATGCTCTTCACTGTCGCGCCGGACTATCAAGTGAATGACAGGCTCTGAGGACACCCCAGGGACTTGGCCCAGCGTTGAGTGGCACCCGAGGATCTCGCGGAACGTGCGTCTCAAGAACTTCTCATTCGATCGCTCCCCAAACTCAAAGTCGAGAGGATCAAAACGAACGATCAGCTCATCTGCGGGTGCCATCTCTTCCGAGATGACCGTGCGTAACGCAGAGAGGAACTGCGAGAGGGGGCGGTCAAGCTCGCTGGCGTCCGAGAGGAAATAGGATTGCGGGTCATCGCCCGAGCTTCCAAACAAGGAGTAGGAGGTCTGATTGTAGAGAACTTCCACATCGGGGAACTCTGAGACGGATTCTGCAAGATCATCGAGCTCTTTGTCAAGGTCCATTCCGTGTTGGCTGGGCGTGGCATGCTCGTGAGAAGCTCCGTCGCTATCGTCAACAGCAGTTGAGACGGCTGCATCTTCAAAATCAACGGCCTCTTGCCCGTCATGGCTGACGGATGCACTGCGTGACTTTGTGTTCTCGCCATGCGACCCCTCGCCAAGACCTTCTCCATCCTCGTAACGTTCCACATTCTCATGATCGTGCTCTTGGTAGTGGTCCTCGTCGTGCAACTCGTCATACTGTTCATCCTGTGGCTGCTCGTGGCTATGCTCTGCATCGTACTGTCCGTTGTATTCGGGATGCTCCTCGTGATGCTCCTCATGGTCCTGCTCGTGGTCCTGCTCGTGGTCCTCCTCGTGGTCCTCCTCTTGGTGCTCTTTGTGATGCTCCTCCTGATATTCCTCGGACTGCTCGCCGTAATGCTCGTCAACTTCCTCCTTGTTGTAGTCCTGGTCATGTTGTTCACGGTCCTCATCTTCATGCTCCCCAAAATTAATATCCTGATCCAGCGGCACATCCTCACCAGCCAAGGGTTCTTCCGCCTCGCCTTCATACACTAGTAGGGCGGGTGCGTCTAGATTCCCGGCGAGTGTGTCTGTCAAGGCAGCCTCTGGTTCAGGGTTTTCGGAGGTTCCTAGCCCCGCGTCGACATTGTCAACCCGGAGCTCGTCATCTTCGTACCCGATTTCATCGTGATCCGCCACATCCTCTAGATCCGCATTCTTGATCTCCTCTTGATCATCTATTCCTCCGTGGCCTTGCTCATCGTTGGCGGCATCGGGTATATGGTCCAAAGTCCCAAGATCGAGGTTTAAGTGCTCTCCATTGTCGCCATCAACTTCATTGCCGAACTCGAGGTCGCCGGCTTCAAATGTTTCACCTGAAATTTCGAGCTCGGCTTCGTGTGATCCATCATACCCAAAGTCTAGTCCTTCCGTGTCGAAGGTATTGAAGTCGACGTTTGACTCAATGTCAACCTGGAATCCGTGCTCAGGCTGGTCTTGAGGGCCAGCCTCAACCGATACGCCGGCGTGCTCCATTTTCCCCTCTATTTGCTGGTCGTGATCCGCCGAAGGTCGCTAGGAAGTTGACCGAATTCGGCGGTGCGTCGGTGCTACCCGATGCACTTTGGCCGCGTGGGCGCGAGAATGAAGATGATCTATTCTCTCCCTTCGGTCGCGACTGAATGCGGGTGGTCCGGGAATAATGGCGGGGCAATGGTGTCAGTGGCGGAATCGGGAAGGATGTGAGTAATCGAGTCTGTCGTGAGGGAAAAAAATCCGACGGAATGTTGGGTTCGAAATAATCGGGGGCCTCGATAGGCGGGGTGATGGAATTTATTCGGGTCGAAAACACCCACGTCGCGTTGCGTCGATCAAACGGAAGGAAACGCGCGACAAATCGGTACCAAAGCTAACCTCGGCTTGTGATCAAGACGTCGAGAATCAAAGAAGTTTTCCTGTATGTGCGCGCGCACCGTTGATGATGACTTGTCTGTGCGCTGATGGGAAATCGGCCTCAAGCTTGCGTTGGTCGGGATGGAGGTGGGAGAGTGAGGGCGCTTGGAATGGAAGGCAGTTGGTTAAAATGAAGTTAGAATCGGAAACGCGCACGGAAACTGACGTTAGGAGCTGCATCGGGTTAGCCTTCGACTGTAGCCTTGGCGCCTTGGCACGTGCACGGTGCAGCCGGCGGAGCTGCCCCTTGTCCCCCTGCCAGCTGTCGACCCCTCGATCAGCAAGTGGCCGAAAGCCAGATCAACCACAGCATGCCAATGCCAATTATTCGTGAGCGACCGTACCCAGTTGCAGCGGCGTCCAAGAGTTTGGCTTGAAGTTGTTCGCAAGCCGCATCCACCACACCACACCGCACACCCACAGATTTCCTACAAGTTAAGATACGATGGTACGTTACGGCTGTTTTTATTTTGTCTCCTGCTCGCCCCAATGCCCTCCTCAGAGGGAAACTGACAATACCTCTGCTAGGTCGTCCTTGCTGCGTCCATCTGTACCCGCGGCGGGAAGGCCGTGCTCGCGCGGGCATTCCACGACATCAAGCGATCGCGTATCGAGGCCCTGCTAGCGTCTTTCCCCAAGGCGGCGAACTCGGGAACCCAACACACGACAGTGGAGCAGGACAATGTCCGCTTCGTCTACCAGCCGCTCGACGAGCTGTACATGGTGCTCATTACCAACAAGCAGTCCAACATCCTCCAAGACATCGACTCGCTGCACCTGTTTGCCCAAGTTGTGACTAGCACCTGCAAGAGCCTAGACGAGCGGGAGATTCTCCGGAATGCCTACGAGCTGATCAGCGCGTTTGACGAGTTGGTGACGCTTGGGTACCGGGAGAACTTGACGATCAGCCAGATTAAGACGTTTTTGGAGATGGAGAGTCATGAGGAGCGCATCCAGGAGATCATTGCTCGGGTACGTAGGAGTAGACGGACGGCGGGTGAACACTGTTGTCTGACACGACTGCGATACAGAACAAGGAGCTGGAGGCCACCGAAGAGCGCAAGCGCAAGGCCAAGCAACTGGAAATGCAACGCAAGGAGACCGGGCGGAGCGGCCGTAGCGCTGGTAGCAGCGGGGGCAGACCCCCCGTATACCCGACATACACTCCACCAGTGCGGCCAGCGGTCACCGAAACATTCGATACCTATGAGGCCGAGAAGAACAAGTCCAAGTATGCTGATCCGACCCGCTTGAATCCTGCGAGACCCAACACTAACAAAAACCCAGGTTTACCGCACCGAAGGGCAAGGGTATGCAGCTAGGCAAGAAGTCCAAGACCACAGATATGTTTGAGCGCGTAAAGACAGAACTGGGCCCTGTGGACGACACACCCCTTGTGCCCGTGGCCGCACCTTCGGCTGCTGAACCAGCCGCTGCTTCGCGGGCATCAACCGCGCTGGACCGGGACGCCATTCACGTCACGATCAACGAGGCCATCACGGCCAAGATTTCGAGGGATGGCGCGCTGAACTCGTTCGCTATTAGCGGTGACCTCACATTGCGTGTGACGGATCCGTCCCTCACAAAGCTCAAGCTGAACCTCGATGCGACCCCATCGCATGGCGCACAGTTCCGGACGCATCCTAACGTCGACAAAAACATCTTCAACAGCACTAAAGCGATTCAGATGGCCAACACGGCGCGGGGATTCCCCGTCAACAACGCGGTGGGCGTCCTCCGGTGGCGGGCGACGCCCAAGGCGGACGACACCAGCGTGCTCCCGATTTCGTTCACGGTCTGGGTCAACAAGGGTTCGGACGGGAACTCCACGCTGACGATCGAGTACGAGCTGTCGGGCAACGACACGCTGCGGGATGTTAGCGTGGTGGTGCCGTTTTCGAGCGCCGAGCCGTCCATCTCTAGCTTTGACGCCGTTTACGAGGTGTCGGGCGACAGCCTGGAGTGGTCGATTGGCACGGTCAGCGAAGAGAACTCAAGCGGCGCGTTTGAGTTCGAGGCGCAGACGGATGATGAGAATGAGTTCTTCCCGATGCACGTGCGTTTCTCGAAGACGGCGCCGTTTGTTGATGTTGATGTAAGTTGCTTCCTCTCCCTTTCTTCCGCCGGTTTCAAGACCATAAAAACTAATCGATATCTCTGCAGGTTAAATCGGTGGAGCTCCTTGAGCTAAACGAGGAGGTTGATTTCTCAAAGGATATTAAGTCGGTGGCGGAATCCTACTTAATCGAGTAGATATGGTGAGCGGCTTGGGGATGAGCTGGGATGGATATCGAGCGCGGGGTCTGGGGGTTTGAGGAGTATTGAGGGGGGCATGTATCTTTGAGCGGCGCGGCTAGAGGCGGCAGGGAAAATGTCAAATTTCTAGATGTCATCATATTCCCCGGATGCGTAGCCGTAATTTGTACTGTCTCCTTCCTAAAGGGTGGGAAGGGCTCGTTGGCGCATTGTTTGAGACAGATTACAAGTTTGTGATGGCCCCTAAGCGCACAGTGCCAATATCCGACAGCTGGACGATAATTCCCCAATTCTGGTGGAGCTCGTCAACACAACACCAAGCAAGGCAAGAACAATCAACCTGGACATCGAATCAACGCTTACCTCATGAGAAACGCTAAATTATTGATTTTTTGTACTTTACACTTTTCATTCTGGCTCTCAACTAAATTACACCGGTAGACACAAAACACACATCGCTACGTACCTGACGATGACTTGACTTCTCAACGAGGCGCCGATCTTTAGCCCATCTCACATCGGAACACACCACAGGATCTTGCGCTCACCCGAACAGCTAGACTTCTTTTGAAGCTCCGGTTTGATTCTGGGGGTTTAAAACTCGAGGGAAATTAGCTGGGTCGCAATAGAAATTAGCTGGGTCGCAATACCACAACACACCGAACAATAGACCACTACCATCCCTCACCTTACTCACGAACGACAACAACCCGGCTTTCACGTGCGAAACTCAACAAAAACAACATAACAACCCCCAAAAATGTCAACCCAAACCCCTCTCCAACCCCCCC